AAAAGGATAGGTTTTGTATGCGTATTATATTTTTATACAATTTTTAAACTTAGAAATGGCAAAATTGATAAACTAAATCACTTTTTATGTTCCTTAAACTTAGAAAAAAAAAAAATAAAATTATTCTGGCCAAAATTCCCCTTAAAATCACCAAAATTAACTAGATTCTGCTTATTTTTAATCTAAAATGTAAAGTAAAAGTTCTAAATCTAATGTAAACGATCCGCCCATAAATAAAAAGGGCCATCAAAAGTCAAGAGACGCCAAGAATGTGGACTGCCAAAACACACAGGTTTATCGATAAATCGAATCTTAATTGGAGGCGAATTTAGCATGGCTGATTGGCTAGCATACGGCTGAGATAGCTTGACGCCATCTTAGGCTGCTATGCTAATTAAATCAATTTAGTTTAGATCAGCTTAGCTCGCTGCGGTTCACATGGCGTATGCGCAATATATGTATATATTAGAGGCACCACGTTACGCATACGCCTAGGCTGTAAACTTTAGAGTAATTTATCAAATGTTTGTCATTTTACAGTGATAATCTGTACTTTTCTAAGGCTAAATAGTACTTTACTGTATCCCGGAGTTCTCTATAGGTCAAACTAGTTTTATTTCTTGGAAAGATTAGAATTACGAAGATAATCAGCTAGAAAGTTCTACATTTTATGGCCACAAATAGCTGTTTAAAATTTCTGCTTAAAGTTTGTTAAGGCCTAACACAATTCCTTTTATATTTACTGTTCTTGCTAGTTTTATGTTTATTTTTCTAATATTTATTAGAAGTTTCTACTTCCTTAAAGCTTAACGCTAAAAAAAAAAAACAAGAAACTGATATGGTTTTTGCTCTCTACTCTGTGCTCTAATAGGTATAGTTTTTTCTAGAGTCTACGATTATATTACCTATGTTATGGAATGTTATGCAAAGTGCACTCGGAAATCTTTGTAGAACGTGCTCCAACGGCCACGTTCTTCCCGCCCTCTTTCCGTTTCTGCTGCTGCTACTCCACCAGAAACGTTTTTTTTTCTTCTCCGCCCGCGCTCATTCTTCAGTGGCTGGCTGTATTGCTCTCTTTTTTGTGTTCTGCTCGTCAAGTTCTCAGCTATTTTTGGTTTTTGCGACAACTTTTTTGACAGCCACCACCTGATGTCGACGTCAGCTTTTGGGCCAGGTCGAAACAGCAGCAGCAGCGTCTGCCCGTTATTGTTTGCCGCTTTTATTATAGATTTAGTTTCTTGCTTGAGAAATATATATTTAATATATTAGTTATCATGTTATGGAGAATGTCATTTTTTGTAACTTTTTTATGCTTAGTAAGTCGTATATAACTTTGTGATTTCTACAGTAACCTCAGCATAAAAACATCAAATTCATAAAAACAACTCTTATCGCTAGACGAACTCATAAAATAATTTCTTAAGTGCCAAAACTATTTTAGTTATAGAGAAACTTTTGATATTTTCATAATTTTCAAGGCCTTGTACATGCCAAATAAGTCAAAGATTTGAAATGAAATAAAAACTTTTATAAAACGGCGATAAAACTAAAGTTTCTTCAACTCCTAGCTTGTTTTCAAACGATGTTTACAAAGAACGTATAAAAACACTCCTATAAAACCCTAAAAATATTATTTACCAAGAAATTTAATGACATTTTTTTTCACATCCTCATGTTTTTCCCTTACAAAACCTAACATCCCTGTTCGATTTCCTGTGGTTCTTAGGTTCTTCGGTTCTTAGTCAAAGTAGCAAAGAGTTTTGTATATTTTCGTGTAACCACACACCTTTGAAGAAGTGTCAAGTTCATGTGAATGTATACTTAACCACAAGCTGACATCAACTGAGAAGTTTATTTATTTTTATTTTGTATGCGAAATGATAAGGCAGAGAAGAGGGTGCTGAAATGTCTCACATTCTCAATGCAGTTCATTCATTATTATACCCAGAATTTGTGCCCCGACATCAAAGGGGCAGCCAAAAAGGCAGGCATATCGTAAATATCAGAAGTCAACCTAGATATCAGCTCCCCCCCATCCATCCATCCCCCATCACCACCTCACACACACTTCCTAAGAAAAGGCAACCACCGAAAACGCCCACCACTGGCAAAATGATCCTCTCTAATGATCTATTAGCAGGCATTTTTTGCTCTGTTTCTCTATGTTTCTGCTGTGTTTTTTTTTTATTATTTTTTTGCTCTATTTATAAATGATTTCCATACAATGGCGCGCAGCGAGACGTATACGTAATATTGCGTATACGCCCCGCGGTTCAAACCCAATCTAACGCGCTCAATTCGATGTAACTTTAACTATTGCAAATGTAAACAAACCGAAAGTGGCAGGGAAGGGGCAGTGTTAGATGGGCGGTAAAGTGGTGTGAGATAAAGAGGGTGGCAGGGAGGTAGAGGAGACAGGCAGGGGGGGCTTCGGTCAACGTCAAACGTCAAAGCAAATTATATAATTTATTTATTTTGTTACCGCTCACCGGCTCTTTTTCTCGCTCTCTCTATCTCTCTGGCATTCTATATGCCGTTTGCTTTTGTGGATTCTCTCGCGTTTTCCCTCCGATTATCCCCCCGCAAATCCCCCGGAGACCCAATGAGTTCGTTGTCGTTGTCTGGCAAATAGCTTTTCGCCTTTTTCTCGCCCATTTCTCTGTTCTTATACTTTTTCTCCCTTTTTCTTTTCTTTTCTTCTCTTTTTTGGGGGGCTTTATTTTGACGGAGCACTTGAATTTATTTTTGTTTTATTCTTTTTTTCATCTACGTCGCGTCGCGCTGAAATGCAAATAATAATAAAAAAATATTAAAAAAAAAAAAAAGAACAACAACAGAGTGCAAAAAAATATAAAAAGCGATGAGCAGAAAAGGTTTTTTATATTACATTTTAATTTTTTGTTGTGTGTGCTTTGTGCTTGCCTTTTTTTCGTTTTTTATTTTTTATTTTTTTGCAATTACGACCCGCTGTTGGCGGGTGATTGACCCAGGCCCCCCGACTCGGACCCCAGGTTCCAGATCCAGACGCATAACCAGATACAGATACAGCTACAGATACTTCTCCGAAAACCGGAGCCACTGCAGCTTTATGACGGATGGCTGGATGGTTGGGTGGCTCAGTGGCTCGGTGGGCTGTCAGTTTTGTGGGTGGTGCGTGTGTGCCTCGCACTTGTCAACCGCAGCACAAACAAGAAACACAAATGTTGGCAAAGATTTTCTGCGTGCCAGCAATGTCCCTGAAAAAAAAAAAACGAAACAAATAAACAGGCGACTAGGGGGAGACAGTAGAGACTCCATAAAGCAGAAAAATCAGGAAAAATATCTAAAAAGGTTAAGATAAAAAAATATAAAAATAATTTACAAAAAGGTTTGATATTTTTTGAATATTTTAAAAGGATAAAACCCTTCATTTTTTCTTTGCCTTTTTTCAGATTTTTCCAATTAGTTTTTTCCAGCTACTAATAAGATTTTTCATTAAAAGTTTCTCAAGCTAAAACCTTCTAAGAAAATCCTTTTTAAAATTCTAGAAAATTCACTCTTACCAGTTCTTACTGTAGCACACCCACACGCAAGCATGTCCCTGCAAATACACAAACACACACAGCCAACGCAGTGGGAACCTACGTAGGAGTAAGTGTGTGTGTGTGTGCACACGCCCACCTACGCAGCGCAAAGGGAATCCGAATGCCTCAGGATTCCGTTGTCCTTGCCACACACACACTACCACAAACGTACTTATATTTGTGCTTGATTGTGCATGTGTGTGTGCCTGTCTGTGTGAGCTTTTTGGGGGAAAAGTCGGGGACACTCGTAAAGAAGTTTATCTTCTTATATGTATATTTGATTTAGACTGCCAAGCAACACTTGAGTCGAATTCACCCAAATAAATATATTGTATACACACTTTGTGTGATGAATTAAGGCTGGAACCAGAGATGAAAGGTTGGGTGGTAGAAACTAGCCGAGATGCGTAGTAAAAGATAACTTGATAAGGGAGAAAGAATTAGCTAAATAAAATGGTTTAAGAGGAAAAAGAAAAGGTAGAAAGGCCTAGAAATATATGTTCAAGAGAAGATCATCTTAAACAATTGTTTTTATAATTATTATTAATAAATCTATGAGTTGAAAGAGAAGTTTATGGCCTTAAATAGGTGTTTCTAAGGTTAAGTTATAAGAAAATCAGAAATCTGTTTATCTTAGCCTATAACTATATATATCTCTTTAGAATCTTTTAAAATTTATTATTATACCAAAGAACAGCAACATTGTATTAACAATTAATCACCATAGCTTAGATTATAAATTAAAACCCAACGAAATACATATGTCGAGCTCAGCAAGAAATATAATTCAAGTGAAATATCAGCGCAATGGTGGGCTAAGCTCGGGTTCAATAATTCCCTTAATTTGCAACTGATGGTGCTAACTTTTCGGTTTCGGCTTTTAACCGGTTTATATATGTCTTAACAAAAAGCCACAAAGCCAACGAGATAAAAAAAAAGGTTAAAAACAACAACAAAAAAATACAAAGAATTTAAGAAGCATTTAGCGGCAGCTGCAGAGCAACAAAGCAACAGGTGACAGCAGCACAGCAGAGAGACGATCAAAAATAATAATATTAACATTTTTTCTCTGTGTACGTTTGCCAGCTCTTCTAGTGGCAAATAAAAATTCAAATATATAAATTAAAGTATTCATTTAATTAGCAACCAAAATAAAAGAACAAAAAAAACAAAAACCGCAAATAGCCATAAAATGTGAATAACAAAGATAAATTGGAAGACAAAACAAAGTTTGGCTATTTAGTAAATATTTTTAATTAAATGCCCTGAAAGGGGTTGTTAAGATTTAGGAAATTTGTAAATTTATTCCTGTAAAATGCTTAAATATTTTGGGAATTCTTTACAAGCCCATTGTTAATATCTCAGAATATAATCATAATAAAAACAGAATATCTTTTTTAATGCCTCTCTTTTCTTTTATTATTTCGCTTTTTGCAGCAACAACAAAAAAGAACACTTGCTGGAGGCTGAATGGCAGACAACAACAAAAACATTAAATGCTACAACAACAAATTGAAACAAAAAAAAAACAACAAAATACCTCCAGCTGTACAAATATTGATTGATATTGAATAAACTAAAGAATAAATAAATACACAAATAAATAAAAAACCAAAATAATTTAAACTCATTTTCCCCAAAACACACCCGTCCAGCTTAAAAACAAAAACCAACCAAAAGTGTTTGTGTGTTTGAAAAATGTTTGAACAAATACTAATGGAAAGAAATACCGCTACGAAGCGAGAGTGTAATACTTTAAAGAATACTAAAAACAAATACCAAGTGAACTGAATTAAACGCAACGCAAAATAAAATACTGTAATTTGATATACTGTTATAATTCTTGTTTTTTTTTTTTTTGCTTTTTTATTTTCTGGCAAAGTAAAGTACAAAGAAACACACAAAGAAAAATAAAAATAAATAACGGCAAAGATAACAAAGCAAATTGCAAGCTGCAGGACATCAGCAACAACAACAGCAACAATAACAACAACAGCAACAACAACAACAGCAACAACAACAAAGCAAAACCAAGTAAAAAACAAAATAAATAATTCGCCCAATACCAACAACCAGCAGACAGAGCGAGACGGACAGAGAAATAAACAAACTGAGTGAGTGGAAGTGTGCGAGAGTTTACCAAGCGATAGAGTGGGCAGGATAGATAGATAGCGAGAGAGAGCGAGCGAGTGAGCGAAAAGCTTCATGCAGAAAAACAAGAAACAGCGCAAAACATGTAAGTGAAATTGATTTTTTTCCCCCCTCCTTTCTTTCTTTCTTGCTTTCTTTCAACGTGCCTTTTGGCCTCTCTTTTTATTCGATTGTTATTATTGTTGTTATTGTTATGGCCCAGCATTAGACGTAAATATTTCATGATTGATTTATGGTTGCCCAGAGAAAGCTTATGGTATTGCGGTATAACGACGCTGCAATCACGAAGGTGGCAACCCTGAACAAGTTGTGATAGTGTCGTAAGGTACTCCGTTTATATTTATTTAGATAAATCCGTAAACTGTAATGGCTTTTTAAAGTTCATTGGTCATCATGATTACGGTGTATAGTTGTGGTATATTGTTAGTATATTTCTTTAGGATACGGTATGTTATGGAAACTCTAGAGTTGTTTATAAATTTGTACTGAAAAGATCTGCTTATTAGTATTTTCCCCTAAAACTTGTTACTAAAAATACCAAAACAACACTAACAGTTACCTTAATTTTTGAAATTCCTTTTCTCCTATACATTTGTTGTCATAGAAATTCCCAGGCTTTAATCTTATCTATATAATCTAGTCTAAGATTTCTAGAAAACAACCCACCAAAGTAGTTTTAATGGCCAGCTCACTAGTTACGACATTCGCTTGCATCCTTATCGAATGATTAATAGTTAACTATCAGTTTTTTATTTGATCAACCAAGGTCATTCATCAGATGAGTCATATGAGGCAATGCAACAAAGTTGAATTACAATGCTGATAAATAGGGGATTACGAAATGGATGATATGATATGAACTCTTACAGCAAAAGTTACAGCTAACTGATGGTCAGAAGTGGGGAAAAAATATATTAAAAATTTCTAGGAAAATGTATAACCCAAAGGAATAAGTAGGTCTTAACCAGAAGTTAAACTACCTTTAGATTATCAAAAGAGGAAAAAAGAGGTATTTAATAGATCAAGCTAGAGTAAAAATCACTTAAAAACACCATCAAGTAGATATCACATTCCCAGCCAAATAAGTGACTGTCAAGACTTGACCTCAACACATTTTTGGGTCTAATCAGTCTGGCGATATCTGTAATACGTTTATAACACCACCAGCGACGAACAAAGCAGCCAACAAAAAACGTAAAAACCAACGAACGGGCTTAACAACAATTTGTGGGTGTCTGGCCATGGTCGTTGAAATTTGTTGGTAGAAAAAGGCAATCGAGAAGAGCAAACAAGCGACGGCGGGCGGCAGGCGGCTTATCAAAAGCAATATTCATGTTTAATATCTGTACGAAGATTATAATTGCCCCATGAATATGTACAGCTCGTCGGTTCGTACACACGATTATATCGAAATATATACGAGTATATATATGTATATATATATATGGCTAGACGTATGGGCGTAATGGTGCTTAAAACCAGAGGGAATTTCGGGCCTCCCTTTGCGAAAACTTTATCGATTTGTGGGCATTAGATTTGAAGGCGTGTCGTGTGCCAGTTTTTTTCTCGATTGCCGAAATAGTATTTTAAGATAAGAGAATAATATGCGTTGTGTTTTGTTTTTCTTTTTTTTTTTTGCTAGAATATAAAACCTAAGTATGAGGATTTTCTAGGTATTCGGTTATTTGTTATTTACTTTTTAAATATCATAAATCAAGTTGAAAATAGCTAGCTAGTCGGTTTAGCTTAATAATAGGGTCTTGGTAAAGGGTATTAAAAACATTTATAAGATAAAAGTTGTCTAAATATATACCCCAAAAACATAAAGATCTTTAAATAAATGATTTTTAAAAAAGAAAACTATTTAATTGCCACACAAAAACTATTTTATTTATAACCACTCCATTGTTCTTAGAATATAAAATATTTATTAATAAATTACTAGCATATCCCCAAACACCCTATAAATAAATGAACTGAAGAGCCGTCTAATTGTCAAGTTTGTAGCACGTTGCGTATACGCCCTGTCTGCCCAATATAATAAAATATTTATAATGCTTAGGTGGAATCCGATGTCTTAAGTGCTAAACAGTTTATTCAGTGCTGCCAATAATAAATAAATTAGATAATAGAAATGCCCAACTTAAGTAGATACCATCCCTCTTGTTGTTTTTGTTATTTTTGCCTACCTACTTGTCATATTCTTAGCGCGTTGCGTATACGCCCCATTGCACCGACAGTCAGCCATGCAAAGTGGCGGCAACCCGCTGCGACATCACCGCCGTCTAGCAGTTTTTGGCAGCATTTTGACATGTCGTCGCCCCCTTCGGCTGTGTCTTTATGACCGCTATTCACCCTCCTCTCGAAAAACAATTACAAAACAAATTTGAAAAGGCAGCGAGGAAAAGTCAGTAAAGGGGGAGGGCAAGAGAAGTGCAACAGCAAAATAAACTAATAAAGCGAAGAAGCGCAAATATTACGGCAATCGTCGTCGATGATAACAGGTGGGGAAAGAAATAAAAAAAAAAAAAGAAGAAATGCCTGGATTGCATATTACTAAGTTGTCGAGTGGCTCTCGACTTCCTTGTTCAACTACTATCTGATTTCGTAATTATGACATTTTCTTGTTTTTTTTAATGTCTACTTTTGCTAGGCAAAGGGATTTGTTAGTCAGCAACGAAAGGTGAAAGAAGTTAATTACAAGTTAAGCAGTTTTTGGGTAGGAAATCTATAATATTAAAGAAGAATATTTTATGATATATTATTAATGAAAAGTAACCACATTTTTGTTTGCCTTTTCGCATATCAATTTCAATTTCAAAATTGCCGCCAACCTATAAGTGAAATAAATTCGTTTTTAATTAAAGCCATTAACCATATTTCCTAGAACTCGTGATGAATAAATTAAAGATACAATTTCTTCATCGAAAAAGAAAAATAAGAACTAAAAAATAAATTATTATTTCATATCTAAAATAAACTCAAGGACCCAGCGAGCACCTTTTCCCACGACAATGATAGTTCCACACATTAAGTTATAAAAAAAAAAGCAGCAATTGTCCACAAGGAAAAACAAATAAACACAAAAACCAAAAAAAAAAAAAAATCGAGGGCAAAAAATACGAAATTTATGACTAGAATTCCCCGCAATATTCCCTCGTCGCCGTCAAAGGCGTTTGTCATGTGAATCAGAGGGGCATTCGAACTAAATATACAAAGGAAATGAAAGGAAGAAGTAAATATAGTTCAAAGATCTGCCCTGAATATATATATCTATATGTATATATTTGAGATATATTTGTGTGATATGACCAGGTCCATGATGGTTTTTACGCATAACATATATAGTGATGGGTATTATTTATAGGCAGCACTTGGACAAGATTCGCATATAAATAACGTTGAATATCTATGACTTGTTCTTTGACTTTTGCTTTTGTCATTCAACCAAATACCAACCATCTATCTGCCCCCGCCCCCCTTTCTCACCGCCCATGACTCAGAATCGTTTATGGCTTTGAGCGTTTTACGAGTTCGATCATAAAAAAGAATCCCAGAAACGTCGAGTCCAATTGCGCCCATTTCTTGTTCCACTATTTGATTCCGTTTGCCGGCTATTTTTAAGTTTTCCAAATAATAATTTGAGAATGGCATTGGGTTGGTAAGAAAAACACACAAAAAGATTACTTAGGTGAAGGGTGATTAAATATTAGATTAGGGAAATCGTTTTAAGGTCTACTTAGTTTTCTATTTCAATACTTTTTAGTATGAAATCTTACTCTTCACTTCTTTTTGTTATAAAACCAAGTAAAATTCCTATTCTTTGGACACTTTTCTAGCAGTGCACTGCCCATTATTAAATGGGGAAACTAATCTATTGGGCAATTAGAAGTTCGAGAGAGGGGGGAATCAGCTTATCAGCTGTCAATGATGCAATGATGACGATGATGATGATGACGGCGATGATGATCTCCTTAGCCAATCGCTTATAATTTTCATCTCTCTCTCTCTATGCATATATTTTCCAGCTGGAGAACATGGAGGGTGCAAGTCGCAGCAGGAACTCCTCCACGAGTCACAGTCAAGGTCGCGGCCAGGACATTGAGGATCTCAAGCAAGACATTCCCTACTTTGACGAACCACCATCGTCCATCGATGCCGAACTGCTTGTTCTGGGCAAAACTGAATGCAAATTGGATGAACTTAGCTGGGATCGCGATGCGGATGTTGATGCAGATGCTCCGCTAGAGACGGCACAACAACCAGTCGATCTCGAAGAGGACAACTATCCGGACGAAAACGAGAGCTCTGTGCTGGGAAGTGATTATGCGCACAGTGGCAGTGGCAGTGGAGCAAATAGTTTCTATCAATCGCCAACGCCCTCCGCCGCCGGATCCGGTTGCGATCTAATGCTCCGCCCGCCTTCCAGTTCCATTTACCACTTCAACTACCGATCGCCGGCGAGTCCATTGCCCGTGGCGATCCCAGGCGGTGGTGGATCCAATTCTCGAGGCCTGCATCCATATGCACATTCCCCGGCCCATGGCTCACAGGCTGGTTTCTATCCCAATATGTGGTATCCGAATGCACCTTACGGATCGGGTGGTTCCGGTGCTGGTGCCGTCGCTGGTAGTGGCCGGTATATGAGCTATGGATCTGGTGGATCGAATTCAGGGACGATTGCAGGTCCGGGATCTATGCAAGGAGTTTATCCTGGACATTCGAATCAACTGCACGGAATGCATCATCAATATGCACAGCCACATTCGCATCCACACCACCCGCAGCATCCGCATCATCCGCCGCATCCGCACCACCAGCATCCGCACGAGACCATGATGGAAATGTTTCAGCTGTCAAATAGGTGAGTTTTCCTTAAATTGATTTCTTGATAATTTGGGGATTAAAAAATAGTATTTCTATTTTTAATGTTATTTATTTTCCATTCCTAAACTTCCCGAAAACTTGATACTCAAGCTTTCTTTTTGTACAGAAATTATTTCCTTTGATATTTGAAACTTCTCTGCTGAATTCTTTCAAGACGCATAAAATCGGTTATTTCGTGTGCACTCCGCACTCCCCCAACATCTGTCCCACCCTCTGACTGTGAAAATGCCACCCATCGTGTTAATGGGGGGCAACATCCACCCGTGGCCCCTCAACGGGCGGTCGAAGGGGGCCAATTTGCCATTATTCAGAATCAGCCCGCGTACAATTCCAGTTTCCAGCTTCCAGCTGAGTGTCTGGCCTGATTGAAGATTGCTCCTCCCAATTAGGCATCATCTTGTGCCACTTGTGGCATCAACTAAGCAAACCCCAAACTACCCCAAAAAAAAAAAAAAAAATAACCTCCTTGATTAGGCTTTCGGTGGTGGCTGGGGGGGCGGCTGTGCTGGTTGTTCTAATATATTTTTATCAACATTTTTCTTGATTTATTTTCGTCACCGAGACACGCGAGGAGAGGCATTCCTATTCAGCCACTCAGCCATTCTCAATTGAAATCGCCATTCATTGGAGCTGCAGGAGAGCTGCACAAGTCCACCCACCCTTTGAAGGAACAAAAACGAAAAACAACAAAAGAAAACCACCCACCACCCCTTAATTTAGACCATGCAAGTATTTTGACTGAGAGACCATAAACAGAACACACCGTTTCCTTATTTTCTTGGCCATATATGTATATGTACATTTTGCCGTTGCTGTACCGTTACTCTAGAACTTATAATCCGATGCGTTTCGATACGTCATTAGCACGGCTCCAAGGTCGCACTGCATCCGTCGATTGTGCGGGGGGTATATGAAGATGAGAGGGGGGAGGTTGTCGATGGGTGGCGGGTGGTGCTGGCAGTTATCGATACGCGCGCACTTTACAATGTAAGCTGTAGCAGACAAACAGAAAGCGAGACAGAGACAGACTGCGGAAGCGAGGAAGACGCCAAAGGTGCACTTGGAAAAAAAATGTATAAAGAAGTTAATTTTTAAATAGGGAAAATATTAATTAAAAGATATATCTTACTAAATAGTTTCTTAAGTTATAAATTCTTTTAAAAAAATCGATTCTTATCGAAAATATCGTTTTTTGTAATCGAAATAGTCGAAGATTATATCGATATATGTATTTTCAATATAAAGAAAATATTAACTTAAAGATATTTCAAAAATGAACTTATTTTATACCGAAAATATCGTTTTTTGTAATCGAAATAGTCGAAGATTATATCGATATATGTATTTTCAATATAAAGAAAATATTAACTTAAAGTTATATTATAAATTAACTCATTTTGTTATCATTTCTTTGAAAACACATTGTTTATCGAAAATATCGTTTTTTGTAATCGAAATAGTCAATGATGATATCGATAAATGTATTTTCTTAAAAGTTCTTGAAATTTGTAATGGAAACTATTACTAACATCAAAAAAAATCAAATCAAAATCTTTAAAGTAAATCAATATAATATCATTAAGAAAAAGATCTCCTTAAATAAATGTTGATTTTTTTTATATAAGAAAAGGTTAGTTAACTGATTGTTTAAAGTTCAAATAATTTAACATTTGAAAGCTTTTTAATAGCCTACCTAATGAGATATAAAATTCAAGATAAATGAAAATGAAAGCCTCGTATATAGATATATAAAAACAATTAGGTTAAATATTTTGCCAAAATGTCAGCAGGATATTATAGTGATAAATTACGCATACGAAGTGTTGGCAAATTAAAATATGCATTTTTTTTTTTTGTTAATTTCCACAAAATGTTGCTGACATGAAGGTGGTCAACCTTTGTTGTGAAAATCCCATTCAAAAAAAAAAAAAAAAAAAAAAAAAAATCTATTTTTAAATTTTTAAGCAATTAAAAAGCATTTTAGAAGTGTAGTTCGGTTCTCCATTCAGCGGCGAATGCAACAAGTTGAGTAAACAAACAATCACATATTCGCGGATAACAGACATATATACTCTATACATCAGTTATTTATATATAGAGAAAGAAAAAGAGAGAGAAAGAGAAGCACTTGGAATTGGCTAAAAAGTAGACAGCTCGAGTGGCCAAAACCAACAGCTTGCTGGCCACTTAGCTAACAATTGCACCGACAACAATATGACATCAAGTGCAAGGGTGCAGTGCACTGTGCTAACGCAATCAAGGCCAGCTGAAATCGCTGCATTGGCATTTCCCAGCCATGTTTGATTGAACACTTTAAATACCCTCTAAAAGAATTTCAAATATTTCTATTCCATCAAAATCTATAAATAGGTAATAATTTATACCTAATTTTAAGTTCTTGTAGCCTAGTTAATTTTTGTTTATGGAACTTTTAATTGCTTTTGCTTTTATTATTGCTAATTTGCAGCTAATTTTGAGCAGGAAAATTCTGTAATTAGTAGAAATGGTAAAAGGGTATTAGATTTCTTGGTTTATTTATTAGATGGGAAATGATATCTCTTTTTTTTCTTTAAAATCTAATTTAAATTATGTTCTTTAATAGATTTTATTAGGTAAGGTTAGGTTTCTTTTTGGGAAATTTTTTGAGTTCTCCCTTAGTTTTTAGTGTTTGAAGCTTAAAAATATTTTATCTCTACTTAATAGTATAAAATATAAGTCATATTTTGTATAATTTCATTATTTTTTCCGAGTATTTTGTGATGGCTTGCATTTCTTTACTTGGCTGTTGCGCACTTTCCTTATGTATGAGATGGCCATTTTTTTGCTGTGGTTGTTGTTTTTGTTTTTCCTAGTTTTCCCCATCGTTTTTTTTTCAGCTGTTTGCATTGCTTTTGCCAATGCAATTGCAATTGCTCCTGCACTTCGTTTCGCACTCGCCAGTGTCTGTGTGTATTTTTCGAACTTGTTTTGCAATTGCGTTTTAAAATAAATTACATCAGTTCGAGGGGCGGCAATAGGGGTTGCTTGACTAGTAGTTGGCAAAAGGGGTTGGCAAAAAAAAAAGTATCTAAGAGGAGGGAGAGAGTGGAGCTTCTAGGGGAAGCAGAGGAGGAAGACCAAAAAACAACTTTGTGGCGGCGGACAGCGGTTGCCATTTGCTAATCGAACGCAACGATCTCATATTTCCGTATAAATTACTCATGAACTCAGCCAAAAGCGGTTGTTAAAGAGGAGGTAGGGCAGGGGGTGGTAGGGTTGGAGCACATACAGAAAATAATTAGCCCCCAAAAATATTGATAATTTGCATTCGTTTTTAGGCTGACTCTGGTTTTGTTTTCGAAATTTATTCACCTATTCTTGAAAACCATAAATTGTTAAGGAAAAAAAACTTATATAATTATACTTGGAATAATTCCATGATAAATATTGGAAATTAAAAAAAATTAAAACTAGTTTTTAATAAAAATCCATATATAATTATTTTCCGTGCTCCTCTCGACTTTATGCAATCGCAGTATATAACGTTCAAGACATTTGGCGCCAAGCGAAACGATCCAAAGCCCCAGCAAACAGAACGTGATCAATGCACTTGAATCGCAACAGGCCATCGCATCCCAGCCCATGCCCATGTCCCCTCCCCCAATCGCCACCCATGCAAAACTGATAATTATTGACGGACTGCGGCAACCAAGAGGGGGGCTGGTTGTTGTCATAGTCTAGCCGGTGCAATATGTAATACCTGCGACTGCGTAACGGCCAAACAAATGCCCAGTCATGCGCCGTCTATTATATATATTTTATATATAGTATATGCCTATGGGAATAAGCGGACAAGTTACGGACAAACTTACGGACATAATAATGGCGGAGAGGTTTCAAGTGAAGACTGCATAGTATCGAGAAGATAACTATGATTGTTACGCAAGATCCGTATAGGACGTATAGTAGTGACCTTCTAAGACACTTCTATCTACCAAATAACACTTAAAGGCATTAGGGTTTTGGAAAGCACTTATAAGGAGGTCTAAAAGTAGGCAACAATAAAGGTTTAAATCAATTTAGAAGATATTTTTAAACCCCTCATACTTAAAAAGTTATTTCCATTACACTTCCCCATAAACATTGTTCCACCCCCTTGGGAAATACAATGCCCATCCCTACCTCAACCAACAATGGCTTATCGTTTACAACAAACCATACATCAGATATTATTTATCACCCGACCAGTCGCCCGTCTACGTTGCACAAGTTTACTATCCCACATTAATCTGATAGTTTTGTCCGAGCATCGCTGGCAGAGTCACCAGAAGGGTTTTACGATTCTAATGAATGCAAACTTTTTGCCTGAGCTGTTGCCAAACTGCACTACCTGCCCCAAGGGGAATTTACTTGGGCTCTTTTATTAGTCGTCTTAAGTACTAACATTATATTGCACATATTTTTTAGCAAGCTTTAGCTTTAATATTTTCACCTTATTAGCAATGACAAATTTCAAGAGTTTTATATTCGTTAAGTCTTAACACATTCTAAGTGCAATGATAAGTAATTTTTTAAAAGGTTTTTAAGAAGTTGGAAATATTTTGAATGATGTTTTTAATCAGAGAAGTGTCGTTGAAAGTCAAATTAATGATAAAAAAAATCACAAACCCTTTTTGAATTATAAAACTTCAAGTTTAAATAATATATATTTTCGTTCTATTTCAGTGGCCGTGAGGCGCGAAATCGTGCAGAGAAGAACCGGCGAGATAAGCTAAATGGATCCATCCAGGAACTATCCACAATGGTGCCCCATGTGGCGGAGTCGCCACGTCGAGTGGACAAAACAGCCGTGTTGCGCTTCGCCGCTCATGCATTGCGATTAAAACACGGTAATAAATTGAAAACATTTTTAAAAATTAAAAGAAACTAAACAAGAATTTTAACTTCCTTAGCCTTTGGCAACAGTCTGATGCAGCAGCGACCGCAGATGACGGACACCCTAATGGATATGCTGGACAGCTTTTTCCTCACACTCACCTGCCACGGTCACATACTGCTGATCTCGGCCAGCATTGAACAGCATCTGGGCCACTGTCAGTCGGATCTATATGGTCAGAGCATTATGCAGATTACCCATCCGGATGATCAGCCTATGCTTAAAGAGAAACTGATCCCCACCAACTTGGAGAACCTATTCGATGCCCATGGTGATTCGGATGCAGAGGGTGAGCCCCGGCAAAGGAGTAAATCCGAGGAGGACTACATCGATCGCAAGCTGCGCGAGGATAGACGCAGCTTTCGAGTGAGGTGTGTTCATTCAAGGCGTATAAATTTTGTAATTTTATTTATTAATATTATATTTATATTCAGATTGGCTCGTGCTGGTCCCAGATCGGAACCCACTGTCTACGAAGTGGTCATGATCGATGGCTGTTTTCGACGCAGTGACGAAGCTCCGCGGGGCGTGCGATCCAATAATTTTAGCTCCAATCTGCAGTTGATCCGAAGGACTCGCGGCCGTGATGATGTCATTCCCCTGCACACCATAAGCGGCAACGATATCGTAAGTTAATTCCTTGCTGATATATGATATATCTCTCCTAACTCTCTCTGCTGCGGATCTTATAGATTCTGACAGGCTGCGCCCGGATCATCCGTGCGCCGAAGATCGCCAATCGCCTGATCGATGCCAATACGCTGGAGTACCGCACCCGCCACCTAATTGACGGCAGAATCATTGACTGCGACCAGAGGATTGGATTAGTGGCCGGATATATGACCGATGAGGTGCGCAATCTCAGTCCGTTCACTTTCATGCACAACGATGATGTGCGCTGGGTGATTGTGGCCCTGCGGCAAAGTAAGTATTCAGATATATAGTTAATATCCCAGTAACTGATCAATCTTCTTGTAATCTTACAGTGTACGACTGCAATAGTTCTTATGGCGAATCCACTTACCGACTGTTCACCCGAAATGGCAACATTATCTACCTGCAATCTAAGGGCTATCTGGAGATCGATAAGGAGACAAACAAGGTGCACTCCTTTGTCTGTGTGAATACGCTTCTGGGCGAGGAGGAGGGCAAACGTCGGGTGCAGGAGATGAAGAAGAAGTTCTCGGTGATCATTAACACTCAGATACCTCAGTCAACTATCGATATACCGGCCTCAGAACATCCAGCTTTGCTGGAAAAGGCTGTCCTACGGCTCATCCAGAATTTGCAAAAGACCGATGAAGATGGCGGCCATGATGAGGGCGAAGAAGAAGAGGAAGCGGAGGATGATGACGATGAGGAGGAAGATGAGGATCAGGATGATGGGGTGCGCAGTATGTCCGAATACGGCGATCACTATGGCAGTCACGGTCATGGCCGTTCGCATCATAGTTCCTCGACAATATCGTCCCATGGGCAGGGTAGCTCCAAGACCCCGCCCTTGGCACTGGTGCCACCCGAAACATCCTCTGTTAAGTCCTCAATTTCGAAGAGTATCAGTGTTGTTAATGTGACAGCGGCAAAACATCTACGTAGTGTCCACGGATCGGCGGTCAAATCGCCCAGCTCTTTGGCCACTTGCACCTGCAGCGAATCCCACTCACCCTGCGACTTCTGTCAAGGTCCATCCACGCCCGATACCCAAACCGTTGGATCAGCTATAAAGAGAAGTAGTACTGCTCTGACGGAAACGGAGGAGAAGCTTCCCAAGCGACGTTTTATTCCCAATACTGGTGAGTTTTTAGGGGCATTATAAAGATCAAATAGTTAATCATTTAAATTATTATTTCATCATTGATTTATTTCCCCGCAGAGATCGAGCACGTCCTGAACACATCTCTGGACCAAATTGGCCGAAATCTGACCCAACAACTCAACGTGGCCAGAAATTTGCAGGAACAGAGCCAGCTCTACGAGTTGCCCGATGGCAATCAGCGATTTAATGAGATCATGGTAGGCTATATGCATTTAAATATCTTAAATAAATCTTTATTGAGATCAGTTAGCTTAGGAGTCACCTTAAGGACAATATTTTGCTTATCTTAAATGCTAATATCCTTATTTTCTGTTTTTCCCCAATGTAGCAAGAGCACCAGAAACAAAGTGAACTGTATGTGAACATCAAGAGCGAGTACGAGGTGCAGTTGCAGAATAAGGGCAGCAACCGGAAGTCATCCGAGACGGATCGAAGTCAAGAGCAGCAGCAGATACAGGATGAGGACCAGGGCTAGACGGAACGAAAGTGAGAGAGAACGATATTGGTTCTCGACTGAAGGGTTTCATCGATGTGATAACTACTGTCCTGGCAGTCAGCTCAAGTCCCAACCAAAAGTGGAGTGTCCTAAAAAGAAAACACTGAAAAAAAAAACAAAGAAAATTATAGAAAAGCAAAATTGGATAACTGATGGATAACTGCTGCAGAACAGATTTAGATACGGATAGATAACCTCTAACCCCAACCTATGAGTGAGCCTGAGACAAACATACTTTAGATGCCCCGCCCACAAAACACACACGCACACACCCAAACACACACACGCTGTTTATTCAGTTTGTTGTTTTTAACTTCATGTACCAAGTAGAAAGGACTTTTACATGCATGTAGAACTAGTTACCAGTGTAAAGTGGAGAGCTGTTTCCGTTTCCGTTTTCTTCTAGAATGTTTAAAAAGTACGACGTTCTTTAAATTTATAAAATTTATAACAACAATATTTTAGTTTTGCTGTCCAAAATGTAGAACAAATACATATATAGAAATTTATAATGTCAATTTCTAACGAAAACGGAAACGGAAATGGAAGCAAACACCTACAAAGGATAACGATTAGCATAAATGGGAGGATTTAAACAATTATTAGGCTAAATCGTAATATATATACATTAAATATACTATATATAAATATATACCTATGTACCATACGTTGTGCGTAATGCGCATAGCCCAAACTAAACGTGATAAAAGACTGTTACCAACTACATACACACATACTACACACACACATGGAAACACCCGTAAATCTATAACTAAAACGTAAACTTAATTCGGAATAGTTTCGTAAAACAAATTATTCACACGCCCACACACACATGAGGCCGTGGCATAGTTAAATTAAATTTACTATACGAACACTTTTTATAGATGTTTAATGTTGTTATGCTATAAGATAATAAATCCATATAAATTTATGGATTTTGGCCAAGCACGGTGCACTAACAATTTGCAAGTGAGCCAAGTACAATTTACACAAATATATACATAATTAGATGCATATATGGTTCGATGTAAACTAATAATTCGATGTGAATGAATGAAAATTAAAGGAAAAACAACAACAACCACACACACACACACACACAAACCAGAAAATGCTTAGGCAAAAAAATATGAGAACTCTGTTAAATGTTTGTTATGCATTTGTTTTTTTTTTATCTAAATTAATATTAAACTAATGTATTAGTGAATAAACTTGTGTACCTACATACAAAACAATGATAAAGAATATATTCTGGTGTTTTTATTCATTAATGGTTGGTTATAAACTGTAGGTAATAAATTACTTTGTAAGATTGTTAAAATCCTTAGTATAAACTTAAAAATTGGAATAAAAAAAACTTTCCTATTGTTTTGGAGACTTAAACTAAGGTGCGTAACACAATTGTAATTTTATTTTACCAAGAACCAATTCGAGAATTGTCCGTTAAAACGAAAGTAACACTTCTACCGTTTATTATACAATTTTTAAAAACTACATTTTTAAATCTACAAAATGTCAAATGTAGATTATATTGTCTTTCATTTTTCCATTCCAACTTAACCAGAATATATTTTGAAGTGGAAAAGAGTTTTTTTTTAATATTTCCGGTGATTACATTTTCTATATTTTCCAAAATTTTAATATATATATAAATCTATTTTACCAGATTTACAAAAAGGTTGCCAGTACGATTAAAAATGATGTATATACTATTTTTCTGACATTCGATAGTGCCGGCCGTATCGATACTATCGATAGGGACCTCAATGTTTTGACAGCCTCATGCTACTGGTCACACTGGCTGAAACGACTCGGGACATCGTTCGCGTGGCTGCTGCGCGCTGTGAAAAGCAAAGAAGCCAAAAAGCAAGGGCAAATCGCATCGCCAGAAGCACAAAACGTTGCTCCATTTAGAAAAAACAACCCAGTGTGCTGTCTTTCCCCGCCGCCGAACTTCTAAAACTTCATAACCCAACAAAAAAAACTTTTGTTTAAATCCAATAAAGAGTGAAGAATAATCTCAAATTTTAACCAAGTGCGGATCAAGAAAAAAAAAGAACTAAAGACCGACACAAAAAAAAAAAAGAAAAGAAAAACGCCGAGCGCCGCAAAATGAGTGGGGATGTGGCTGCCGAGAATGTAAGTGCCCGAAAAAAAATCTTTCCTTTTTATGTAATTTAACGAAGGCCAAACAGGAGGAAAGTGCAAACGTGTTGAATAGGGAGCCTGCCGCAAAGAAAAAAACAGAAAATGAGTACAAAATTCGGAGTACAACGAATAGTTGCAAGTGTACCGCTTGCACTTGGCAGCGCAGTCGACGTCGCTGCCAGCAGAGTGCGTAAAATGCAAGCAAAAAAAACTAGCAGAGAGAAAAAAAGTAGAGGTCTTTTGGTAATTGACGAAAATGGCGACAATGCAAGTGGCAAAAGGCAAAGGAGCGGACAATGGAGAGAGGGGAAAAGCCGAAGCAGACGAAATGTATTTGGCACAGTGTGGCCGCAGCTTAAATACCAAAACTGGTATTTCCGTAGTCATTAAAACTTCTGTTTTTCTTGATTTTCCGGACTTTATTCTAATATAAACTCTTAAATTCATTTTTCTATGATTTTAGGTATCCCTTGCTTTATTTATTTACGTTCAACATCTTGTTTTCATTGTTTTCTTCTTTATCAATTACAAAGACGGTCACACAGACATTTTCACACACAAAAAATCACATGTGTTTGTTGTTTTTGTCGCCCTGTAGCGTTTATGTGTGTAATTGCAAGTGTCCCATTTTGCAATTACATTTATATGTGCTCATACAAATATGTATATATACGTATATATGTTTTTTTTTTATATGCCGTCTGATAAGAAAGATTTGCCACCCCAAAAAAATAACAAAAGTACTTACTAAATAATATGCTGCAACGAGAACAAAAACAACAACCCTGTGTGTGCATGTGTGTGAGTTTAGCCTTGATGCAGCGCCCACGTTTAATAAAAAAAATATTCTACAAAAAGTGTAAAAAAAAACAAGGATTTTCTGTATTCTCCAATTCTTTGTGTGTGCTCCATAGCGTTTTTTTTTTTTTTTTTGTTAACCTATTCCAACCGATTTGGAAACAATTTCCAATTTCCTGTCGCCATCGCTCTCTGTCTTCTTCTTCTTCTGTTAACCCATTGCTGCCCGTTTCAAGTGAATTTTCCTACGCGGCATTTGTTAGGGTTGATTTTCACCACGTGGTGAGCGGATAGACACGAGATAATCGCAAATCATCGCCAGAAATCAAGCAGAAATTGGGGGAGATCTTACAAGAGAATAGTGAAAAAGACGACATGACGGATTCACAGGTTTCTGGCACGGATTTACTCTCACTTTTCTTCTGGTCTATTTAATAACTCCATCTCTCTTTTCTACTCTCTCTTTCTCCGTCTCTTTCTTGCCAGCAGAACATCCACATACAAAATGGTGGCAGCTGTGAGGTGGTTCAATCCAACGGGGTGACCACCAACGGCCATGGGCACCACCATCACCACAGCAGCAGCAGCGGGAGTAGCAGCAGCAAGCATAAATCCTCCAGCAAGGACAAGCACCGTGATAAGGACAGGGAGCATAAGAGTTCCGGATCCTCCAGCTCGTCCAAGGATCACAAGAGTAGCAGCCGGTACGTCGAAAACCCCAAACCCCTAAATACTGTATGTAGTTAGCCCAAGAAGAACAATGTTATGTCATGAGATTTATAGTATTATTTGTATTAACTTGAAAAACAGTATTCGAGACTATGGTAAAATTTGAATAATATTTCCCGATTGTAAATAGTCCGGTTTAAATTCTCAAGAAACACTCATAATATTTCAGATTTGAAGTATTTTATTACATTTCGAGAATCCAAAAATATGTTAACTTCATTTGTAATTGACAGTTTTTCAAACATAAATTGTATACCTGTTCTATATTTATTTATAAAAATCTGTCATATATTTTAAAGAAAATGCTTAATATCTGTACGAAAAAGTCAGCCAAATATAAAATGGGTAAATAAGATAGTATGCAGTTGGATTTAGAATCATAGAAAACGGCAATCAGGCCAGTTTTATTCAATTGTGTACACGGCAATAAGTACCATTTGACCTAATTGTTTCCTTGAGAGGTATAGCTTACAGTGCTTCAAATACATCAGATCAGAATACTACTATGCCGACTGCAAGTATGTTTTGCAGTTCAATTTAATAAATAAATAAACCAACTAATAATCCTTTACATTATCCATTACAGAGACAAGGATCGGCATAAGAGCAGCAGCAGCTCGTCGTCTAAGCATCGGGACAAGGACGGTAGCAGCAACTCGCATCGCAGCAGCTCCTCATCCAGCCACAAAGACAAGGATGGGAGCAGTAGCAGTAGCAAGCACAAGTCCTCGTCATCATCATCGTCCTCCCATCATAAGAGCTCTTCGAAGGACAAAGAGCGACGGGACAAGGACAAAGATCGCAGCAGCAGCTCATCCAGCAGGCACAAGTCTTCTTCGTCCTCGTCTAGCTCCCGTGATAAGGAGCGCAGCAGCAGCAGCAGTCACAAGAGCTCCTCATCATCATCCTCATCGAAGAGTAAACATTCCAGTTCGCGGCATAGCAGCTCGTCATCTTCGAAGGAACCGCCATCCTATGATGGAGTGTTTGTCAAGCCGGAGCCTGTTTCACAGCCGTTGATGCACCCTGTCGATCCCTTCCAAATGCAACAGCTTGGCTATGAAAACGCAGCTGCTATCAATTGTAATGGTAATGGCAACGATGGCGGAATCAACTACAAGAACGGCTACGAAGAATCGATTGTGGACATCAAGAAAGAGGACGAGAGCTTCAACAATCTGTCGCAGGCCAGCTCTTGTGATTACTCCATGTCCCAGTTTCGTGTCGATGAACCGCCGTTCGAGGTGAAGCACGAGCAGAGCTATATTGAAGAGGATAGCACCATGAACGACAATGATCAGGATGATGAGGCCGATGGGGTCGACGAGGAGAATGATGAGGAGGATGTGCCATTGGCCATGCGTAAGCGCAAGCAGGAGGCACCTGATCACGGCGGTATGGATGACGACGACGACGACATTCCGCTGCTGGCGCGTAAAAAGATCAAAAAGGAGCCCAAGGTTAAGACAAAGAAGAAGCGGGTCAAGGAAGAACCTGAAGACGATTATGGCAGTGTCAAGCCCAAAAAGAAAAAGATCAAAAAGGTAGGTTTTATATATTTTGCACTGATGACTCTTACTGATCACTTCTTATTTGGTATTAGGAGGCCGATGTCAAGACCGAGGTCGTATCCCCCACCAAACGCCAGAAGGTCAAGGAGGAGGAAGAGGAGGTGTGGAGATGGTAAGTTTTTAGACTTAACAAGTTATTTTTTATGCCAGGTAGTTGCAATTTAGAAAATTGCAGAAAAAAATGGAATATTCTAGATAAATTCTCGTTAGCAATCTTAAATCTAATATTAAAGAGAGAGGTGGATATCTTAGAGAACTTGCGTTAGAAACTCTATACTATATAGTAATCCGATAATACCCGCACTTCTCAACATTTCTTACATTGATATGCGGGTAAGAAAGCTTTTTTGCAAAGGTTAGCCCAGGTGAAAGGCTTTTGGTTCATCATTAAAAAAACAGGTAACTTGTGTTAAATATTTAATTATATTAGGGGAAAGCTTTGTATTTTAAAAGTGCCGCTTTAAAGCAAACAAAAAGAAAACAACGTGTATTGTGACACGTGTATGTATGTGTGTCTGGCTATGTATTAACATACGTAAATACATGCCATGTGTTTTGCGTGAGAAGTTTGAATGTCACTGACCTACATTTCCGAAAGTCACACACCGTGGCTGCCAAAAGTTTTACACCGCGTGCTTTCCGATGTACGGTGTAGCGCATGTAGGCAGCAAGTGTTGACAGCCACTGTGCCACGACCGCCATTCGCCGCGAAACGCATGCGCCGACGCCCGCCCCAGTCCCCATTCTCCTTCTTTGCCTTCTCATGCTCCAAAAAACAGCTGAGCTCCCCGAAAAATCACACACACATACATACAGTATCACACTTATTTTAAGGTTATGTTCGAACGCCGCTTCTTTGCGTAATGTGATAAAAACTAAAGTATTATAGGCAAACCAATGACATCGGTCGTGTTGCGCCCATTGGCGGCAGTACGTCTATTTGGAAACCGGAGTGTTTGCCTGGTTTTCGGGGAGCAGATCGTGGCTATAGCCACCGTTGCGGGAAAAAAGAGAAGAGTGCGACGAAAGAGCGACCAGGAAGAGCAAATTCGATGGTGCGATTTGATTAGGGTGCTCTACTAAAATAGAGTGGACCAAAAACTATCATTGAAATTTTTGTAGAAAACATAGTTTTAGGATAATATTTTTTATTTAGGTTTTAAAAATGAGTAATCCTACTTTGAGTAGGCATTTAATACAGTTTTATATTCATCACAAAACATATTAAGAAGTATGATTTACTAATGGAAATCTGCGAAAATGATTTGCATTCCAGGTGGGAAGAGGAGAAACGCGAAGATGGCGTCAAATGGTCAACTTTGGAGCATAAGGGACCCGTGTTCGCTCCGCCGTACGAGCGAGTGCCTCGCAATGTCCGGTTCTTCTACGATGGCAAACCGCTTGAACTTTCCGAAGAAACGGAAGAAGCGGCCACCTTCTATGCCAAGATGTTGAATCATGACTACTGCACCAAGGATGTGTTCAACAACAATTTCTTCAAGGACTTCCGCAAGTCTATGACGTCTAAGGAGAAGGAGATTATCAAGGATTTCCGCAAGTGTAACTTCGAGGAGATGTTTAACTACTTCCAGGCAGAGTCCGAGAAGCGCAAGGCGGCCACCAAGGAGGAAAAACTGGTCAAGAAGAACGAGAATGAGGCGCTGATTAAGGAATATGGATTCTGTATGATTGATGGACACAAGGAAAAGATCGGAAACTTCCGTCTCGAACCGCCGGGCCTTTTCCGTGGTCGTGGCGAGCATCCCAAAATGGGCATGATCAAGCGGCGAATCCATGCAAGCGATGTGTCTATCAATTGTGGCAAGGACTCGAAAGTGCCGTCCCCACCGGGCGGATCACGCTGGAAGGAAGTGCGCCACGATAACACTGTCACCTGGCTGGCCTCCTGGATCGAAAACGTACAGGGTCAAGTTAAGTACATTATGCTGAATCCCTCTTCAAAACTGAAGGGTGAGAAGGATCACATTAAGTACGAGACAGCGAGACGCCTGGACAAGGTGATCGATAAGATCCGCGCCACCTATCGCGACGAATGGAAGTCGAAGGAGATGAGGGTTCGGCAGCGGGCGGTGGCATTGTACTTTATCGACAAACTGGCGCTGAGAGCAGGCAACGAAAAGGATGAAGATCAGGCGGATACTGTGGGCTGTTGCTCACTGCGCGTTGAGCACGTCCAGCTGCACAAGGAACTCAATGGGAAGGAAAACGTGGTGGTATTCGATTTTCCCGGTAAGGATTCCATTCGCTACTACAACGAGGTCGAGGTGGAAAAGCGCGTCTTTAAGAACCTCGAACTGTTTATGGAGCACAAAAAGGATGGCGATGACCTCTTCGATCGACTCAACACCCAGGTGCTTAACGAGCATCTCAAAGAACTGATGGAAGGTACGTAGTTAAGCTAGTCTGTATGGTCTTTCCTATACTTATTATTCTAATTTCTAACACAAATAGGTCTTACGGCCAAGGTATTCCGTACGTATAACGCTTCAAAAACCCTACAAAGCCAACTGGATCTTCTCACCGATCCGAGTGCTACGGTGCCGGAAAAGCTGTTGGCCTACAATCGCGCCAATCGTGCCGTGGCCATTCTCTGTAACCATCAGCGTTCCGTGCCCAAAGGCCACGAAAAATCAATGGAGAACCTTAAAGAGAAGATTAAGGCCAAGCGAGATGCCATCGATGATTGCGAATCGGAATATTATGTGAGTACTTCGTATTTTCCTCGACATTTTGCAATAAATTAATCATTTTCAAATTACTTAACAGGATATGAAGAAGGCTGCCAAACGTGGTTCCGTTAAGGAGAAGGTTATTGCCGACAAGAAGGGAAAGCAGCTGGAGCGGCTGAAGGACCAGCTGAAGAAACTAGAATTACAAGAGACTGATAGAGACGAGAATAAGACCATTGCCCTGGGCACATCTAAGCTAAACTATCTCGATCCACGCATATCGGTGGCTTGGTAAGTTTCCTTTATAACATTTTCCAATTGAATCTTAAAGATTATAGTATTTATTAACCAAATTTTAGGTGTAAAAAGCATGGAGTGCCGATCGAGAAGATATTTAACAAAACGCAAAGAACCAAATTTCTGTGGGCCGTGCATATGGCCGATGAGAATTATCGTTTTTAAATGGGTTCTCGTCACAGGCACGCACACAGACACAAAAATAATATAAAAATAGAGAGTAGACAGCGCAGGTTGAAAAACTAGAAACCGCGAAGAACCACACCCACCACAAGGCCGGTTTATAGATTTCAGATTATCTTTACCCAATACTCTATCCAAGAGTTTATGCAATAGTTAGTGCATATGTCCAGCTTTTGGTCGAGGGCATTTTCGTATGATGATGATCCTTCAAAAAGAGTGAGATAGGTGGACCGTTGGTCTGGAATCTGCTTTGTCTGCTGCGTTTGTTTTTTCTGCTTTAAATTGTTTGAGTTCGATTGTTTTTTTAAGTGCGCACTACGCTGAAGTCTAACTTGCGAAATGTGCACAGCAAACACACAAGCGCTCACACTTCTAAATCGATACACATACATATATATATTTATATCAAACACGATATATATATATATGTATATATATTTATAAGAAAAAAAAATTGGTTAAATAGAGAAACACCAAGAGAAGAAGAGAAACCTGTGCAAGACGTCGCCACCAACTAAAAACAAAATATGAACATAATTTTCTATGTTACCGTCTACAAAAGCAACATTTTTTTTTTATCTCTTACATATTTTAATTTTATATATTAACTTAATACATGAGAAAAACTATATTAAAAAAAAAAAGGTGTAAACTATAATAGAAACAAACAAAACGCAAGCAAACGAAAATGATACAATTAAAAGGTTTTTTTTATGTTTACATATAGTTGATTTTTGTTTAGCGAAAAATGTCTTTCACTATTAATTAATTAATTAATTAATTCTACGATTACTACGATTACATATTTAAGTGCTAATTGAACAGAGAAACCATGTAGCCCAACTTTTTAGCATAGCATAATTTATTCAATTCTACTCTGAACCAGCGCAATTTACCGCCTACCGACAGCCCTATACCTTATACAACACCCTCTTCCCCATTTAAAAAAAAAAAAGAAAACGAACAACAATATCTTTTTAGAGGTCGAAGTGGTTTTGTTTTGTACCTTATGATTTTAGTAAAAATTTAAATAAACAAATGCTTAAATCATTTTGCAAACCTTTTATATAGTTTAAGCCCGCATAATAATGATATGATATGACATAATATATACATATATAGACAGGTTTCAAATTCTTATCTGAGATCCAAGCCACACAAAACACAAAAACAAAACGAAAAATCAATTGCAAATACAAATCAATCAATGAACCAAAACCACAGCCAACAAACAGTCGCAGCGAAAAACTCTAATCTAAAAGAATGGAACTTTATACATTAGTAGGATCTATTAGTATGTGCAATTAAGTGAGCTAAAACAAAACCTGTATAAAAAAAAAAAACAATCGAAAGCGTCCATTTGCAACCACTTTTTTGTTCAGCAATCAAAATATATATAGAAATATATATTATAATTAATCAATATGCGTTCTAACGATTTTATTCGATTAAAAATAAACTGCTGAACAAAGAAGTGGATTGAAATTGGATAACAAATAGAAGGAGAGTTAAGAACACCTTTTACCTTTGTCCCTATCATGATTATGATTTATGATTGTGTATGTAGCCGTATTTTTAATCACTCAAAATCGATGCAAATTTCGCCTCACGCCCCCCTCTTAGCATAAATTGCAAAATGCGCATTGCATATAAAGATCGATCTTTATAATTATAAATAGCAACCCAAACACATATGATAATTAGTAATTAAAAACCACAAACATTTATATATATATATATATATAAATATATATATCTGAACGTATGTCGTGGATTCGCGTACGAGAGCGGGACAATGCTTTTAAAAGGCATCAAAAGTTAAATAAACTAATTACGAACCCTTCTTCGCCCCGCCTCCCCCCCACTCACATATAAACTTGGCATATTACAATATTGATATAAGCAAGACAAAAACAAGAAACGAAATGATAAGTAAAACCCACTATTTTAAAACAAAAACAAAATATATGAAAAAAAAAAAAAAAAAAAAAAATAGCGTAAGTTAATGTAATTGTAATGGAATGATGCAAATATACATACAACATATATTTAATTTTAAAATTGAAAACCAAGCATTATTTTTTTGGGTTCTCCTCTGCGATTTTTTATATGTTCGTTGGGATGGACAGGGAAAATTCTATATGGGACAAATTTCATTAAACACAACAACAACTTTTGTATTTGATTAAAAAGAAAAACGGAAAAAACAACCGAAAACCAAGATCATAAAACACTCGTAAAACACCCTGAGACAAAAATTGTTTTATAAATATATATTTAAATAAACTCATTTTTTATATATTTTTATTTTTATTTTTTAGCTTTAAAATATTGCTACGTCTTTCGACAGCAAAGAGTCTGGCTTGTTGCAATTCCTTAGCCCTAACTTTGTTCAGACAAGACGCACCGCTAAAACAAGACGGTTTTATGCAGCTTACAACCAACAGTTTAAGCCCTCATACCCACTTTTTACATTAGTGTACTGCTCTTTTGCTGCGAGTGCTGATTTCATGGCTAAAAAATCAAAATGCAATATTTGTTGCGGTTTTTTAGATCTAGCTTGGCCAAAACAAGACGCACAGCCAAAAGAACGACTGTTTCGTGCTGCTAACGACCAACACTAACCACCCCTATCACTCGTTTTTCGATTTAAAAACTAAGCTGTAGAAAATAGAACAGCTTCTGCTTAGCCCTTCGGCTGACTAAAATTTCGTAAATACTTTAAAGAATATTAATAAAAGCGGCAAAAAACTGTTTTTTTTACATGTAAAATTTACACAAATGTTTTTGTTTTCCATTGCCTATCTTTAGGCGCTGTCGTATTTGAAAAGGGAATTTATCGGCGCAAAGCTTATGCCGCTGATACCAGGCGAACATAATCGATAGCAAGCTTCTGCTGGGCTTCAGAAGTTTTTGTGATCGAGCGTTCTGATTGGCTGACCAATAGGAATTCAGCTTACTGGAAGTTTACAGTTAGTAAAGTTAATCAACAAGTCGATTTCCACCTGCTACTCGTTTCTGTTCGCCTGGTATTTAAAATCATAAAATTAATCAAAACTGGTTAATAATAATTTGATCAACAAAATGCTTTTTCGGCGTCCAATTGGTACATTTTTGATTTCAAATACCAGGCGAACAGAAACCGTAGCAAGCTGCTTCTTTTATTTTCAGCTGCCACCTGTCCACCTTCTGACGATAATGATCTCCTGGTATTTTTTCACTAAATCGTCCAAATTGGTCGCTAAAAAGTCATTTTCCCTCATCAAATTGGCAATTTTGGGAGTTCAGATACCAGGCGAACAGAAACCGCAGCAAGCAGCTTCTGTTTTCTACGAGATTTAACTTTTTCAAGATGGCTGCCACTGGCAGCCATAATTTTTATTGGAAACAACCGTTGCTTTGCTACCAAAACATCAAAATAGAGATGGTTGCCCATCGTTGTTTACCATATCGTATCACGAGTTTGGCACGACAATCACGAAATAATATTAAAGTCCCATGTAATTTATTCGATCGTGCCGAAAACCACTACTCACATGGCCATCCCTAAGTGGAGCTCATATATTCGCCGCCTTTTCAAGATGGTTGCCATTGCAGACCAAAACATAAACAAGAGATGAGCAACCACGTTGTTTTTTGTGTCGTCTCACGAGTTTAGCACGATAATCACGAAATTATATTAAAGTCCCATGCAATTTATTCGATCGTGTCGAAAAACAGTGCTCACGTGGCCATCCCAAATTGGAGCTCATAAACTTGACGATTTCCACCTGCTACTCGATTCTGTTCGCCTGGTATTTTAAAGGCATCCGCTAGCCAAAATTCGTTGAAACTTTGATCGAAAAATCATTTTTTCTCAGTAAAATTGGTCATATTGGGAGTTCAGATACCAGGCAAACAGAAAATGTAGCAAGCAACTATTTTCTGGGAGCCTGTGTTTTTATTTCAAGATGGCTGCCTTTTCAAGATGGTTGCCCTTGGAGGCCAAAACATAAACAAGAGATGAGCAACCACGTTGTTTTCTGAGTCGTCTCACGAGTTTAGCACGAAGGGCATGAAAAAACAATTAAATCCTATGTATTTCATTCGATAGTGTCGAATACCACTGCTCACATGGCCATCCCTAGGTGTCACTCATGTCTGGATGGAAACCGTTAGTCTGGAGCCCAAAACATAAACAAGAGATGAGCAATTACGTTGTTTTTTGTGTAGTCTCACGAGTTTAGCACGATAATTACGAAATAATACTAAGCTCCCATGTAATTTATTCGATCGTGTCGAAAAACAGTGCTCACGTGGCCATCCCAAACTGGAGCTCATAAACTTGACGATTTCCACCTACTAATAGATTCTGTTCCCCTGGTATTTTTAAACCATCAGCTAGCCAAAAGTCGTTGAAATTTTGGTCAGAATAATAAATTTCGCTCAGTAAAATTTGTCTTTTTGGGATTTCAGCTACCAGGCGAGCAGAAACCGCAGCAAGCAACTTCAGTTTTCTGTCTGTAACTACCGAAACTTTAAACCCTTATACTTGCTTTTACTATTATTGTTCTGATGTTTATTGTCAGTGCCGATTTAATGGCCAAAAAATCAAAAATACTGTAATTTAGGTGGCAAAATCGAGGTTTCGTATTTGTTTCTGAAATTGAAATTATTTACATCTAAAAAAGAAATCTTTTGAATATAAAGATAAGTTTTTCCCTATTTAAACAAAGTAATGCTAGCCGTTTTCAAATGAAATCCAAATGATTAACGGTTTTCAAATTTGATATCGATAAAATCAGGGCGTTGCCACCTCGCTTCACATAAATTTGACTTTTGCGCTAACGGAAGAGGAAGACGTCACGAGAAACGACGCGATCATAAAAGAGACTCAAAAAAAATTTAAAATCGTGGAAGATATAAAAAATTAAAGATATTCTGAGATGCTTGGATTGTCGGTGCCAGTGCAGCTCACAAATATGCGAAACAGCGCAGAAGCGGTGGCGTCCATTGCACGTGAAAAGGGATCCCAAAGGGGCCAAGGACAAAAGCAACAGGTGGACAAAGACCTTTCCACCATTATGGATGATCTGCAAACGGATTACGGGGATTACAAGTACACGGTCTACCGATGTGCCAGTAAATTTGTGGCCCTGCAAAAGATATTTCACAGTGGGTTTTGTATAAATTATGATCTTTGAAAAGAAAACCTCTTAAGGATTAACCTCTAAATTGCAGCCGGAAAAATCCCCTACAAGTTGGTTTTAGCTATTTTGGATCGGCATAACTTGAGTGGCGGCCTGGAGCTGATGGTTCCTCCATTTCAATTGACCTCCCTGCTACACGATGTGTACTTTGCATCCGAAAAGCTGGGCCACTTTAACAAGAATGCGGACTATCAACTGGACAGAGTCACTGCTCTACTGGCCAACTTCTTCTGGAATGTTTACGATCCGTAGGTTTCTATTATTAAATTGCTTTTATCGAAATTCTATCTATCGAATTGGTATTTTCCAGGCAACGCAGACATTCCATATCCCTGCTTGAGATCAAGATCACATTTATTCTGCTCTGCAAGCTGTATAGCAGTGACCATTTGGTTGGCGATTTTTTCGGCCTGCTGGCGGATCCCAAGACTCAGATCATCTCCAGATATGCCTTCGAACAGCTCCTGGCCACGTTAAGTAAGTTGCTAAGCTATTTAGGCGAGGCCAAAGCCTATGGCGCCCACAATCTGCCCCTGGCAATGGAGCAGAGCTTTGCTCGCTGTCCACACGGCGTTGGTGGACTTGCTGAACCACAGTTCCACAAACTCTGGACAGGAGCAGGTGTGCAGACAAGGTTCCTAATCTATGGCAATCTCTTGGCATTGGTGAAACGCATCGAGGACACAGAGCACTTAATACACAGCAATTCCTGTGCCGGCTGTCGCAAAGAGCATATTGTGGGCATACGTTTCCGTTGTCAGGTGTGCCGGGATGTATCACTGTGCCTGCCCTGCTTTGCGGTGGGTTTTGCAGGTGGCCGCCACGAGCCGGGGCATCGGATGTGCGAGGTGTTCGTAGAAGATCAGCCACCATTACGTTGGACTCGCCATCTGGCCAAGTTGTGTGGTTGGCTGGTGATCCCCAGGAAGACGCAGGAGGAGGAGCGTCGCGGCTTCTGCAATGCCCAGGAAAGTGGTCATGCCTTGGGTCAAACTGCAGTTACGCCTATTCCTGCGGAGACGCGCAGTGTGCTTAGTCAGTGCCAGGAAAAAGACAAGGACCGCACTGTGATCCTCCAGCAACAGCAGGAACTGTGCTCCTTGACGGGGCTAGCCAGCAAGGCATCCAATAGGCTACAGTCCATTATCGATCGCTTGTTGCTGCAGAATGCGTAAGTTTTTAAAATTTAAATAAACTACCTTACTTACCCCAAAGGTTTCCTTCTATTCTAGAAAACTGGAAACCCAGCTCCAAACAGTGGCAACAGCATCTACATCGGAAATCTCGCAGTTTCTCAGCGCCCATCAAAGTTTTCTACTGCAGATCATTGAGGATATGCGGCAACTTTCGGTAAGATTGATATAATTTAAACTATAAATCCGTGTTAATTTCTTCCACCTATTTTAAGCACTCATCTGTGACAGCTTCACCACCTCAGCCAGCTGTTCAAGTGGCTCCTTTAGCTGCTCCTTTGGTCAGTTCAACATTCCTTAGCTCCAGCACGCCCCAGAGGCAAATTTTCGACATGTATGCACCCGTGGGAGCCAACCTCACACACTCCAGTAAGATGATAACCTATAACACTACCAATAAAGAGTCTCTTAACACTAGTATGTTCTAGTTAATGGCGCTGACCTAAATCGCAGCTATTTGGAGGCCAACAAATCGGATTATTCTCTCAACGATATCAGTTTATGGTTCGATCAGCGTCGTTCGAGTGTACAGCCAGGTCCTGGATCCCTGCCAGCGCCTCTACCTCTGCCAATGCCACTGGGTGCCCTGCTGGAACAGCAGCCTGCGAACGGAGGTGAAGGGCGTGACACCGAAATGGTGAACTTCAAACTGTTGTTGCACAAGGTTAAAGAGATCGTCGAGGATTCTTATAGCGACAATGCCGAACTGTCGGCGGCTACACAAAATCTAGAGAACGTTCTAGACAGCATCATTAAGAGCGAGGAGCAGCAGCGACGCATAAGCACGTGAGGATCAGGATGCTACATCGCCCTTATATCGATTCCACCCAGACCAAGTCCACTTAGCTCTAAGCTGTAAATGTTTAAGATAATTCTGACATAATGAGATCATATTTCATGTATATATATAATACACTTCAGAGTTGATTATGAATCGGATTCTTTAATTTTCCGATTTTTTAAAACGGCTTTAAATCATGCATAAATGCTTTAAGTTTTAGATGTACATTTTTAACAACAATGCAATATTTTAAGTGTTTATATAAAAAGATGATTATACGTAAGATGCATTTTTTATAGAATTTCAAATCGCAATATACTGCTCAAAATGCATCAAATTTTTTACAAAAATTCGTTAGCGGTCAATTTAAAAATTGGAAACGTGGAATTTATTCCTTATTTTGTATCTGATTCTTCAGTATCTAGGAAATTTAACTTACAGGCAAGCACATCGCTGGTGTATTGGTGTTGGTGAAGACGTGTCCATTGCTCCCGGCGCTGCTCCTGACTAGTTGCCTCCTGCTGCAGCTCCTTCCAGACTTTCAGCTCCTCGTTCAGGCTAGCTTCTAATTCAAGGGTCAAATCGTCGAGCGAGTGGCTGAACTCATATTCCTCCAATTCAGTAACATTACAGTTCAACACGAGTAGATCCTGCTTCAGACGATGAAGTAGCAGGCGCAATCGATCTTCCGTTCGGGCATACACATGCCAATGCTTTCTAGGATCATCGCGAAGAATCAGAGCACCACACCACTGTGACATCGACTGGCGGTTATAAAAGATGCGCTGGACAGGATCGGCGGATGACTCAGAAGACTGAAATATTGTGTTGGGAGAAGTATATTCTAACATATCGGGATCGGGATCAGAATCTGTAAAATATCAGGTGTTACCAGAATGACATATAATGAAAGAGAGTTATTTATTATAACCACTTACTAAGATCGTCTTTTTCCTCCTGGGCTTCCATTGACTCAAACTGCAGCTTGGAGACCAGCAGTTCTTCGAATGATGTACAATCCTCAGCCGTCTGGAACTTCACTTTTAGAGAGCACCGTGCCGTTTGCGTCATAATCACGGTCAGAAAATCCTGATGCAGCGTTCCTGGTGAAAAAGTAGGAGCCAATAACTCTGGTTTTTCTAGCAGTTTCTTGACATCCAAGGTAGCCAGGTGTAACTGCCTGGAGGACGCTTGGTTATCCACAGATTCGGCAATCTCATACACAGCAATCAGATGAAGTTCATCGGCTTGGAGGAGATCGACGACACGCAAACGCACCACCATCACGGCAGAACATTCGGGCGGAAGCTGCCGCGCCTTGCCTACTGGTCTCCAATCCAGTCCCCTACTGTGCTGATCCTGACAGGCCCAAAATTGCGCCAGCTGGTCGTAATCCTCGGGCGGTTGGCCATTCGGCTGCAGAGGCAGCTCGTATAGGCTGTGTTCCATGCCAAAGTTATTATGTGGCTCCAAAAGAACCAGCGGATAAAGCTCTTTGACAATGCTCATTCGATGGCTGCCAGTTGCGTTAACTAATAGGACGCCACAGACTAAATAATCATCGCAGATTCGAGTCCATAAACCACCAAGACGCTGGAGCGGCACCTTCTCCTCGAGAAGCAAAGAACGCTGGCCGGGAGTGCCGAAGACCTGGAGGTCCAGGAGAGCGTCTAAGTCCTTCTGTGTCTTCATTTTCTGGCTGGACAGTTCCGCCTGGGCGTTGTTCACCTCTTGTAGTAGGCCCTCAAAATCTTCTAAGGCCAAACATTCAATTTTGGACGTGCTGGGTTCTTCATCCAGCGGCGTCTCTTGGAAGTCATGACACTGTCGCGTGCCATCACCGAATTCCAGCTCCACGACGGCCTGGTAGGGAATGGGACCCTCGATCATATCGAAATGGAGCACATCCTCGTGCTGTGCCACCAGCTCAAAGTTGGCACCGTGGTCCTTAGGTCTACGTAGAACGACGAGCTGTTTCCAGCAGAGGATCAGCAGATAGATGCCTTCCCGCTGCCACACATACCTACCGAATGTTATGCGCATCTCCTTTGGTTCCTCAAGCGTTTCAGAGTCCTCTGTATCAAGGTAGGGACTTATGGGCCCATCGTAGGCCTCTATTTGACTGGCGACCTTCTGCAGTCGCGTGTTCTGCAAATCGATATAGTGCACCAGATCCTTGCGTCGGTATTCGTAGAACTTTAGATTCCTTGACAGCAACAAAGTGTGCTCGAAATGATCCCGAGGACCTCCCACATGGAGATTGACGCAGTAGGCCAGCCGCGACGGCTGCAACAGCAACTCCGGGACATTTTCTTGAACATACGGAATATTCTCAAACATTGCGAAAACCACAAGGCGATTTCAAATTATTATTATAATTATGGCGGGTAGTGCTGGCACCGGCTCGTGGGGCAGGCTATCGGCATAGTAAACGGTATTCCGAATTAAAGAGATAAGCATATTGATTTCAATTTTATGTACATAACCTATTTTTAAATATCCATATTTTAATCCTTACAAAATACACCATATTTCATAAATTAAAAATATTCGTATGTTTTTATAACATGTATTACATGCTTATACAATATTGGTTCATATGATCATTGTATAATATTCGGTAGCTTTATTAATACAACAAAAACTTTTGTAAGCTTTTAATTCCATGGTAAAAATATTAAGTCAAAGTTTACACTAAAGTAATTCATGATTTTTTGAGAATTTCATTCATAAAAACGATTCTTTTCAAAACTAAGTAACTATCGATGCAACCGATAGTTCCCGATTATTCAACAAGTTGTGCCTATCGGTAAGCAGCTGATCGCTTGTAAGCGGTAAGAAGAAGACGGCACACAAACATTGCAGTCCGCTCCGCCCGCGCGTCATCGATTCCCAACAGACTCTCTCTCTTTCGCTCCGCCTTAACGCCCCCCGCAGTGCTACACCGCCTCCCATTCCGACGCCCCAAGAGTGTGTGCAAGATTTCTAGTTCAGGTTCTTATTGCATCTGTGTGTGTAAGCTGTGCCGTGCCTATGTATCTGTTACTGTTGTTGCTGCATCTCGGTCTGCTCAAAAATCACGAATGCAACTGCAACGTTTTGAAAATCAAAAGAAAACTGCCTGCTAAATCGCAATTTTGTTGTTCAGTGTTTTAAGTATTAAGTGTGTTAAGTATTTTAATCAACAAACAAAACAAAAATACAAATATAAAAAATAACAACAACACAAATGCAGAGCAACTGAAGCGCAAACACACACAAAAACAGTAGGGATTGCGAAAGCGAGATAGAAATAGACTAGGCATAATTTATAGCACACACAAAAAAAGAAGAAGCCTAATTTATAAGAGAAAAGTGTGTTACACGAAATCGATAAATAACGGCAGTAAAGGAGCCGGAAAGGAGTAGGGAAACATATATTTAGAAAGGAACTGTTTATAATATATACTAGACGAACGAACGCGCAACAACAACATCAATAAGCAGCTGTGAATCAGTCCGTCCCGTTCCGCCGCGCTTCCAATTCCTCCGCTTCCTTCCACTTCCAACGCCGGATATTCGGATTTGGCATTGACTTGGATTCGTTTCTAATTCGGACGCCGCTTCGACTTCTACATCCACATCAAAATCCGCAAATTCACGTTTTCCCACAACATGGTGAGTACCAACGACGACGATGGATTATTGCCGCCTTTTTCGAGTTGTTTTGGCCAAAAGCGGCAGTGGCAACAACACCCACACACAAAGCCTTGTAGCTTTTGGCCAGGTTTCGAGCTCCATGGCCGCAGTTTCAGTCCAAACTTCGTGGTTAACAGTTGGCAGCTTCCCACTGGAAGCGCAGTCATAACTCCTTTACTAGAATCCACTGCATAAAATCCACCTTCGGCGTCCTTCGAGGTGATATTTAATAGTTAAAGTTTTGAGAATACCGTAAACCCACCTAAAACATGTTTTCATAAAGATTAGTGACAAATTCCACTTCTTTTTACCCTTTTTAAGGTCACAAATTTTCTTCAACTTAAACTTACTTTGTCAAGTACATATTTACATAAACTTATCTCTATTGTTATCAAATTATGTACTACAGTGAAAACTTTAAAGGCCAAACTCTCAATATGTTATAAAAAAGTTAAAATCTGCAAAGCATTATATGAGATATTTTTTTGTATTTTTAGAATACAATGCAAATTCCATAATTGGCAATTTATTTGAACTTAAAGTTAGTCTAAAGCTCTTAGGGTGTTAATAGAGTTAACTCTTTATCCAAGTTGATTATAATTAATTAAATAATAAATTCAATCAGTCGAATAGTCTAACAATAAACATATTTCTGACTGGTTTATTTTTTAAAAATACATTTTCATAGAATTAGTTTTATAGAAAACTCCAAACTCAGAAATAATTCTTTGTAGATACTGTACCAAGATTAAAGGGCTGTAATCAAGAACGACAAAAGTATGTCACTAGTAATCTTCGATCGAAATGTTCCTTGACTTTAAAATTATTTGTACTTACATTTGTTTTATATACCTCTACATTCATTTTCACAATTTATATATATATATATATATATATATATATATATAAATATATATATATATATATATATATATATATATATATAGATATGAGTTAAATTATGTAAAAAAACCGAGAAACTTATTACCAAGCTTCTACCTGCATGTACCTGTCTCACCTGAGTGGGTATTCAAAAACGTAGCTGGGAATAGCCAAGATCTATCAGTGCATAAATCCCCCCAGCAATTGGTATCTAAATTAGAGATACTGGATACCAACTGGGCATATTCATCATCCCATCACTTTGGTTTGGTAACTAAATTCACGTCTATTTTTCCAGAGCCCGCCCATCGTCACGCGACGGAGCGCGCAGCAGGCGAAGATGCAAACGCGGGCAATGGCCAGTAAATCTAAAGCGGGAACAACGGCGGCGACGGCGGCGGGAGTAATCGGCGGTAGCTCTGCCGGCACCGGCAGCGGCGGTATCAGCAGCGGTATGAATGCCTCCGATCAGCGAAAGACGATCAAACCGAATGCAGCACTCTTGGAGGTGAAACGTCGAGCACGGAATATGCTCAAGAACCAGAGTAACGTCATGCAGGAGTCCGTCACGGATATCTTTCAGAATGTAAGTATTCCACTTAGTAGCCTTACTTACGAGACTAATTCGTTTAATTACCATCCAACATAGGCTGTCAATTGCAAGGGCCTGGTACGGAAACCCACTGCTCTGATCTACGATGAATCCATGAGCCAGCACTGCTGTCTGTGGGACAAGGAGCACTACGAGTGCCCAGAGCGATTTACTCGGGTCCTGGAGCGGTGAGTTCAGTTTTCCTAAGCAAAATTCAAAACTACTACTAACTTTGTAAAATTTGTAATTTGTATTTTCTAGCTGCCGCGAGCTAAATCTGGCAGAACGCTGCCTGGAGCTGCCATCGAGATCGGCCACCAAGGATGAGATTCTGCGACTGCATTCTGAGGAACACTTCGAACGCCTGAAGCAGACCTCCGGGATTCGCGATGACGAGCGTATGGAGGAGCTAAGCTCCCGCTACGATTCAATTTACATTCATCCGGTGAGCAATCGGTACTTAGTGGGATCTATATGATTTCTGGAACCCATAGAACAATGCATCCAAATTCCTTGGACTTAGTCTGCCTTCATTTTATTGTATTTACGCTTGATTGCTTGCAAAGCTTGTGATGTTTTTAGTTTATTAGCTTGATAAATGCAAATTAAATCAGATTAGATTAGATGCGGTTCACTGCATAGACAGCGGCTTAGGAACGGTGCGGTTTATAAATGTAATTGGATGAGAGACTAGCTGCTAACTGCAAAATGCATAATTTTAGGTGAAATAAGTTGTAGTGTTTATTTAAAATAGCTTAATTACCATTCATTTATTCCCTATTCATTAGAGCAAATATTATTCTTATGTATTCTAATTACGAGAAAAGAAGCTCAAAGAAATTTTTAAATTAACATTTCTATTATAAACTTGTTTCTATGAATATTTATGTTGCAGATTTCTGCCATCTTATTTCCCATCCCAATTTATTTACTTTAACAGTACGTCTCATCTGGTTAATTCCAAAAAATGGTTAAAGATTTAATATTTTATTAGAGGTCTAACTTACTCCCCTACTAAATCAATCTTTTTGGCAATCTCAATGCTTTGAAACGCACTGTAAATTCAGATAACGAAGCCTTACCCTATAGTATTTATTCTTAGATAAGATTTATTAGCTCTGTGTTATGTAGCTTACTGATAACCTCCTTCGCCTCTCCCTCCATAGTCCACTTTCGAGCTTTCCTTGCTGGCCACCGGCTCCACCATCGAATTGGTGGACCAACTAATCGCTGGTAAGGCACAGAATGGCATGGCCATTATCCGACCACCGGGTCATCATGCCATGAAGGCCGAGTTCAATGGTTATTGTTTCTTTAACAACGTGGCATTGGCCGCCCAGCATGCCCTCGATGTCCACAAGCTACAGCGCATCCTGATCATTGACTACGATGTCCATCATGGCCAGGGAACGCAGAGGTTCTTCTATAATGATCCCAGGTAAGTTCTTCTTTAAATTCATAAAATGTTCGTATGTTTCTAATAGAAATTCTGATTTCAGGGTGGTTTACTTCTCCATCCATCGATTCGAGCACGGCACCTTCTGGCCACATCTTCATGAGTCAGATTACAATGCTATTGGATCGGAAAAGGGCACGGGATATAACTTCAATGTGCCCCTAAATGCCACAGGGATGACGAACGGCGATTATTTGGCCATTTTCCAGCAATTACTATTGCCGGTGGCCCTTGAGTTTCAGCCGGAATTGATTATCGTATCGGCTGGCTATGATGCAGCCTTGGGATGTCCAGAGGGCGAAATGGAGGTAACACCGGCCTGCTATCCGCATTTGTTGAATCCTCTGTTGCGACTGGCCGATTCACGGGTGGCTGTCGTTCTGGAGGGTGGCTACTGTTTGGATTCCCTGGCCGAAGGTGCAGCTCTGACTCTACGCTCCCTTCTCGGTGATCCCTGTCCCAAGCTGGTGGAAAAACTGCCTCTACCACGTGCTGAACTCACCCAAGCCCTGCTCAGCTGCATTGCTGTGCATCGGCCTTATTGGCGGTGTCTGCATCTCCAGAAAACTTACGATGCTGTTGAGTTACAGGACCAGGAGAAGGAACAAGATCTGCATAAAGTGCTGCGTATTTGGATTGGTGGACCACCGCCAGTAGATCGTTACCCAACAAGAGATACGGCCATTCCACTGCCACCGGAAAAGGTGGCCACAAACACGATCCGTCTGCACTCGCTGCGTATGGAAACCAAGCTATCGACGCCACCGGTCAGGGTTTGCTATGCCTATGATGCTCAGATGCTGCTGCACTGCAATCTTAACGATCCAGGACATCCGGAGCAGCCGTTGCGAATTCAACATATCCATAAGATGCACGACGAGTACGCCTTGCTGCCGAGGATGAAGCAACTGTCCGCCAGAGCGGCCACCACGGATGAAGTATGCTTGGCCCATACTCGCGCACATGTGAATTCAGTTCGTCGATTACTGGGCCGAGATCCAGAGGATTTACATCAGGTGGCGACTGGCTACAATTCTGTGTACCTACATCCGCGCACATTCGATTGTGCCACCTTGGCAGCGGGTTCCGTGCTGCAGGCGGTGGAAAGTGTTCTGCGTGGAGAATCCCGCAGTGGCATTTGCAATGTCCGTCCGCCGGGTCACCATGCTGAGCAGGATCAACCGCACGGATTCTGCATATTCAACAATGTGGCCATCGCAGCTCAATATGCAATTCGGGATTTCGATTTGGAGCGAGTCCTAATCGTCGATTGGGATGTTCATCATGGTAATGGGACGCAGCACATCTTTGAATCAAATCCCAAGGTTTTGTACATCAGTTTGCATCGCTATGAGCATGGCACATTCTTCCCTAAGGGACCAGACGGCAATTTCGATGTGGTGGGCAAGGGAGCCGGCAGGGGCTTCAATGTGAATATTCCCTGGAATAAGGTTGGTTTTTCTTATATTGCAGAAATACTTCCTTAATGATCTCATGATATAATTTCCTTGCCTGCAGAAAGGAATGGGCGATCTGGAGTATGCTCTGGCCTTCCAGCAGTTGATCATGCCCATTGCCTACGAGTTCAATCCCCAGCTGGTCTTGGTATCAGCCGGATTTGATGCAGCCATTGGAGATCCACTGGGTGGCTGCAAAGTAACACCCGAGGGCTACGGCATGTTTACACACTGGCTATCGGCACTAGCCGGCGGTAAGATTGTCGTCTGCCTGGAGGGTGGCTATAATGTAAACTCCATATCGTATGCAATGACAATGTGCACCAAGACGTTGCTGGGTGATCCAGTGCCGACGCCTCAGTTGGGAGCCACAGCCCTACAGAAACCACCAACGGTGGCCTATCAAAGCTGTGTGGAATCTTTGCAATCGTGCCTGGAAATTCAACGCAACCACTGGCGATGCCTGGAGTTTGTTGGCCGGCGATTGCCAAGCGAACCCATTGTGGGGGAGAATAACAACGAGGATTTTCTTACCGCTTCCTTGCGACAGTTGAATATTTCAAATGACGATGCACCGGGGGCGGCTGGAGGAAACGACGGCGATCGGCCCGATTGCGGCGATGAGCGGCCTAGCGGCAGCAAGCCAAAAGTCAAGGTAAAAACGCTCACCGAGTATTTGGCGGAGAACAAGGAGGTACGAGTTTAGCATTGTGTTTAACCCATCATCAGGATTCACTAATCGGTTCCATTCGTCCGTGTTTCTATCTCACCTTTTTTCATGTCATCTTCCTCTCTTTCTGATTCGATCTTGATCAAAATTTTGAATTGCGGATCAGGCCCTTGAGCAGAATGAGATGTTTGCTGTGTATCCGCTCAAGACGTGCCCGCACTTGACTCTTTTGCGACCGGAGGAGGCGCCGCAATGTAAGCCAATTCAAATCCGGTGACGATTACAACAGTGGTTTCTTTTATGATCAAAATTGTAGCGCTTTTTTATATTTTAGAAAAAGAATTATATTTAATTAGAAGTTGGAATTTGAAATATTAATTTAGGAATTGTTTTTAGGAAGCTCTTGGAAAATTAATAATTTATAAAATATGAAAAAAGCTATTTCTGATCAAATTTAAGACCACTTGACTTCAGTTTTTCTGAAACTTGTTTATGTTATGTTTGCTTTCTGTGTCTGAAATTGGTAATTGGTTTTGTTTCTAAATTATTTATTATTTTTTAAGGCTTAGTGTGCACCTTGCTTGTTGGCTGATTTGCTGCGTATTTTTACTTTTTAGAATTGCTTCCTCTTTCTGTGCTTTTTTAAAAGATATTTTTGAACTGCATTTATGTCGCTGATGGAAAGGATCTAGGATGTTCCGTTTCCTTGATATTTATTTGAAAATAAGAATCTAACATTGAAAGACGTTGCTTGTTGTTTATTTAATGTTATATATTTATTTACTTTTTTAGTACAAACTACATTTTATTTTACATTGCATGCTTCGAAAGTGACTTAAAAGTTAAACTAAATCTAAAACTAATAATATAATTCCCCCACAGCAATAAACAGTGGAGCGGCGTGCAGTATTTGCGGATCAACGGGTGAGAACTGGGTGTGTCTGTGCTGCAGGATTGTGGGCTGCGGTCGCTATATGAACCAGCATATGGAACAGCATTCGTTGGAGATGGGGCATCCACTTGTGATGAGCATGGCTGATCTGTCCGTGTGGTGTTATGTTTGCTCCTCGTACGTCGACCATCCGCGCCTGTATGCGTATCTCAATCCGCTGCATATGGACAAGTTTAAGGAGCCAATGGCCTGGACACATGCTTGTTCGAAGCGCGAGGATGGCTGCTATGCATTGGGGCCCAATGGTCAAGATGAGGATGACAACGCCGGAAGTAGCATCTGTTTTCAGCTGGAGCGAAACAACTGACCCTTGGCCATACGCGTGCTGGACGCCCTTACGGACTACTTGTGCACGCTCTGCCCGCCGCTCAGACACCTGATTCAGTTCCTGGCCGAGCATCTATGGCCGCTACTGGAACGCATTTACCTTAATCTATTGCACTACTTCCTGGCCCACTAAGGCTCCAGCCCAGATCCTCAAAAAACTGTAACCTACATCCCGCATCCCATTTGTCTTTTATATCTATAAATAGAAAACAAAATCATAAAAAACATGAAATTATTGTTAATAAGGGAGCTGCCCGGCAATCATCTACTGGTGATCCTAATCCTGGCACTCGGCTCTCGCAGATTTATACAAATTAAAATTGTTAATGTTATCAACTAATGATCTAATAAAGACTTCGAGTGTTTTTTTCGATGATATTTTAGGCTACAATCCGGTTAAACTTTTGCTAAATATGAAGTCCGTTTTGATTTAAAAATTGGAACTAAATTTTGTACGACTTTTTATATTTCTAGATTAACTCAACTTTATCAACAGAGTAAAATTTAAACATTAGCTTTATTTTCTTTTCTGCTGTTTGCCTTTTCGTTTGGAGACGGGAGTGGATGGCTGTTTCCGTTTGGTTGGCCTCTTCTTAGGGTGGCCGCCATCACTGGAGCCGTCACTGTCACTATCGGAAAAGTCCTCGCTTTCCTCCTCCGAGGAATTACTATCTTCAGAGGATTCCTCAGGTAACTGTTCCTGTGGCGCCTTCTTCACCTGTTTCTTCTTCTGCTTGGACTTGGGTGTAGTTACTGCCTCCTCTTCAACCTCCTGCTTTTCATCCTGGTCGTACTCAATGGTCACGAATCCCCGTTGTGCCACAGGCTTGGCAGATTGCCCAGCCTCAGCTTTGGCTTTTGGTTTCTTCTCCACTTTAATGCGTTGCTCCAACACCGGACGAGCATTGCCAAATTGGCTGAGATCCAGCAGGCCCAAGCCAGTGGGTCGACAGTCCATGTTGGTGCTGGCAATCTCAGCCAGCTCACGCTTTTCGAGGTCGACATTCCAGACTTTGATTTCGCCGGAGCTAAAAAGGAGAACAATTAGTTATGACTTAGGGATCGCCTAAGAAATCTCACCTAGAGACTGTTGCCAGTGATTCGTTTAGATATGCTATTGACTTGACCCTTGCCTCATGTGCAGGAATGATGGTTGGCTGCAAAAGTAAAAGAAAACCACATGAGTAACATGGAAAAGAAACAACAAATGCTAAACTTACTGGAGCTTCCTCCTCGTCGTCCTTAAGGGAAATCCATGCAATGCTTCCGTTCTCCAAGCCAAAAAGGCACTCATTCCCATCCAGCCAGGCTACGCAAATAGGTTTTGCTGGCGTCTTGGAGCGCCGCACCACATGGGCGTTCTTGATGTCCCATATTTCCACGCACAACGGACCGCTCAGCGTGAAGTGATCGCCCTGTGTGGACCAAGACAAGCAATCAGGTTGGCTACCGAGCGTCGTTTTACTCTTCAGATTGGTCTTGTAGGCCACACGACCCTTGACCAGATTCCAGGTGTTCAGCACCTGATCGCCGCCCAAAGATAACGCCAATTTACTGCTTGGGTGACAACTGATATGTGTTACGGCCTGTCCGCCATGAGGCTTCTTCCAGTCTCCCTCCGTTGTCCAGCTGCCCACACGTGTGGCAATCATATGGCCATCGGCACTGCCAGAGAGCAAGTGCGTCAGATCTGGCGAGAATTGGAGTGTATTCACTGTACCCGCGTGTGAAAGCAAGATCTGTGACTGTTTCCGTGTTCGCATGTCGTAGACAAAGATACGGTCATCGCTGCCGCCACTGGCCACCCAGGGTCCTTGGACAGCCACTGATTTAATAGATCCTGCATGAGACCTGTCGGCAAAAGTCTGTTTCAGCTGCAGTTTGTCGTCGTCCGGCGTTGCAGTTAGCTGGTAGCCCAGCAAATACTCCTCGTAGGTGCCAACTATGATCTCGATGTCCGGCGGCATGGCTGATTTTTTATACAATATTCGGATGCTTCGGTTGCGAAGATTTCGACAGTTAAAGAATTTGTTTATCCGCTCAACACGTGTGTCAACGGAGTGGCAACGCCAATTCTCATCACTGTTGATCTGGCAATATTTATTCATAACAAATTTACCGAGTACACCATCTATACTAGCGGGGGCATCAACCACATAAACGATGTCATTGCGACCATCGATATCGATATTTTAAAACATTGCATATCGATTTTTTATGCCTACGGTTACCCAATACACAAGCCATCTAAGCATGGACAACAACATATACGCTATGCGGTGCGATAGTATAGGTTCGTATATCGATTAATAGTATCGAAAAATATAAATTGGCAGAACATCTCTAACCATTACAAATGTTTTTTTTGTGCAACTTGCGAGTGAAAATTATTTTAACTCTCAATAAAAACAATTAAATTGTGTTGTTTAAAGTGCTTGGATAGCTAAAGGCGGTCTTAACTGCACCAGCACCGCCAGTGAATTGAAGGCGGGGTTGCGCTTAGCCGGCGTCCAAAAATCTCTAAAGACCGCCATGTCAAAAAGTTCCGGGTGAGTGTATTTTTGATTTTGTTTAATAATCACTGATAATTAACCATTAAATTACCTTTCAGACGCGATCGGGACAGGGAAAGAGAGCGTGATCGTGAGAGGGATCGTGATCGAGATCGGGATAGGGACAGAGACCGGGAACGGGACAACCGGCATGACAGCCGCAATCGTGACTATGACATGGTTAAGTCCAGGAATGGTGGTGGCGGCGGCGGAGGAGGAGGTGGTGGTGGTGGTTCGCGTAATCTACGGGATGACCGGAAGCGCGGCAAGGACATGTCCAGCGACCGTGGTAGACGCGACGACAAGCGCAGGAAGCGTTCCAGATCAAAGGACTACGAGAAAGACAAGTAAGTCAAGCAAATTTATTTGAAAATAAGTTATTAGAAAAAGCGCCAGTTACAGCATTAAATATATAAATGTCTTGAGTATTCTCACATCAGATAGGTAACTATTATATTTTATTTGTTATATTACGATTAACCATCCTTAAATTTTATTTAATTATTTGCCTCATTATGCTCACAATTATATTTTAATTTTAACAAAATTAATCCTCTTAACAAAAACTCATTAGATGTGAATTTGTCACTCAGTTGATAATTTATTTATATATTCACATATTTGTGTAAAACTGCCTTAAATTATAAAGCTGTAAGCTATATTATGACTAAGTTCAGAGTGAAGGTTATTCTTGGTTAAGAATATTTAATAGTTCTAGTTTTTTAGTATTATATTAATACTTTAGTAGGTAGGTTAGTAGGTTAGGATTTATCATTAGGAGTGAGTGTGTTATTAGTAGAAAAGGTAACAGTTCTACATATGTTGGAATAGGAAAGAACAGTTATATTTTATGGAAACCAATTTCATCCTAAACTAACACCTTCTGGATTCATCACTCCACCAGCTCACCATATTATAGACGCCTGGACAAGGAGAGGGATCGTGAAAGGGATCGTGATCGGCAGCGGGAAAAAGATCGAGAGCGTGAGAAGGACAAAGAACGTGAACGTGAAAAGGATCGTGAGAGGGATCGTCAGAGAGAACGGGAATCGGATGGCAGACGAACCGTTGCACCAGCTCCACTAGTTATACCCGTGCCATCGACCAGCTCTTCCGAGGAGGAAGTAGAGGAGATTGACAAGGAGGAGCAGCAACGTCGACTGGAGCAGGAGATGATCAAGCGACGTGAACGTATCGAAAGATGGCGGGCAGAACGGAAGCGAGATACTAAAGCACCTGTCGTGGCACCGACTGTAGTTAAATCCGCAAAGAAATGGAGCCTGGAAGATGAATCTGAAGAGGACGACAGTACTCCCACACCGCCACCGGATTCTGGGAAGAAAGACGCCGAACCCGACTCGCCGCCATCCAAGTTCCATAGTATACGTAAGCGTTTCGACGATGACGTGGTAGAGTCTAAGTTCTCGCCTGTAAAACGTCCCACCTTCAGCAAGTCATTTGGCGCCAAATTAGGCATTGGTCTGGGCCACAAAACCGAGGCGGATATCAAGAAAGAGCAACCAGTTGTGGAGGTTAAGAAGGAGATTAAGAAGGAACCCGAACCAGCTCCCGTTAAGATGGAGGTCGTTGAGGAGCCCGTCGACAAAAAGGAGGAGAAGGTCAAGAAGGAGCCTGAAAAGCAAAAGGTGGATGAAAAACCAGAACCCACAGATGAAGACAAGCCGGAACCTGAAGCGGAACCAGACGACGACATAGATCCACTGGATGCCTACATGCAGGAGGTTAACAATGAGATGCGACGTGTTAATAATTTTGTCAATCCACCTACCAAAGCCCAGGGCGTAGTTATCCTCACGGGAGTGGCCAAAAAGAAGACGACGACGATAAAGAAGGGCGAACTGATCGAACAAAATATGGACAGCCTGGAGTATTCCAGTGAGGACGAATTAGAAGATATACGTGACACGGCTGTTAACCTGGCGATGAAACACCGCAAGGAGCTGGCCAAGATTGATCATTCCTCTGTGACTTATGCGCCCTTCCGCAAAAATTTTTACGTCGAGGTGCCGGAATTGAGTCGCATGACCACCGGTGATGTGGAGAAGTATCGAACAGAGCTGGAAGGCGTCCAGGTTAAGGGCAAAGGATGTCCGAAGCCCATCAAGGTGAGTTTCTATCAGACATTTTACGGGAAGTTAAGTGCTTAAATGATAATCTCATCTGTGCAATCTTCTCCAGACCTGGGCGCAGTGTGGTGTCAGCAAGAAAGAGATGGACGTGCTGCGGCGGCTGGGCTTTGAGAAGCCCACGCCCATCCAGTGCCAGGCCATACCGGCCATCATGTCCGGACGGGATCTGATAGGTATTGCTAAAACTGGCAGTGGCAAGACGTTGGCATTCATTTTACCAATGTTTAGGCACATTCTGGACCAGCCGAGTCTGGAGGATGGCGACGGTGCGATTGCAATCATAATGGCGCCCACGCGCGAACTCTGCATGCAGATTGGCAAGGATATTCGTAAGTTTAGCAAATCGCTGGGTCTGCGGCCAGTTTGTGTTTATGGTGGCACAGGGATCTCCGAGCAAATTGCCGAACTGAAGCGAGGCGCAGAGATAATTGTATGTACGCCGGGTCGTATGATCGATATGTTGGCGGCGAACTCTGGACGTGTAACGAACCTGCGACGTGTCACCTATGTCGTCTTGGACGAGGCAGATCGGATGTTCGACATGGGCTTTGAGCCGCAGGTAATGCGAATCATTGACAATGTACGGCCGGATCGCCAGACGGTTATGTTCAGCGCCACGTTTCCAAGACAAATGGAGGCACTGGCCCGCCGCATCCTCAAGAAGCCCATCGAGGTGATCGTTGGCGGTCGATCGGTTGTGTGCAAGGATGTTGAACAGAATGTGGTTATTCTTAACGACGATGCCAAGTTCTTCAAGTTGCTGGAACTGCTGGGTATTTACCAGGAGGCCGGAAGCATTATCGTTTTCGTTGACAAACAGGAGAATGCCGACATCTTGCTGCGTGACCTTATGAAAGCCTCGTATCCCTGCATGAGCCTGCACGGCGGCATCGATCAATTCGATCGCGACTCCACCATTATTGACTTCAAGTCAGGCAAGGTGAGGCTGTTGATTGCCACATCGGTGGCAGCGCGCGGCCTGGACGTTAAGGATCTCATACTGGTGGTCAACTACGATGTACCCAATCACTACGAGGACTATGTGCACAGGTGAAGTTTATATTTCCAGTCTATGTAGGATTTATTCTAAAGAGTTTCTGTTTTTCTGTACTTTGGTAGATGTGGTCGAACCGGTAGGGCGGGCAAAAAGGGAAGCGCCTTTACGTTCATCACACCGGAACAATCGCGCTATGCCGGTGACATTATCCGCGCTTTAGACCTATCAGGGACACTGATTCCTGCTGAACTGCAGACCCTTTGGACGGAGTACAAAACTGCACAGGAAGCTGAAGGCAAGACAGTGCACACGGGGGGCGGTTTCAGTGGCAAGGGTTTCAAGTTCGACGAACAGGAGTTCAATGCCGTTAAAGAGAGCAAAAAGCTGCAGAAGGCAGCCTTGGGATTGGCGGATTCCGACGATGAGGAGGATATCGAACAGGATATTGATCAGCAGATTGAGCAAATCTTTGCTGCCAAGCGAACGGTTAAAGATACTTCGGCCGCGGCAACGGCAGCAGCGGCGGCTGCTGCGGCGGCTGCAGCTGCTGCTGCTGTTTCGTCCGGAAATCCAGGCCTTGCCTCGGCAGCGGCTCAAGCAGCGGCAGCTGCTGCTGCCAATATGGCAATGGCAGCTGCATCGGCATCGGCGGCGGGTGGTGCTCAAAATGCAGGTGCTGGAGGAGCTCTCAGCTCTGATAAACTAGAGTTGGCCAAACGGTTAGCGTCCAAGATCAACAGTACCAAGAACCTGGATACTAAGGGCAGTGTGGTGACCGTGGAACCTATTCTTAAGGGGCCGCATGTCACTGGCACCGCTGCACCTCTACTGACCGCACGAACGGTGGCCGAACAGATGGCCGCCAAGCTGAATAACAAGTTGAATTACCAGCCCAAGGAGGATGAGGAGGGTCTGGGCCCACTAATGGGTGGCACAACCAATTCCTTTACCAAATACGAGGAGGAACTGGAGATTAACGATTTCCCGCAACAGGCGCGATGGAAAGTCACGTCCAAGGAGGCACTCGCCCAAATCTCTGAATACTCGGAGGCTGGTCTTACAGTGCGTGGAACGTATGTGCCGCAAGGCAAGAATCCACCGGATGGCGAGAGGAAACTGTACCTGGCCATCGAGAGTTGCAGCGAACTGGCCGTGCAGAAGGCCAAGCGTGAGATCACACGCCTGATCAAGGAGGAGCTGCTGAAGCTAAGTTCCGCTCATCACGTATTTAACAAGGGACGCTACAAGGTGGTCTAAACTAAACTTGTCAAGCCTCTCGCAATGCTTAGATATAGATATGATCAGATATATATATAAGGAATTGTTTGTGGCATCCATTGAACGCCCATGCGGATTTATCCCCATTAAATTAATTGGATACAAGGATTGTGTTTAAATTGAAGATGATTTTAGATTATTTTAAACTCAATTATTATTTGCAAAATTTGTAAAATTCATTTGTTAATATATTTGATTGTATGTATCCAATTAGAAACTAACAAATTTTCAAAACTTTCTTTATTAATTTGCCAAAGCAAATGGATTTCTTAAATCTGTGCAGAGCTCTTTCCTTGTAATTTTAAATCAAGAAAATAAATATATTTCTTAAAACTTCTCTTAATGAAAAGATAAATAATGTGTGTGTTTTTGATTGTCGGAAATCCTTTTTGGCATAGAAAAACCTAATAATACCCAAAGAGATTTAACCCATTAAGAACTGCAAAAGTGGTTTTCATATTTTTTGTTGCTTTCTTGCTGCATTTTTATTATTTACTTATATATCTCCGCCAGCACTCGAGCGCCGCAATCAATTGATTTTCATGCTACAGTATTTCTTGTGTCTAGAAACTACTAAAATTAAATTTAAATGTAGTTATGAGCTTGGGCATGTCCGTTATCAATGGTATGTATTATAATTTTTTATAAATATTATTATGCGCATTTTGTTTTCCCTTTTTTCGTTTTTGTTTTTCTTATGAAAAAAATTGTTTATGTTTTTTAAATTGGTTTACATTTTGTTCTTGTTTATGCACTAATTTGTCGGCAAAATGTTTGGTTTTCCTTTTCATTTGATACAAAACTATTTGTTAATTTTTTTTTATTTAGCTTTCGTTTAAAATTATTATTGAATTTTGCGCTTGACTTTGGTTTTTGGGGTTCTTTCTTTTATTTTTTTTTTTTTATATGGCTACTCATTCAAAATCACTCACACGCACGCTATATATATATATATAGATATATATATATATATATTATCCAATATCTTTATATTTCTTCATCTTTTATATGTACAATTCTAGTTAAAACTATGAAATGTGCTAAATTATACAATAAAAAAAAAAAAAAAAAAACTGTTATGTATAGTATATAATTTTTTTAAAATTCTTTATATATATACTATATATATTTATATGTAATTCATAGTTGTCATAGAGTTGTTGTTGTTTTTTTTATATATGATTTTTGGTTTTACTTTCTGCATTAGTTTAGTTTAGTTTGGCAACATTTTAAATTCGTTGCAATATCTCCAGTTGCTGCTAACATTTTTTTTGTTTTTTGTTTCCATTTTTGTTTTTTATGATATCCTTTTTGCATTAGTTTACTTATAATTAGACAAAAAAAAATTAAATTATGCCTTTGCTTAGCTGTTGTTCTTAGGTTTGTGTTTTTTTTTTATCATTTGGCAGGAGGAATCATGGATGGGGTCAAAGGATTTTTGGGGGGGCTTAAGGATTATGGATTAAGGACTTGCTTTGGCTGGGGATCTCTACTGTAAGCTAGCTGAAAATCTTCTTTTGTTTCTGGTTTCCTTTGGCTACAGTTGATGTGTGTGTGTGTGTGTGTCTGTGTCTGTGTGTTTGTGATGGGGAAGGGGGTGTTACATATATATTGCTGCGGTATTTACAATCGAATCAAAGTTCCCTATATATGTATATAGACTATATATACAGTGGCTAATGCATATCGCTTTTTGGTTTATTTTTCATTTTTTTTTTTTTTTTTCTTGGGGGCATGAGTGTGTGCGGGGTTAGGTTCTTTGTCTGTGTATTGGTTGTTTGTGCTGCTGATGTTGCTGTTGCAACATGCAACTCATGTTGCTGCTGTGGCTGCAATTTCCGTTGCCGCTGTTGTCCTTGTTTTGTTTTTTGTTTTTCTTTTTTTTAGTCCAGCTCGTCGTCCACATTCATTTTGCCTTTTCCTTAGATTTATAAGCTTAGATTCTTATTATCGGATCACTTGAAGCAATTTCTTGGCATTCTTTTGGTCTTTGTGTGTGTGTGTGTGTGTATCTGTGTAGTGTGTGTGTATGTTATCCTGTGTATCCTTGTTGTCGGGCAGTAGCAGTTCGAGGGAGATTCACTTTCTGGAGGGGGAAGGCCCGTGTTCAATTGATTTATCATTTCAATTTGTTCTCCGCTTTTTTTGCTCGTTTTTGTTCTGCAAAAAAGTTAAAGGAGAAAAATAAAATGAATGCGAATAAATGGCTTAGTTTGCTCAATTTATTTAAGCTTAAATGCAGGCGAGATTGGAAAGATGTACAGTGAGAAAAATTGTTTGTAATGTAATATGAAAATATTATTAAAATATTTTTGAAAAATTAATAAAAAATGAGATACACTTTTTTGTGATTTTAATCTTGAAAGCATGCTTTTAATTTCAATTTAATTTAAACAATTTCTCTTAGTGTATGCTTAGTGTAAGCCATTCTCAGCTTAGCCTTACCTTTTTTTCTTATACAATTCAATAAATTATTGCATTTGATATGTTGGTCCATTGTTTCATTATTCGTTCCTAAAAAAATTCTTGGTATTTCTTGGTTTTTCATTTAGCATTCTCGTTTCGTTATTATTTTGCAATCGATGTTCGGATAATGCTCGACTTTTCATCCATTTACTTAATAAGTTTTCTTAACTTTTTTCTTGGGTTGTTCGTGGGGATTAGCTCTCCTTTCTCTCTGTCTCTCTCTCTCTGAATGTGGGGGGATTAAGGGGGAGTGGGAAATCGGGGTATATATCTGGAGAAGGTATATAAATGTTATAGTTCTGTGTTTAATGCTGCTATTTATTAGTATTATTGCTGACTTTTCTTTGTTTTTCTTATTGAGCCGCTGCTGGTTGATTACTGAGTGAAAGATATAGAGAGAAGTGGTCGTCGTTGTTGATGTTGTTGTTGTTGTTGTTGCTCGTGGTGGTGGTGCTGCTGCCGTTGCGAAGAATACTAATAGTATTGTTTTTTTTTTTTTTTTTTTTTTGAGGATCAGGATCAGGATTAGGATCAGGAATCTGTTTGAGGATCAGATGGCTGAACCCAAAATCAGAAACAGAACCAAAATCAGAATCACTAAAGGTAATAGTCGCCCAGACAGGCTGCCGATGTTGCCGCCGCCGCTGTTCCCAATGTTGCCGCTGCCGCTGCCGCTTCCGCTGCTGCCGCCGTGTTAACCGCCGCCGCTGCCGTCATAAACGACTATCAGTATCCAAATCCCGCTGAACCGTGGCCAGTCATTGATGGTGTTACACTACTAACTATACCTAATTGTGTGGCTGTATTATTTGATTGTCAGTGTTGTTGAGCGGCAAATTTCATACGTTTTTGTTTTTGACGTTGATTGCAGAACCAGACGCGCACCACGTTTTTCTTCAAATCCAGCTTTTCGGCAATCGCTGCGATTTTCTCACCGGATGGCCTCGGCTGTACGGCGAAGTAGGCTTCCAGGGAACGCTTTTCAGGTGCCGCAATGGAAGTCCTTTTTCTTGAAAAAAGACTCGATATAGATTACTTTAGAAGCGGGGCCCTAAGCTGGGGGACGGTCGGTAGTCGGTGACTTGGTAAATATGGTTTGATATCATTTTTTTTTTTTTTTTTTTTTTTGATATGGTTAAGCGCTGTTTGTTATTTTGGTCGATCGATGCAAATGGTCTTAATTTTTAGCTTCTGTTTTCTTATTATGCAGTCCTTAGTCTTTAGTTCGGCCCGTTTTTAGATAGCCCGTAATCGTTAAACTACTTAGAAAGCCCTTAAAAACCAGCAATTTTTTAAATTTGTGATTGAAAATATTTTTTAGATTTTTATATTTTTAAAAAACACTCAGTTTCATCTTTTTTTTTATATTTTTAAGGACTAACTTGATGAATTTTAAAAAATAAATTCCATAAAAATGTAATTTATTATTTAAATAACTTTAAAAACTTAACTTAACACCGAAATTCCTGAAAACTTAAAAAATATTACTATTTTACTAATATTCTTATAACTTCCCAAACATAGGTGTGCTTTATGAACTTTCGCATTTCCATTGCAATATTGATGTAAACCAAATTGATTGCTAGATGGCGCTTTTGCTTTAATTCCTACTTAATTTATTACTTTTTCTGCACTAATGAACCTGTGGCCAAACTAAATTATTTATTAATTGGCAATTCCGCATCATTGATAAATAATTCGTATGCCTAAAATTCGATTATGGGCTATCGTGTGTTAAATGTGGGCCTACAATTCAGTACCATATATCAAGGTGTCTATGCTTTTTGTTTTTGTCTTGCCAATTATTTCGCGCTCAGATGCTGGAGGAGGGTGCTTTGGGTCTGGGGAATGGTTTGTCTTAACCATTTCTCAGTGGGTCAGGAGTGGATTGGGGGATGGGACAGGAGTTGGCTACGCTACCGGATCAATTAAAACACTTTCTACCTTTTCTTTTCGCCCGCCGGCAGGACACTGGGCGCATCGGGATCGCGCCTCTTGTTTTTCGCCTGCGCCTCAGCCTCCTCGAGCCACGCCTGCAGGATGGGCTTCAGGGCGATCATGTTGTTGTGCGACAGCGTCAGGCTCTCGAATCTACAGATCGTGCTCTGTGACAGCGCTCCGACGCCAGGTAACTTGAGATTGGCCAGGGCTTTGCCCACGTCCGCCTGCGTAACGCCTACAAAAATCATTAATTTTATGTTCAAAGTTTTGGTAAGAAACTTGAATTTAATTTACAATTTTATATAATTTACTTACCCAGCTTGATGCGCCGCTGCTTGAACCGCTCCGCAAACGCCTCCAGCTCGCGAGGATCGGTATCTGTGTCGGGATGCAGGCCAGCGGCTGCCACTGCCGCTGTGATAACAGGATGATGTACCGCTGAGTGTCCATGGTGGCCTATGAACCAGGACAGTAAGTCTGTGAGTAAACTCAAGCCAAAGTTTGGTAAGCAACTCCAACTTACCCCCCGTGTGGCCACTTAACGTGCCCGGATGGTGGTGGCTCATCATGTGATTCATGCTGTGATAGGAACCGTGCAGGTGTTGGTGTGTTGGCGTTAGAGGCGACTCCGATATGGGCGCCAACGTGGTCATTGAGCCCGTTGGATCCAGCATGTCCAGCTGGTCCATCGAGTGGTGCATCTGTCGAGAAAAAGGATTTTCCTAAATAGCATTGAAATGGAAATGAACTTCATTAAAACATTAGCCGTGATGTGAAAGTAGATTTTAAATTGGTTTCGAATAAGTGTACTCGAAAGGCAAAGATAATTATTAATCTTAGACTAAGATACTATCACTAATATAAAGCTAACTTTAAAGCAAGACTTTTATTAATCTCTTTGAAAAGTAAATCAAAACCTACTTTAATTTAAAATATAAATATTAGTTCCCATCTCTACTTAAAATCTAATTAAAAACCTTAAAGCAAACATAAATAATCTCAAAGACTAAAATATCCTTTTATATATGTACGGAATTATCATAAACACCATCATTAGCAGGCTAATCATTATCATTGTAATCAGGGCCAACGCCTGTGCTTTTGTTTTTGGAAAAACCACCCCCACCTTGTAAGCAGATAATTTGTAAAGTTTTCCACTCACGGCATAAGAAATGTATTTAAAGCTACCTCTAATTAAAGTCCCGGCTTGTTATCCACCATCCCCAAGCCCCAAATCATCCATCCTGTAAAGAACTGACAACCCTTTTACTCGAGCTGCACTTGTTACTTTTCCGAAAAAGGGTGGGGTGGCATGGATGTGTGGGAGGTTTGAGGGGCCAAAGGATCCCCCTTTGGCAGCTTTAATTGAACGGGAAATCAGGCCCACACACACACACACACACACATACCAGAACACAGAGGTACTTTAACACACAGACACAGAAAAAACAACTGAGAGCGAAACGAAACGAAACGAAATGGAAGAAAATGGAACGGATACGGATACGAGGGCGCTCGCAACTCTTTTGTCTAGCCATCAAATATTTATAGAATTGTTCAATTATTTATACAAATATGAATAGCAACTAAAAAGCTGGAGCAGCAGCAGCAGTAGCAGCAGCAAGGTGCGGCAATAGCAACGCCAGGATGATGTTCCCTCCATCCATTTTTGCTTTTGTGTTGCTTTGTTAAGCATTTAAACTGATTACAGCTGAAAAGTATGCTACAACAGAAGGCCAAATAGCCCGGATGGCCTCTTCCTAGCTCTTTCTAAGTCCCATCCACCTCGCTCCCTCTCGTTTTTATATCCCCTCCTCACTCACTCCCTCCCTTTACTCCTCAATGTTTTTAGCAGCTTTTCCAGTTAACATTTTCATTTGAATGGGTAGCAAGGAGTAGGGGGGGTGGCTTTCGGGAGTTTGTCCTGTGGGCCGGGTCACTCATATTTATTTATCTTTTTGTGAATGTGGCGCAGTCGGGCGGGTAAAACTAGCGCTTAGTTCTGCTCTCCTATGTACAAATGGCAAACATACCACGCCCCCTCACTGACGAAAAGCCCGGAAAATGGACACAGTTACGGAAAATGGGAAATGGCAGAGTTGAGGGGGAAAAACGGCAAATCGGACCCCATGCCCAATTATGTAAAACTCTAAAATGATAAGGAGAGGCCTATGGAGAACAATAAGACACAACATACATACGAATATCTATATATATATGTATGTATATATGTATATATGTATATATGTATATGTATATGTATTTGGGTATATTTCGGTTATATTTGTGTGTTTATGTGAATGGTAAAAACTATGTAGATGCTACTACATCTACTACCCCCGTACCCAGAACGGACTTTTCATGCCGAATACAATGGCAAACTCTTCAATTATAAACCAATCCCAAAATTAGTCTGACGGTTATTGGTTTGCACCCTTGGCGCTCGCTCTTTCGCTCGCCAGCTGCCCGTCTCTCTTGCACTTGGCTTTTAAATGCCTTGGCATGCCCTCACTCTTTCTTACACAATAGCGCCATCTCTATCGTCGCAGTGAGTACGGAACCACCCTGCGCGTGTACACTAACACACACACACACACACGCATACACACAGAGATATAGCCAAAAATAAGACCCAAAAGAGGGACCCAAAAATTCTGGGAAACTAACGTGAGAGAGGGAGCCAGAGTGTCGATGAGGAGCTTCGAATACTTGGCCATGGACCCCGCCAGTGCCCAGCTGTATGGCCATATAGCCATGTGTAGCCCATATTGCCGGGAGTCGTCGTCGTTGTCGGTGGCCAAAAACCCAGAGAATTCGGGAGCGGGATGTGCTGCATTGTGGTTGGCTGGGGCTTATGCAAAATTCATGTGGGCAGTGCCGATGTCGCTGCCAGCGTTGCTGCCTCCCTTACCCTTATCCTTATAGCGTTAACGTCAACGTCAGCATCGAAGGATATAGTCGTAGGATAACCACCCACTGGCCCAATACCCCAAAAACCCATCCTCTACACCTCTATCGAGATGGTCCCTCTGCTGGCCATTTCATTAGGTGCATAATTTGTAATTAATAAAATTATTCAAAGGCGGCCAAAAGGATGCTGGGCTGTAACTTAAGTTTTAAGTTTGGAAAACATAAAACAGAATCTAGATTATGCATTATAGAAGAAATACATACATTAAAAGTGAAGTTTTATAAGTAATATTTTAGTAATATTAGTTTTGATTTGGTTTAAGTTTGAATTTAAAGGCTTTCCAAAAAAGTTAGGCCCCCTTTTTTGATGTTTAAAACTTGAATAAGGAAGCATCCAAAAATCCTAAAAAAAAAGTATTTTCCTTTAAATCATTTCAAAGAATATAAATTAGCAAGAAATCTATATTTTTAGGCTTACTAAATATGCAGTCTAAAATGATAATAATGGCTAATAACACCTTTTACTTTCTTTCTTAAACTTATATAAGAAAAGGTTTTTGTAAAATACTTTTTAAAAAATATAAAAAAATTTAATAAAAATGTTTAACTCTGGAATATGGATAACAAGTTGTTAAAGATCAAATTAGTATTCATACTAATCACTAATAATTAACAACAATTTAATAACTAAGCAAACTAAAAATCTTCTTAGTGTATGGAAAACAATGTATCCAGATCTGGAAACATCACTGTCAGAGCGAGATGGCAGAGTGAGCATGTGTGTGTGTGTGTGTGTATGAATGTAGGGGGAGTGTGGGTGTGGCGTGGCATATATCTCCACCCCTTTTGGCTGGCCAAAGGACAAATCAAATGCAACAATAGAAGACAATTTGCAACAAAAAGGATACAAATAGAAAAGGATGAAAAAGAGGAAACAATTGCCAAATGTTGTCTGCATTGATTTTCCACTGCAACATGTACGTATGTCTATGTATTGGTATATATATATGTATATATATATATATATAGCTATATAAATGTAAATATGTGTATATCTGATGTGCAGCAGCAACGTCAACCAGGCATCAAACACACACCCACACATATGTAGCTCTGGCTGTGTGTATGTAAAGGAAGACGCCATTTTAAGTAGGAAATACTCTAAAGGAAAGTTGAAAGGGTTCTGAATTTGGAAGGAATTTGAATGCTAGAAGAGGTATGTTAAATAAAAATTTGTTAAATTAGAAACTAAGAAGGAGAAATGAGTAAGATTTTTGCTTAAATATTTAAACTGTAATAAGATTTAAAAATATATACTAAGCAAGGAAATTATCTGTTATTAAAGATCAATTTTTAAGCTTTAAATTAAGTTTAAGTATTTAAAATATTTATTTTAAAGTTCCTTATTGCTTGATGGAAGTGCTAATAGATCAGAATTCTATGCATTATTCCCTGAAACCTACCAAAAACAGATTTATAAACCTTAAATATTCGAATTCCTAGCTACCTTTCAGCTTTATTTTCAATATGCAACAACTTTAAGTTTAACTTGATACTTAGTTCTCGTTTTCAAAACTCAAAAAGAGTATTCCATTCTTGGTAATTTCCATTTTGTTTACCTGAGAAATCGCCTTTCCTAGTTGCTTTAATTTTGTGCTTTGACTTCGGTTGCCAGCTTCATGATTTATTAACAAATTTGCGAACATAATTTATTTATTTGCCGTTTGTTGATAAACATGTGACTGGGTTTTCTTTTCTCTCTCTCTCTTACTTTTCTTTTTGTATTTTTCTTTACTTATTCCGAGGCAAAGGAGACCCCACTCCACCCCCTGATTGTTTACGCGCAAATGACCTCATTATATATATAATGTAATTTGTTGTTGTCACAGTGGGTACCTTTTCTCTATTTTTTCCCATCTTGTTTTGACATAATAAAGCGTTTTTGGCGCAATTTGTTGTAACTTTGTTTTTGTTTGTTGTCTGTCTGCCAGATATCTCCATCTCGTTCTCTGTCTCTTTGCTGCCCTATTGCTGTCTCCCTCTGCGTGTGTGTGTCGCTTTGTTATTGTTCATTAATTTTTAAGCACTGTTAATATATTATGGCGGTGACTTTTGTCACCAAGCACGAACAGTTAGAGGCGAATTCTTTTTTAAAGGGAAATTCACCCACTTTTCAACCAGCCAGCTAACGTAGCATACTTCTCTGCGCTTCGGCATTAGGATGGGATTTAAATTTGTAACTAAAAGTTAGTAAGTAGTTAGAGGATTTTTGAATGGTATATAAGCAGTTCATTAGAGCTTTCTTTTTGACTTTGACTAGCTTTGATGTAAGCTTGGCCGAAATAGATAGATCTATGGAGAAGACTCTAAATTTTAAAAGATAATCCCTAATGTAAAAAGAAATCTGCAATTTTCGTTGACATCCAAATTTATTTCCCATATAAATCAATAAATTTGACATGCCATGTCTCAATTTCATGTCGATCACAACGAAAGGACCAACCGAAATGCGGATTAAAACCATGAGTACATCGAGTTCCATCAATATCCATGTTAATGCCGGGGCTATCCTTCGATCCGGTGTACGACAGAAGAGTCTAGCAATCATAAGTTGAGTTGATGTGTATGAAGAGGTATCTGTAGTGAGGTATGCAATGTGTAATGATGGCTAATGGTTATAGTATAGTCATAATCCTAATATGTCTACTGATTTCAGGGTCCTTAATCTACTTTTTGCGTAGAAGCGGCTTGAGAATTTGAAAGGAACACATTAGCGTATCATCCACGGACATCATGGCACCGGCATTATCAAATTCCCCGCAATAGTTGGGTGCCGAAAAGAGGGTGACCAATTGCCTTTTCGCAAAGAACTCGTAACCATCCTCGACGACCTGATGGGCACGACAGATCAGATCCAGATCGTGCTTCTGCAGAAACTTGCCCACCACTTCGGCGCCAAAGGTAAAGCTAACGCCGCGATCGTTCTCACCCCAGCCGATGGTATCCTTATCCGGATCGGACCATAGCAGATCACAGAGTAGACCATGATCGGGTACATCTGTGGGTCGCATAATGCGACGTATCTGCTCCATGGAAGTAAGATCCGGACTCAAACCGCCATGACAACAGAAGATCTTCTCATCGACAATGGCCACCACGGGCAGGCAGTTAAAGCAATCGGTGAATGCCTTCCACAACTTGATCGTATACCGACGTTTGCATTCATCGTAGAATCCATAGATTCGATTAATGCTGGCGCATTCGTGGTTGCCACGCAGCAAGAAGAAGTTCTCCGAGTATTTGATCTTGTAGGCCAGCAGCAGGCAGATGGTCTCCAGCGATTGCTTTCCCCTGTCCACATAGTCGCCCAAGAACAGATAGTTCGCTTCCGGCGGATAACCACCGTACTCAAAGAGACGCAATAGATCATAATACTGGCCATGGATATCGCCACAGATCTTCAGCGGAGCCTCTAGCTCTAGTAAGATTGGCTGGGCCAGCAATATCTCACGTGACTTAAGGCACAGGCCACGAATCTCACCCTCTGTTAGCTGGACATTTTTGCCTGGTCGGGCGCCGCGTACCTCCAGGAGACGGGATATAATGCTGTCCAGGTTGAGTACCTCAGACATGGCCTCGGGTTGGGGAGCCGCGGATACGCTGCCCGGGCCGGTTATGGAAACTGTCTGGGACGCCGTTGGTGCTGATTCTCAGGGACTTACCCTGATTCTGGTAAACACAGAAGATTAGGATTCGGTCTAAAAGAAAGGGACTTCAATCCTGCGAAGCGCTGGCTTTCTCCAAGTTATTTCTAGTTCTTAAGTATTACTATATTCTGATATATAGTTCAATAATGTCTCGCACTTTTGCAATCTTAAATGATTTGCTGGTCTTTATCTTTTGTAATAATTCCCCTGCAAACTTAAGTTCTTGATTTATTGGCTGTTTAATTTAAGTTTTGGTTTCAAGTTCTTACCTTGCAAACTTTTTAAGTTCTTCTTTTATTCACAGACTGATTAAAAAGGTTCTTCTTGATATTTCTTGGTTCTGTCAAACTCTTAATATGAAAATCATCGCCTGCTATGATGCGATATTTCCAGGGCTAATTCAATTGATGGCAAATCGATTACTAGCTAGCGAGCTGCCTTCTTAGCTTTTGTCCTTTATCCTTCGATAACTTACCAGCGGCTTTAATAAAACATTGACTTTGGTCTATGGATCCTCTGACTTTCACTCACTCGTCTTAATTACTAGATTACCGGAGATTTTGTCAAGATAAAGGGATACGGATATGAAGATGGAATTCAAATCGAATGCAGTTATGCAATGCACTTTCAATTGGTTTGGACTTTTGTGGTTATCTATCTTTTTGCGGTTAACTTAGAATTTGGAAACAAATTTTGATATGAAAATGGTGACTGTTTTCTTCTGTGAAATCGAAATGAATGAAAAATCCAAGACGTACTCTTCCCCAGCCACTAGATTTTCATATTTTGTACTTTTTAAATATCCAAAAACTCAAACAAAAAATATATAACATGCCTTGAATTTGGGACACTAAAAGGTATTATTTAAGTTAGCCTTTCCCCTGCTAAAACCTGCGACCCTCGTCTATCCCTTGGCCATTTGTTCTTATTATCTCTGATTGAGTGGAAAACTTGAAGTTCTCGAGTGCCATTTGCTGTACGGGGGTTTTTCCCCGATTCACCCTGCTGTTATTATTAGGTTGTATGTGAGCTTATTTCGACGGGATATATATAGATATATACACCCAATTTCTGAATGGCTCGTTTAAGTGTGGCCGGTAATTAGCTGCAATTTGTTAGCAAAACTTGAAAAATTGCAGTGTAAATAGAATTTGAAGAGGGTACCGACTGCAGTGTCCTTATAATGAGCCAGCAACCTGGGTTCATTGTAACTTTTCCAGTAACAACAAATGCCATACATATAACATACGAGTATACATATATAACCCCGCAGCAAGATTGAACTGTTTTTAGGGGGGAGGGGGGAGGTAGCATGCTTTACTGTACAGTGTCCTGTGGCCAGAGTCCTGCTTGGGCTGGCCACAAAACAAACATCCAAATAGCAACAGCATCGTTTATTTTGGGGAAACAAAGGACCTCATTTTCCCTCCATTTGTTTAACCAGCAAGCCAGCAAGGACAACAACGGCAAAGTTTTATAAATGGTTTGGCCATTGTTGTGCCCACTGTCGACCGTCGACTGCCGCTGTTTGTTGAAATTAATTGGTGTTACACAAATGAGTAATTTTCAATGTACATAAATATTTGCACAAATTGCAATTTACCAAGGCGCAGCGAGAACATTGGCAGGAGGTGTATATTGGGTATACTATATACACCATTTCGAGTGCTGTTCAAATAACCATTTTTATTGTCAAGCGTTAATAATTTTAACAATGAATAATATGAACGGTAAGCATCTGTTATTATTCCAAACAAATCAAAACAAGTGCAGTCAGAGGCTGGCACAGGATGTAAGCATGTGGGCGGGGACGACTCAACTCGACTCGACTCGACTCTTGAGTTCTGAATCCTGTGAGTCCTCCCCTTTTCGTTTTTATCCTGGCCACACACAAATCTTCATAAATTGCAACTGCCGGGGCGACAGTTTTGGGAATTGAGACAAAGTGCGAGAAGTGCCTGTGGACCAGGGAAAGCGAAAAGGGGTCGACAAATGGGAAAATGATACACTTTACTTTACTTTACTTGTTATTACACATACATACATAGACACACGCACTCACACAGGGGTATACAGCCTGCATACACACAGACACAATCAAGGAGCAACAAATTGCCGCATAAATGTGGGGTGGTTCGCCACGTAATAGATTTTATTTTATTTTTATATCCGCCAGACGCGCTGCCAGCGGGCAACAACTTTTTTTTTTTTTTTTTTTTGAAGGGGATGCGAATCGTGGCCTTTACTTACTTTTACTTTTTACCTTTTTTCCCCTGCCTTTTTGATCAGGGGACGGGGAGCGGGAAGGTGCAAGAAGGTCGAGGGTACCAAGGTGGATTTCAAGGGGAATTCCCAGGACATTCTGCACTGCTCCGAGCCCTGTTCCCTGGCTATAAGAATCGCCAATTTTTAGGGGAGTGCGGAAAATAGGTTTTTTGTACCATAAATCGTTGTATTTTTTGCCAACTTTGAAGCTTTATAGTCTTTCCCTTGCCTATTGGTAGCCTTTGATAAATACATTGTTTTTGTATTTTTTTATATTATTAAATTATTATATTCCTCGTTTTTCTTTTACTTTTATTAATTTATTTAATTTCTTTCTTTTTTTACCGTATACGGTATTATTTTCATTCATATACAATGATTTAAAAGCTCTGAGAGCTTTGAGAAGAGGTGCAAACGAAGATCGTAGAAAGATCCGTTATCCTCTCTCAGAGTTTGTCTTTCGCTTTTCAAGTTGTCATTCTTAATGAGTCGCCCGCCCAAGCAGCATTCGCATATTATTTTCGCTGTTAAAAAGTGTTAAAAATATAAAAAATATAAACAATAATACATAAAAAGTGATCACAAGACTGTTTTTACATTGTGTTTAAAATATATATTGATTTAGTGGTGAATTTATCTATTTTTTTTCTGTGCCAAAAAGCAAAAGACGCTGCGCGGGACAAGTGTCAATGTATGCATGTGTGTGAGTCTGCAATTTGCAGTAATTTATTGATTTCACTATTAAAAAGTATTAAAAATACTCAAAACAATATATAAAAGTGATCGCGGTATAGTCTTATGTATTGTGTTCAATAAACATATTAATTTATTGGTGAATTAATATATTTTCTATGCCAAATTGCAAGTGACGCTCCTCCAGCCAAGTGTAAGTGTATGCATGTGTGCTCGCCTACGCATTACATTCATTCCATACAGTGTGTCGAAAAAGTTTTGTGACATTGAAATTTAACTTCATATTCTGTCTTCGCAAATAAGAATAAAAACTCCGTTAAAATTAATTTTTTTTTATTAAAAGTTATTATCTTTGAAAAGTGTCTATTGTATTATTGTAAAAATAAAAATGAAGCCATGCGAAGGAAGAAATTAAAATCCAAACTGAAGTTTACTTATGATGGACACTGTCTAATCTTCGCTTGCTTGTCGTTTTTGTTTTCGTTTCTATTTGCTTACCTCAAGAAGAGTGTTAATTTTATGTTGGCAATGCTTTTGCATAGTATTGCCGTTGAATATTCATTCATAATTATGAAGGTAAAAAAAAAACAGAAAAGGGAACGGGACTTGAAAATACGACGTTTGTTTTGATAAAGAAGGGAATATAGCGGAGCCCAATAAGAAGCTTGCATGCTGTGGAAAATTAAGGTAAGTACATCTAATAAATATTTTTAACATTGTTTTAATAGTAAATTTGGTTCTTCTTTAGGTGAAAATGGAAAAGGCGCACCGCTGTACAGGTTGATATATGGATGTGAAATATACACAAAGGAAATTCAAGTGGAAATGGAAATGCGATATGGAAAACTAAGGTAAGTGGCCTTTAATTATAAGTACATATATATAAGTCTTTCTATTGCTAGGTATTAAAAAAGAACACCTTCATAATAATATGTTAAGGGTTATCATTTCAAAAGCAAGGCCATATTTTTAAGTTTTCATTGCATTCCAACGATCAGTTGTTTCTGGTAATTTCCCAAGATTGTTTCCACTCCAATTTAAGTGTAGTACGACTCCTGACAGAGAACTCATAAACTTTTCCGACCAAAAACCAACAAGAACCACCAACAGGCACGCAATACACTGCTATAAGTTTCACGGTTAATGGCAACATATTGTCGCTGGCTCATCAAGCGTGAGAGAAGAAATAATAACGTTAAGGAAGACGATGAAAAACCGAGCTAAAGTACCGGGGGTTTTCCCGCCTTCGGCGACCACCTGCCAACGTTTTCTTCCGCCCACTCCAGCTTTAATTTTTGCTCGTAATTTTTTACACATTGCGGTCCCAGCTTAACGGTGCCTCTACCGTCTGTTCTCCGGCCTGCTCTACTGGGAGACATATCGATATGGCCGGGGGAAACCCACCCATTCAACCATCTACAACCACCCTCACCCGCGTTTCTTCTGTTTTTTTCATCTACGTCACGCACACGGCGATGAAACAAGTGCAGCGGCACAGGTGAGGAGGGTGAAATGGAAAGGGTACACTGCGAGAAAGAAAGTTACTGAAATTTAATAGGTAAAGGTATAGATAATATATAGCACACTTGATTCCTTCCAAAGAAGAGTTTAAAATATATAAGGAAGTATATATTATAAAGGATATGTTTAACCTTAGATAAAGCGTGTTAGCTTTTTTATTAGTGCTCAGGGAAAGTGGCAATCACACGCTGCGTCACAAGTCTGTGCAATAAAAACAACAACAAAAAGCACAACGACACGCTGCACACACACACACACACATAGAGTGAGTAAAATACACACACAAGGACACGGGGGATTCCACGTACGCCCATGGGGTTGGGAGTGGAGTGGTAATAGAAATTACATACAAAGTAGCAAAAACACAAGGGGAGTCGGGGGTTGCACAGGTTTCACATCACCTCACCTCCCCTGCTTTTTTTTTTATATTCAGCCTGCACTTCCCTTCACCTTCTCCGCTCTCCTTCTTTTTGGCGGTGCGACATTAATATGTAGATGCATTAAGTACATTATCCGGGGTTACAACCTCCGGGATAACAGCGAGAGCAACGAAAACCGGAGAAGCGTACGCAGCCAGCATCCAGAATTTACTGGTATGGCATCGAGGTATGGGAAACAATGGCACAGTGGTTGAAAGTTGTTAATTTGGGATTAAGTTTGTATAAAATGTTGCTTTTTCTATTGGCATTTGTTCTTAAATATGTTTTCTAACATTTTATTATTAAAAAACGTAATAGCGAAGAAGTTTTTGTAAATCAAACTTGAAACTACAGAAGAAAAATGTACAAAATGTCGAATTTAAATAGTATTTATTCATTATTTTAATATTCGCCTTGCCTTTTATTTAAAATATATTAATTTATTACCTTAAAAAATGTTTAAAATTAATTCAGAATTAAAGGAAAATCGAGTAAAGTGTTAAAAATTTATTGACTTAAGAAATCAGCTTATTTTAGCAGCCAAAAACTCCCCACTAAATCCCATTTAAGCCCACTGAACCCGCAACTTCAGCCCACTGTGCCCAGGGGCGTTTGCTTAAAGGCATGACCAGGGTCACAGGGGGAAGGCAAGGGAAATATTATGATTTATTTTTATTATAGCGGGTAAAGTGGTCTTTACAAGCATCAAACAGGGCCACGCCAATCGCCCACAGACGCGCCGAGTAAAAAGGCAGTTAGTTGGTTTAGCCGAAAAAAGGGGAGGACTCAAGGAGCAGAGAGGGGGGTGTGGTGTGCAGGAGTAGGAAGGACATCCAGGAGTACTACCATAAGTGGGCGGGGGGTGGTACAAGTTGTTAAATGGACGGGTGGATTTGCACTTGCCGTGCTGACTGTTATCTTCATTTTTGCTTTCAGTTATATTGCCTGGGAATTCCTGTGGGAGATGCCCGGGCACGGGATCAGGGATCAGGGACAAGGGACTCGGATATACGGATACGACTACCCCCCCCATTCCCATCTCACCATTCCGATTGCTCGACGGCTAAAACAAATTGTGTGCCGGGCACGGGCATAAAAACAAGCGGATCAAACAGCCGAGCAGGTGGAATGGTAGCATCATGGTGGTTGCGGATCTAGATGGGTGGGTGGGCATGGTTTAGTTTGAGTTTGGCCCCCCCTGGTTGTTTTGTTCCCGGGAACAGGAGCCGCAAATCGAAAAAGAGTGTTCCCCGGATTTCCTTCTCTCGTTGTTTTGACCGTAGCAAGGTTCATTGAAATTGCATTAATGTTCCGTTTGGCTGATAGATAACCCCGCCACCCCGCCACACCGGAACCCCTTGGTATATCAAAAAAAAAAAAAAAAACAAACCTTCCAACCTGCCACCACCCCCTCGATATTCCTATTGTATTGTGTAATGGAAATCTGCGTGTATAATCCGCCCCTGATAAGATGGGCGGGATAAACTAGTTATGGCCATTAATACGATCAATTTGATGCTCACTTCGGTGTAAGCAAATAACAGTCTTATTGAAAGACGGCAAAAAGAAAACATATTTGGCGAGACCATCCCTCGTCACAGTTGTAACTGATAATTTGTAAAGTTATATATGTATATATATATCCTTGGATCCTAAGGGGGTTGGAAGTGCGGGGATTGTGGGTCAAGTGATGCGTTGATGTGCATTTTAAGCAGGTTAACCTGTTAACTGTCACAACCCTTTTTTTTTTTGGCTGGCCTTAAAAAAAGTGAGAGGGGTCGGGGGTTCAACTTAGTTAGATCCGATTTAGCAAGGTGCGTGTAAGTGTGGACAGATGCTGGGAATAACTTATGGGGTTTATAGACTAGGAAAGATGGTTATATTGAATATTGGAAGAATATTTGACCAAGGAGATTGCTAAGTAATATGGCTTTCGGGGAGAAACTATGATTAAGCTAGTTTAAATATCAGAAATATTATTAAAGTTGAGAGCCTAAGGAAATCTTCTTGAGAAGTATTATAGTGTTAAATCCGAAAATTTTGATAAAAACTTAAAAGTTTACATAAAAAGCTTAGTTTTTAAAAAGAAATGCATGACTGCCTGTATGAGTAACCTTTTCTAATATCAATATTATTGAAAGATCTTCAGGAAAAATATAAATTTCAATGAGAAGTTTTAAGTCTTTAAAATAAGAATGTTTTTCCAGCCTATACCTTACTACGTTTTCTATATTAATATAATACTTAATAAGATGAGTTTATGAACATTCAAAGAATACTTTCAGACCTTGTTTTAAGGTAACTTAACTGAACTTTAGTTCTTGGCAAGTTTTTGTAACCTAAAACGTTTATCTCTCAGATGTCAGTGGGAATTTAATTTGGATTGTTTTGAACTCTGTGCGCTTTTTAAGTTGTTTTCCATTTTCCGTTTTCCATTTACCAATGGAACCCTAAACCGATTGTAATCTGCAATTTGGCCAATCAGTCGATTAGGGCTAAAAGCTGTTTCTTTCGAAGTGGGCCATTAAAAATTGATGGAGGAACTGCAAGGGAGAAAGTGCAATTTGCAGTCGAAGTTCTAATGCGTTGTCGTTGCGTGTAATTTTGTGGAACTATTAACTGCGGAGAAGGACGAGGATGAAGGCGAAGACGCCGCTATGCCACCTGACGTATGAGCAGTGCTCGTGTCCTTTATCTTTTTCTTTTTTTTTTGTTTCTTATTTTTCCAGGTTTTTCTTTTTCTTCTTCTATTACTACTAAACTCCCACCCACAAAATGTGTGCGCCTGTGTTCCGTGTCTTCAATTGTCTTGGCCATAAAAAAGACGAACACATACAGGGCCTAAATAATTGATGAAGAAAAGGAAAACTAAATAAATAAATAAAGAAACGGGAAAAAGTGGAGGGGAGAAAGTGGAGGCTTTGGTGGGTCGGTAAATTGTCACATTGGATGACACAAAGCTTTCTGCACAGCGCAAATAATAAAATAAATGAATGAAAAAAACATGCTATCGATGGCTAACAAACAAACAGACAGATAGACATTGAACTTTCACCTAAGCAAAAACAACAACAACAACAGCTATAGCATAGTCGTAGCCACTAAATAAAGTTAATGCATTAATAATCATAATTTCTTGTATATTTGATGAGCTACGGTTTTTGTGGCACTCACTGTGTGTTGGTCAACATTAAATATGGTTACACATTTAATTAAGTCAATCAAGTTGGGCGATAAATGGCAATGTAATCGATAACCAGACATTTCCCTTTGATGGCCAGACGATAAACAATCCAATAATCGATAATTGGACAATTTTCAACATTCTCGTCAAAGTCTGTTGTTTGTCTAATGCGGTTTATTTTTTCTATTGCCTTTTCAGCTACGAAAAAGGTAAAGTAAAGTAAAGTAAAATAAAATTAGAAGAAAAACTAGAGTTCAATGTACGCTGCTTAAGTATGGAAAATTGCGTGAACTTTGCCTTCTGTTTGATTTTGCATTATGACTTAAGGAGGAAAATGACAGTTAAGCTTGTAATTGCTACTAAATGGCGGTAATTATTACATTTTTAATGGTAGTTAAGTAGGAAAGCTAGTTTTCTTTATAATTTATAATTAGCTGAGAGCGCTCAATAAGCGATTTTTAATTTATGGTTTTGTGGGGTTAAAGAGGAAAGGGAAAGAAATGCTTTTAAATCTGTTAATAATGTGCAGGAATGTTGGTGAAGTTAACTATTTTTATAGAACTTAGAAACTTTTAGAAACACTTTTAAGTTACACCTTAGGACTTGAATTTATCTTAAATATGATCTATTTTTCAAAGTAGAAATGCTAAATATTTCAAATAGGTAACCAATTTTTGCTGTTTTTTAGCTAAAAGAAAGAACTTCCTTAAACTTGCCATGTAACTAATACATTTTTCTTTTTATACTTCCAGATCAGTTAAAATTTCGTTACCAATCATGGAAATCACCACGAATTTCATCAGCAACACCCCAACTAAAATTGGTTGTAAGCTTTGTGGATACCCCGAAGGTCCACCCTATAAGCAGCCACCCTAGTTAGCGGTAAGTTGTTTTTAATGTGCACAAAAGACAAATATTTGCTGTTGTCGCCTGTCGCCGCTGGGCCGCAAATAGTTAAAGGAAGCGGAAAAGGAAGAGGAAAAGGACGTGAACAAGGAAATGGAAAATGAAGTTTGGCTTGCGTGTGGAGTGGCAATGGTGAGTTAACGATATTTACAAAACAATATGCCGACCGCAGGAAAAATCAAACAGGTGCACTAAATGAATTTCAATATGATAAACCACTTGTGGTTGAATTTCAGGAACTGGCCAAAGCCACCCATAGTCGAGCCCTCTGTGTATCCCTTTTGGTCCTTTTTTGAGGGGGGAGGATACTTTGGTGCGTGCTTGGCTTGGAAGGCGTTTCATTTCGAGGGAAATTGAGCCATATGTTGCGAATACTAATGGACAGGATATGCCCTGGCCGCTGCGCCCCCTGAAAATCACCGGAAATATGTAAGTGTAATTTAAATTGAATTAAGTGAACGAGGGTTGCGGGGTTGTTGTATCAGAAAGAGAGGATAGAAGATATATATATAGAATAACCAGATCGGAACATTAGTTACGGGGGGGGACCTCCGATCTCGGAAATCTGTGATAAACGCCTGCAAAGTGGCCAGCCAGGCAGCCAGGCAGCTCATCCCGGAAAACTCATTTGGCACAGTTGGGATGAAATTGATAATGGATAATATTTGCCGCTGCCGTAATTGTTACAAATGTTCTGACAACCTGAAAACAAACCCCTTGGAAAGAAACACCATTCTCCCCCTTTTCCCAAAGCTGAGCTGTGAATTTTATGATGGATATGATTATTTTAATTAGCATTATATTTACTCTTGTTTACCCCTTTGGTTGCCGCCCCGTTCGTTGTTTTTACTGCGATTGCCTCTCCACATAATTGGCTTTTCATATGCTAGCAAAACCCGAAAACCAGTTGGATTTCTGGTGGGGGATGCTTCTGGTTGGCTCGTAAATTAGTTTAATTTAATGAGTTTTGTTATGTTGTTGTAGCCATTGTTGTTGTTGCAGTGGCACAGCGCTGGGGGCCTTCTGTCTTCTGGCATAACGATTATGACACATGTTACCAGACTTTCTGACAGCCCAACCAGCTCCATCTCCAAAAGTTTCTCGACAGGCGAAAGGGTAGGGAAGGGTTTTTTGTGGTTTTGTGGTTTGAGTTTTGAGTTTTGAGTTTTGGGTTTGAGAGGGAATAAATCCAGGTGGCACTACGTTAACGAGCTGCCCCAAAATGCGGCACTATTAGCAGAAGTTCATAAACTCAGGCTGACAGAATTTTATAGCTAGAAAATTACTGGTTATTTGTTATATTTTTGAATTCCCGAAAATGTAACTTTGCATCAAAGAAGTTTATAAGAAATCAAAAGAAGTTACCCTCGAAATCAAATTCAGGCTTAGTTTCAGTCGAACTTAGCATTTCTAACCCGGATCCCAATCGGTTTTTTTTTTGTAAAAATCACAAAACAAAATCTAAAAATTTGTTTCATAAAAATTAACCTAAACGATTTTCGTCGTTGAGCAGCAAAATTCATTGTTTTTTTTTTTTGGCAAACAAAGAAGAATACAATCTAATAAAGTTCAGAAGGTCCGTAAGTGTTATTCTTGATCTGAAAGAGGGAAAAATGTTCTGTGAAGAAGTAGCCATGGAACTGCTAAACCCAGAGGTCAACTATAAGCCAGAAGTTAAAATAAGAACGCAGCCGAAGCCAAAATGGAAAGCTGAGTTGGTGATCAGCGATAAGCGAAAGGGAACATCGGCGGTTGATCCTTATGCAGAGGTTAAGGGTAAGCCGAATCAACAGCAGGTCATAACAGAAGTAAAGATTAAACCCGAGGTACTTCCCAAAGCAGAGCATATTCGACAGCCTAACCGCATGGTGAAACCGCAAACTAAAGAAGTTATGCCCGAAGATAAGGCGAAGGTTGAACCGCAACCGAAATACAAGCTTTTTTTAGTAACCAATCCGAAAGTTATGCTGGATGCCAGCACAAAGGTTGTAGATCAGACACCTAAAACTAGAATGCCTAATCAGGAAACTAAACTAAAGCAAGAAAGTAATCAAGAGACGGAAGTAATCTTAGCATTGCCGTTTAGATTCAAGGCTGCGGTACGGACTGTACGAGAGGCTAAAGAGATCATCAGAGAGGCAAAGTCTAAAGATATACCAGTAGTTGTGAGGGAGGTAAAGGTAGTTAACAATCTTAAGTCAGGGATTAAGATTGAATCAGAAGGTGAGCCTGTATCTAGGCTTCAGCATGAACCAGAAGTTATAAAGCTAAGAAAACCAGATGGGAATATATTAAAGTCTAAGGAGCACGTTGTTATCTCTCAACCGGAACAGAAGAGTAAATTAGAAGATAAACTATACCTAGAATCTAAGTCTATCTTTCAGTCTCTTGGCAAATCAGTGGATGAACAGAAGTCACAGTACAAGACAAAGTTTATAAGGCAGACTGAGGTTGATAACCCCAAGAAAGAGACTAAGATTGAAACAGAAGGTAAACCAAATCTAAAGATGATAAGTATACCCCAGAATATTCCACGTACTAAGGAGGCAGTAATCTCTTATCTCAGGAATAAATCTCAATTTGTAGCGGAACCCAATCTGGAAACTATGTCTATATCGCCGACTTCAGGCAAATCAGGGAAAGATCATAAGCTGAAGGATGTAATTAAGGCAGGGGGCGATGTAAAGGCTGAACTTTATGTTAATAGAAGTTATCCAGAAACTATGTCAGAGTTTAAAAGGCACACTGATAAGGCTGATATACCTAAGCCAGAGACTAAGACTGATTTAAAAGATAAATCAAATCTTCAGATCATATCTGAATTCAAAGATATACTAGAAGTTATATTGCAAAGCCAACAAGAGGTCAGACTACATACTAAAGAGTCTGTCATCTGTAAGCCTGAGAAGAAACCTAAACTAGTAACTGAACTAAATCTGCAAACTTTGACCCTGTTACCAATCTCTATAATGCCACGGGAGAAAATCTGTGTAGAGGTTGCGGTACAAACCGATAGTGATTACGCTTTTTCCAATGCAGATGTTATATCAGAAGTTAAGAGGCAAACCAATGAGGCTAACTTAAGAAGTGAGTGGATATTAGAAGATATAGAAGAAGGATTATGGCAAGAATATAAAGATAAAGCCAAGATCAAGTCTATATTCCAGCCATCTTTCCATTTAATAGATGAAATTCAAGCCAAGGATAAATTCAACTCAGATGTCACGAAGAAGGGGTATTCCTATGAAGACTTAGTTAAGCAGCAGCATAAAGAGGTTGTGATGTCTAAATTAGACAATAAATCCAAACTCAAAGCTAAGCTAAGTGCAGAGATGCTGTCAATAAACCAGAAAGTAACCAAGGCATTTGAGGAGTTTAAGTTCCTGAATGAAAGTACCCATTTTTATGACTATAAACTTCAGTTAGGAGGAATGTCAGAAGTTATAAGGCCAACATATGGGACTAAATCAAAGCCCAGAGCTGTCGAAGAGGTGATTTTTAGAACCAAGACTATATCGGAATTTATATCGCTAAGCAGATCTGATTTTACTAGGTCTTCTAGGGAGTTTATTCCTGAGCAATATAGAGAAGCTGAAAGCAAACCCATAATGCCGGTTATACAGAAGCCAATGCTACGTAAATCGAAGAACTTTTGTGAGAAAAAACGGAAGACTCAAGACGTAAGGGACGATTTGTATAATAATAAACATAAATCTAAAGATATAGGACAGACTTATATCTCCAAATCCAATGCTAGCTCTAGCAAAGATCTGATATTTAACCACAATAATAAACCAGATGGTATGCCACAAAGCAAATCTGAAGTTAAAAAGCAAACTAAACAGCCCGATGACACCTCACCTGTAGATGAAGAGCTCAAACGTAAAGCAATGTCCGTAAAATTCTCAGATTTGGTTGCTAAATACTCAAAGCCACGGGAGCCCAAGAAAAAACTTCCCATCCATGATTATCCAACCTACTTTGCTAGCGGGAACAAAACAAGGACAACTGATGAAATGATAGAGGATTGGGAACGTTATAAGATTGTACGTCAGGCAAACAGGGAAGATGATGAGAGATTCCTTCGCGAATGCCAGGATTACAAGAACGATATGAGAATTGTGAATGAGAAGCTACGACAGATGAGCGAACTGCTCGATAAGAGTCTATCCCACGATTAAAAATACATTTGTTTCGGTGGGTCTTCGGTTGGAGGGACTTCGGAAGACCAGATGTTCAGCACCAGGTCATTCCCACATAGTCCAGTTTTTGGGGTCTCAATATTTGATGTGAGACCATGGAGGACTGATGGCTGGGTGCTGGTCAGTTGCCAAACTTCTTTGCGGTTAAAACGCAATGTGTTAAGTCTCCCATCGGAAGGGTTATGACCTGGTTTGATTGGGAAATATGATCGATATTTGGTTTTTAAAAGGATAAGACTTGGTTCTTGTGAAGAAAGGAAAAGAATGAGGAAATACTCTGCACTGCAAGGCAATTTTGATAATATATTTTTATATATTCTTCATAATAAAAAGAACACTAAAGAAAAAGCTATATTTTTAGAGTAAAATATTATGCTTTTCGTTTGATATTATTTGGGATTAGTAAAGAAAGATTTATAGTAACCCTTCCTTAAGCTCTGTTAGCTCTTCTCCTCCAATCACTTAACTTTTCCCATTGTTATTTGAGACTTTTCCAAACTCAATATATCTTTCTCTGATTTCTTGTCTTTATTAATAAGCCTCGATTATATGGAGAACCCTCTGCCCGGAAAAGCCAATTTGTTAACAATCGAATCGCGCAGATCGTGTGTGTGTGTGTGTGTGTGTGTGCGGGAATGGTACTTAGATAGACATCCAGCGGAAGGGGGGGGCTATGATTGAGGGGTGTAGAGTGTGGGTGATTGATAGAGTTGGCACTGCCAGTGGGCACCACAAGCAGTAACAGCAGTACCAGGACTGGCACCTGAGACCGAAATCGAAACTCTCGAGTGGGCCGAGTGTGTTTGCCGAAAATTAAGGACAGCACGCGCTGGCAATTGGGAATGGTTATGGGTTATGGGTTATGTGCGCTATGTGCCATGTGGCATGTGGCATGTGCCTTGCGCCTTGTGCCTGCTCAGTGCCCTGAAGAAGGGCAGGGGGGGGGGCGGGGGGAGTAACACATTATTTTGCCTACGCAATATATTGAGAAGGCTAGCGGGCGGCGGGCGGAGGTCACCAACAACCACATCAACCACCACATCGCGGACGGGGCGCACTTTCGTCATGCTCGATTGTGCCGAAAACAAGTGGCAACTGCAAACGGCAAACAGTGGCAGCAACATGAGTACCTTAGCCGACACCAGCTAAAGTAAAATAAGAACTACAACTAGCTGGAAAATGTATATTTATATATATATAGAGAGAGGAAAACAGGTTGCTTGTGTAATTTGATTACAATCAACTTCTAATAGAGCAGCAAAGCAACCACCCTTACAACCAGTTCTAGCCTAACCTAACCCCCTTTATTTTTTTTTTTGGAAAGGGGCTTCGATTGGAACGCCCAGTTTGAGCTGAAGTACAATACAATTAACGACACGAATCATGATGTGCTTACCTGGCAAACGACCGTCACGTGGCACGTTCCCAGAAGGCTTACACGTCACAATTTTAATTTTATTAAAGAAACATTTCAAATTAACCGCACACTCACATATATCTATATATATACTCGATTATATATATATATATATATATCTATAGGTAGACATGCGTGTGACCATCGAGAACGGAAATTGGAGTTCTTGGTTGTCCCAATGCGACAGTTCCGTTTCCCTTTTCCCGCATTTAATGTCCCTCTTCATCAGGGAGTGACTTTCATAATTTGCAGCATTCTAGAGTTTATGGCTAATACCCCATATCCGACCAATACACAGATACATACATATATATAACCACAAAAGGGGCGGTGCTCTGATGGAGTTCAATCAACCGTTGGACTTCAACTTCCGGACATAGATGGCTCTATAGCAGCTTTGGTTTGTGGTTTAATAGATTGTTTTGGATGTCCGAAAAAGGAGTTGAAATCATATAAGGGGGGGGTTCTTAAAACAAAGGTTTTGGGTTGGAAATAGTCTATAAAGTTAGTTAGTTAGGGTTATATATTCTGACTCTTAGGTTATAGTAGCCATTAATCATACAAAACTTAAGCCTTTTGGTCTTTAAGACTTAGTCAAGTTAAGAATTTAACATTTTAAGATGTAACCAAAGGTCTTAAAAGGTTATAAAAGCTTCATCCTTAAAGATAACTATATAGTAACTACAATAAACTACAGTAAAACCCCCCCGCAAATAGACGGAATCCTTAAGCTCAGACTCACCTGCAATGGACGTTGCGGGGGCCCACTCATGGAGTGATGATGGTACATGACATCGTGCTTGATTTGGGAGGGCATTTGGCTATGTACATGCTGGGCTTGATGCTTCTGGATGTCGACGGCGGCCAAGGCCTCCGCTCTGCTGAGTATGCCATCGTTGATGCCCGCGAAGATATCACCCTGCAGCGGAGAGAAGATCAAAGATCGAGATAGGTTCAGTATCAAAAGGAAATATATTTAGAAAGTTGAAAGGAATATGGAGTATGGAGTTATATGGGATGCAGGGATATATACCACAGGCAAGAACACAATCGAAACAATAGGGAGTATATATATAAAATATATATATATGTAGATATATAGAATATATATAGAGAACCAAATCACCCAAATCCAATTCGAAATTTTTTCGTTTAAACAAAGGCAAAGTTCGATGTCAGCTACACGTTGGGCATACATATAGATATACTATAGGGATATATATATATATATATATAGGTCGTCGTCAGCGTTGGCAAGAGAGATCAAATATCGAATATCGAATATTGAATATCAAATATCGAATATTGAATATCAAATATCGAATATGTGTGTCAAAAATGAATTTCAGAAAAGGAAAATCAAGTCAAGTCAAGGCAATTATGGTTAACTGATGTTGTTGTTGTTGTTTTTGTTATTATTGTTGGTTGTTGTAGTGTTGTTGTTTGTTGTTGTTGTTAAAATTAACTTACATTCTGACGTGCTGACCACGAATTGCATAATAGGGAAGCATCTTCTAACAAACGACTCTGAAAAGACGGAACAAACATCGATAGTATGTGTATAGATTGATGTGCCACTGCAGCAGTTTTTTTTAATTTATTTTTTATATATTTTTTTTTTATATAGAGATAGTGAAAAATCAAGAGAAGAAACCTGAAGTTAACCTTAAAGCCTTTAACCAGCTCGCTTCGTATTGATTTCTTCTTTGAGGGGCACCCCACTAGCTGCTTTTTAAATAAATAATATCAAAAGTTTTTCGGTTCCCATGCCCGCGTTGGTTCATCTTCATGTCGTCGCCGTCCTCGTCGTCGTCGTCGTCTTTATTATTCCAGTCTTATCGATTTTATATTTTATATATATATCTTGATATATATATATATATATATATATATACTCCTTGTGTACACGAAACTCGCACGAATTTTTCAGTTAATCAATTATTTAGATGCGCACAAAACTTCAAAACGCCGCACGACGAAAACGAAAGACCAAAATGTAGGGGGTTAAGTGTGAATGAGACGGAGCCCACATGGCCAGAAGGAACAGGCCACATGGCTCACGTTTGGCGGCCCATTTTCAGGCGAAAGGCGTAATTCGAAGGCTTAGCAGGTGCACTGTGGAAAAAGTGGGGGAAGATGTCTTAGATTGGTTTTTCTTATAGAAAGACTTGGGAGAAACCATAGGAATATTATAAAATGACTTCAGGGATAGAAACTTCCTGAAAACTTGGCAAATCTTCTTAGCAAACCTTGTTTAAAAAATCATTAATATTCAATAATTTATAAAAAAATGTTTACGCATTTTATTGTAAAACTTTAAGGATTTTTTAACCAAAATATATTCTGTAATTTTTTAAAGAGAAGAATAAGCTGATCAGCTAGCTGTCTTTAAACCCTTGCTTTTAATATATAATACCTGAAATCCTTGCCTTATAATCTTATTCCTGTGTATAGCTATATCCTTCTTGCCAGGCATTTCCCTTACTCGTTAGAATTCTGTCTCATTTTGGCCCAAACGAAGACCGCAATAACCGGGCAGCTTCGGAGGCGGCAGTGGCGGCGGCCATTGTAGAAATCAAAATGTTGTGCATTCTTAATGACGTCTTGGCCCATTCGAGCAGTCGACCATGGCCGACCCCTGATTGTCGCTTAAACTTGGTCGAAAGGGGCATTCTTGACAGGGGGCGTGGCATGTAGGCAGTGGGTGGCTAGGTGGTTGGGTGTGCAAATAATCTGACAGCGACAGTTTGTTTGCACTTGCAGCAAGCCAGTGAGCGGGCGGTTGAAAAGGGGGTCGTGTTACCTTTGCGACAGTTGCCTTAATGGCCACGTTTATGCGTGCTCCCATTACGGGATGCCAAGGAAATGACAGAGTTCGGGTAAGAGATATAAGGATTATACGGGGAATGCGAAAAATAAAACGAGGAATGTGTTTGGTCTAATGAAAAGTGCACAGTTTGGTGGTAGAGAGTTGGAAATATTCAATTAAAAACTTTAAAAAAGAAGTTAAATGCCTCAAATAAGTTTTTTAACAAGATATTATTTACTTAAAAACCAATTATCTGTTTAAAAATCGTGTTCATTTCAATTTTCCATTAACTTTTCTAAGAAAAGTTAACCATTACCATAAAATCAGTGCCCTTGCCCCCCCATAAAACCCCCTAAAAAATTCAATCCTTTCCATTCCCTTCCCTTATATAACACCCTTTAGAATCAAGGATAACCGACCTGGCTAAAATCTCTCCTGACCAGCATTCGCAACAGTTTGTTGGCCAATAAATTTTCCACCGCAACGCAACAGCAGCAGTAAATTAATTTATGAATTAATATGCGCAGTCATTCATCAAATTATGCAGCGCCATCTAGCTCTCGCTCTTGCTCTCTCTTTCTAGCCACGACCTAGGCCAGGTTCCTCCATAAGCCATAGCCATAGTCATAGTCATAAGGTGGAAAAGGGAGAGAAAGGTGAGATGCTGGCCAGGACTGTGTCTTGACCTGCTCGCACACACAGACACACACACTCATACACACTCATACACACAGAGAGAGTCATAGGGGGTTCCCATTGCAGGCTGACACTTGCACATAAATTCTTTATTAGTGTGAAAAATTAATCAAGTGAACTGTTATTTTTTTCCTTCTCGTCCTTCTCGTCCCTTACGTCCTTCTCTTTCTGTCTCGCAGTCTGTTTGTTTGTGTCATTTTTCGCCTCCACGTGTGTTGCTCTTATGTGTGTGTATGTGTGTGTGTGTGTGTTTTCTGTATGTATGTGTGCCTTGTATAAATAATTTGATTTTCTTCTTTTTTTTTTTTTGTTTGTTGTTGTTGATTTTTGTGGGAATTTAATATTTATGATGTGTGTAAATAGATACGCATTGCTGAATGCTTAATTTTATCGATTTATCGCTGGAAAGCGAATCAAAAAACCGGAATTCTAGAGCAATTAAATTCGAAGGAAGAAATGACTTTAAAGGGCTGAAGGATAACATTAAAGTTTGAGAGCTATTGGAAGGAAGTTTAGAGAAAGTTTGTTTTATTTTGATTTTTATTTATATATAAGAAAGTAAGCCATGTTAATGCTTAAATTGGTAAACTTAATGCCTTGTTTTGCTTTTTTTTATTATATAAAATTAACTTTTTTCAGGAGTTAATGACAGATCTGTTATAGGAACTATCAAAAGTAATATTTAAACGTTTTCATTTGTCATAAAACAGCTAACTTTTCAGCCTTCTAGACTACCATTTTCTTTGACTTATTCAAGTACTTTTTAGATATATCCTCTATCAATATCTATAAATCCCTTTGATCTGCCAAATAGCTTTCCCCATCTACTTAATCTCTCATTGAACTGAAATTGAGCTCTGCTAATCCAGCGTTTCAACTTTTACCATTCAGCAAATGGCATATCCTGCCCTGCTTTTCCTTTTTTCCTTTTCTTTTCTTTTCTTTCTTTTTTATATATATTTTTTTTATTTTGCCAATAATTTGTCAATTGTTTTCCCGCTGGTTTCGTTTTAATGTCGCGGCCATTAAATGCAGTTTATGAATATTTAAATCAAATTAACGCCGCCGCCGCCGCTGTCCATTTAACGCGGCAGGCAAACAATTCAAGTTAAATGACAACAACTGCCCAAGCCCCCCTCTCAGTTTTTTAACAAACAAAAAAAAAATAATAAAGAAGAGAGAAAAAGACAACCAACCAACCAACCGCCCCTGGAAATCATACACTTCTACGGGTTTTTTGGTTTTTGGTTTTGGTACGCCTTCCCTGGTCCAGGGGATCGACGACAAATTTCCATTTAATGGACTGCAAGGCGTTAAGTGTTTTTGTAACCAGCCAAAAAGTGCCAACCCACTCTCTCTCTTTTCCCTTCGAAGTTTTTCCCTCCCCGAGCTGCTTAATGCCCAGCCAAGGGTAGCATATAAATCCTATAAATCCGGCGCTTTGATCATTCAACTTGGTCCGCAGCCTTGCTAGCTGGATGAGATAGCAGCTTCCAAAAAAAAAAAAGCCGAAAAGTGGCTAACGGCCAGCAGCTGAAGGGGAATAAATCCGATAAGCAAATGTAGTTGTTGGCTCTTAAAGAAGGAAATCACTTCAAGTGATTTTCCCTCTTCTTTTTTTTTTTACTTCTTGGCCTTTTTTTTGTTCTTTTTTTTTGGTTTAAAGTGCTTCTGTGTCGGATTAATTTGAAGGACTCTGTTGGTAGTGGGGTGGGGTAAGGTGGTTGGAAAATGAGAGGTGGTGGGAAAAAAAGGTGTGTTTCCCCCGTCTCGTGCTTTCAATTCACCTGTTTTGCAGGCAATCAAGTTTTCGCTTCCGCGAGAGGTTTTCTACTAATTTTCCAGGCTCTTTTTCCTCATTTCTTTATGCAGATTTTATGGCCTAGCAAAGGGTATTTTATAACTTTTATTTTTCATAATTTTCTTTATAAATTGCCTGGTTAGTTGATTTTTTTTTTTTAATAAATTTAATTGGAATTTAAGGAAGAAATTTTTAAAAGTTTTTTTTTACTGTGAGAGTTTTTATTTTTAGGGCAGTTTAAGTGGGTTTTTGTGTTTGTTTTTGGGTTTTACTTTATTAAGTTTTTTAAATTTATTTTAATTATTATTATTTATAATATTATTATTTTAATTATTATTATTAATTATTAGATCTTTAACTTGTTTTTAAACTTTATTTTAAGTCTCTTACCCTTCTTTAAATTTTATTTTTAAGCCTTAAACTTCCTTTAAACTTCATTTTAAGTCCTTAAACTAGCTTTTAACTTTATTTTTAGACCTTTAACTTTTTTTAACAATATTTTTTATCTATATATTTATTTTAATTTCTTTTATCTTTATTTTAAGCTCTTTAACTTCCTTTTAACTTTCTTTTTACTCCTTTACCTGTTTTTTAATGTGATTTTTAGATCTTTAACTTGCTTTTAAACTTTATGTTTAGTCTGTTTACTTCCATTTAACTTGATTTTTAGGCCTTTAACTGGCTTTTAACTTTATTTTTACTCCTTTAACTTCAATTTAACTTTATTTTTTGTCTTTAAAACTTCCTTTAACCTTTATTTTTACTCTTTTAACTTCCTTAAATCTTTGATTTTGGGCCTTTAGCTTCCTTTTAATTTGATTTTTAGATCTTTAACTTCCTTTAAACTTCATTTTAAGTCCTTTAACTTCCCTTAAACTTCATTTTAAGTCCTTTAACTTCCTATAAACTTTCTACAATTCTACCAAAATAAATCATAAAAATAAACGCTGCTCTAAGGCCATCTAAACTGATGAAACTTTGTCTTAAAAATGTATTTTAAAAAGGAAGAAAAAAGGGTAATAATTTCCACAAAACCTATAAAAAAGCTCGTTAAACTTCTTTTATTTTCAGACTAAAAACACCAATAAACTTCGAATTCCATTTCACTGACATTTGCTAACTCTTTTGATAGAAAAGGAACACCTCTAACACCCTCTAATAAACGCATTTATCACCCAGGCGGCTATAACCAGTTTCATTCCAACCCATAGTCGGTAGTATATATATATATATATATATTTTAGCCGTCTTTGTTCTTCTGGCCCTGGGCTTTTACATTTTTTATTTGTCTAGCTGGTCAGCAGCGCATACAAATAGTTGTTAAATAATTAATGCAAATGAATTTCAAATCACTTTTCAAGGTTACTGCACAACCCTTTGGGTTTGCTATTCGGTTTGGGTTTGGGTTTTGGGTTAGGAAAGACCCAAAAAAAACTGAGAACTGGGAGAACCCAAAAAAAAAACTTTAGCGACAATTTTCAGGACTTAATTAAGATAAATATTTGCCGGAAATTATCATGAAACTGGTTGGTAATGGGAATGCATTTACATTTCCTGTTGCTGTTGGCTTTTCCTTTTGCCATTTCACCTGTAATCCTGACCAGGGCGCAGGAGCATTGGCAGCATCAGACTGGCATCAATAAACCTGTCTGAGAACTGTCAGTAATAACCATTTAATGTCTGCCCATGTTCCCATTCAATTTTTAACTCAAAGCTCATAAAAAATTCAACAGGACACTGGCAAACTCCGAGACGCCTGCCAAATACTCCGAATTATTCGTTATTAATGCATTCAGACAGAGGAAAAACACGGCGTGTCCCTAAGCTTCTTTCTGTATATCGCACAACTTGCTTTTCCAACCTGACTGCCTGACTGCCTGCCTGTTTTTCTTTTCAGTTTTTCTTGTTTTTCTTTCTCCTTTTTTTTTTGTATATTATTCAGCTGCCTGCGAAAGTATGAATGGAGTTGATATTTGCGGGTCACAGGAGCAACTTTCCCCTTTTTTTTATATTGTTATTAACTTGGTCTTTGGAAGGTGCAAGTGATATTTATATGTCTTATTAGAAATGGGAAATTAGGCAATTAAGAGTGAGTTTAGCTGGGGAAATTGGAAATATTTTTGTTAAGCAAAAAGTTTTTTTTGTTAAATTTTCTATTTACAAATTCAATTTTAAGTTTAACTTTTGCTTATTGGAAGAAAATGTAAAAAAAAGGGTAAATAGTTATAGAATTTGCAAGTTTAGAGATATATTTTCTAGTTATTAATTGATTAATTATTTAATTTTAATATTTTTTTGGTTAAAAAGGAACTCTGAGAATGCAATTTTAGAGAAAAAATCTCTTTAATTTTCTTAAGAAGTTCCTAAATTAACAATTTTTATAGCTTTATAGATATATTTTCCATTTGTAATTTCTTTAATAATTAGTTTACCTTTTTAACTTTCATATTTTTGATATATATATGTTCTTAAACATTCCTTAACCGATTTTAACAGTTAAGAAGGTAAACTTTTTCTAAACATAAATCAGTTAAATTTTCTTGCAGAGTTTAAGAGTTAAGATTTAAGAACTTAATAATGCTTTTTATGTGATATTTAAGAAGATGGCAGCTTCTAAACTGTGTGAAATGATAGGAAGGGATTTGATTTTAAGAATAATAAGGAATATTAGGAACAGAAAAGTGTTTTAAAATTCAGTTTTTAAATATAAGTAAAAGGAAATATATAAGAAGAGTTTAATATAAACATTTCATGAATGGAAAGATAAAAGTAAAAACCTTTTCTAAGTCCCAAATTCATTAACCTAATCAAGATTTTACTATATCCCATATCCCATCCAAATATTACTCGCCCCACCAAGCCAAGTTAAACTCTCATAAATTGTTAGAAATTCTTTATACACCTTAAACGTGACAAGATGACTTGAAGTTTAATGATTGCAGAAGGTTTTCTGATTATAATCCATACCGAAATCAATTTGATTTGCAATGACTCGGGGAAAAGAGACAGAGAGAGAGAGAAAGGTGGGAAAAACAATGTACTAATGTGAAAATCATACCTCGATTGAATCGCAAGATGATGAGATGTGAATCTGTAGAAGGAAGGATATTCCGTAGTAAATAAACATTATTCACGGATGTAATTGCTTAAGGTTTCTTAATTTATATTGTTTTTAAAGACTAAAGGATTAATAAAGTTCTTAGTAAGTGGGTTAAATATTAGATTTTTGGGTTTGTCGATGATATTTTGAGGTTAAACTTTGATTATAGTTGCTATGTGTTGGTTGGGAAACTAACTAATATCCTTTGGTTATGCATTAAAGGTTATACGATAGTTAGAACTGGTTAACAAAGGCACTTAAGTATCATGTTAAGAAGGTTGTTTTTCAGGGAAATAGCTGAATGATATTATTCAGAAAATAGATTCTATATGGGATAAACTTTAAGTAAAGTCCTAATAAGTTCATGAAGATCTTAAGAACTTAAGGTCTTAAGAACTTTCTTTCCTTAAGCTTTCATATTAAGCCTTTAAGTAAATCAAAGCAAGACCAATTTGGGATTACTATAGCTGATCTATAGTTAGCTAAGTACTATATAGTAATATAAAGATATAACTTTAAGACGAAGAGAAACCAAACCCAAGGGAAAGTATCCTGATAAGGTTGTCCCTAAAACTCAACAGGAATCCCCTTTTGGATTCCTGCCATACCACATCACCATGAAGAACGAAGGGGTATTTCTAGTTAGAAGAATTCTTCAAGACTCCTTTTACTCCTTAGATACTTACAGATGGATTTGGCATACAGCGACGCATCTGCTCCGAACTTCGATAGGAGGGACTGTAGCGTCCTGGAAAACAACTGGGCGCTGACATTTTCATTTTATCCGTCGTCGAGTACATCGACATTGTCATGCAGCCGCCGACGAAATCCTCCTCCAGCTTGAACGCCCTGGAGGCGTCGAAAGTGGTTGGCGAGTAAATTTTGAAGCACTTACTTGGACAGCTTTAGAGCGTGTCCTGCATGCAGGACATCAACAAATTATCAAAAAACCACTGGGCCTGCTCTCGATGGCGCGCCCTTTTTTCTTTATCTTTTTTTTTTTTTTTTTTTTGCTTGCCTCGTTTTCGATTTGATTTTTCGTTTAATTTGCCTTTCACTGCACTTATAGATTTTCCTTCTTCTTCTTCTTCTTCTGAGCTTTCTTTACTTTCTTTCTTTTCTTTTTCTCTTTTTTAATAAATTTTTTGTAATTTCCGTTTAGTTTTTAATTTTTTTTTTTTTGTGATTTCAAAGACGCGAACTGAGAAAAAAATCACAGTAAAAAAATGTTGCCTATGGAGAGGAGTTAGAGAGAAACTGTGGTTTGACCGCCGGTTGCTTGCTTGCTGCTAGCCAGCCTTAGCTGTGTGAGTTGGACTTTGATTCGATTACGTTGGGACGCGCACTCGAAACGGTTATAACGGTTTCATTGGCGTCGGCATTCAAACTGTTTACCGTTGGGCCGGATACGAGTGTGTTGGCCCGCTCGATTTCCGTTTCCTGTTTTGAATATTTTTGTTACTTTTTTTTTTTTGCTGGTGTTTAGAGTGAGTTTAGTGAGCTGTGTGTGTTGTACCGCTTGACCGCTACCGCTATCGCTATCGCTTAACACCGGACCGGGACCGTTTATTATTATTATTATTATCGAATCGCCGCCGCCTTTCAACTAGATAGATTTGGTTGTTGTTACTGGTGCTGCTGTTGTTGTTGTTGTTGCCGAAGAATCGAGAAACTTAAAAACGCCAGCGCACAGGACACACAGGACACAGATTTCACAACTAGACAAGCGCGCGTGGTGTTGTGATAAAGAATTCTATGATGAGTTTCGCTAACTTCAGAGTTTATTTTCAATGGGGCGGACGACATGTTTTCATTATTTATCAGCGTGGGCGTGTCCACGCAGTTGGCTCAAAATGGCAGCCAAAATCCTTATATAATGCAAGGATGTGGCCCATGATTGGTCGCCAGTTGGGAGCGGGCAGCGCTGCCGGCGCCTTCGTTCAGCTGGAATTGGGCAGTCGACGGTGTGTCTCTACCCGGCGTATCCTTCCAAACTTGACGAAGCCAATGCCAGCGTTTTTAGTGGTTCAGCGTTTGCGCAGTGGCTTCTGGTATTCTGTGTGTGTGTGTGTGTGTGTGTTAGCGATAGGGTAGCACCACCCCCTTCGAGAACCACCACCCCCCTTTCGAAATCCACTTGCCGCTCTGCGTTGCTGGAAAACCCGAGCATCGCAATGCCCCGCGTCCAGCATATGGCACAATTTTTTTTTTTCAGTTTCTCCGCATTTTTGTCGATTTTCGAAAGGGGAACGGGTGGGTAGCTTGGTGGGTGGCTGAGTGGGTGGTGTGGCGCGGCGGCTGAGCCTTAACAAAAGGCACAAAACGCCAACGCGGCGGCAGCGACGGCGGCCAACAATGCCAAAACAAAAATGGGCGTACATGGCAGTATAGGGGAGGAGCAGAGGAGCAGAGGAGGAGTAAGAGGTGCTAAGAGGAGGAAGAGAAGCGGAAGCCGGAGGAGGTGGGTCAGGGATAGCCAGCCAGCAGGTGGGTCAGTTCGAGGGGGGAGTGGCTAAGGCCTAGTTGTTGCAGTCCAACTGTTAAAAGCATGCAGCATGGCAAATCACCTAAAGGGTGTTCCGATCTGAGGAGCACTACGGGATGAGGATTACAGGGTGCCTATGGCTATAGATTAGATTTAGTTATTAATTTAAGTAAGTACAAAGTATTGAAGTCTTAGCTGGAGAGTAATCTTGAAATATTATTAAATTAAATGGAAGTTAAGTTAAATTTAATTTAAGTAAAAACTGTTTATTTTACGGGTTTTTAGGTATGAAATTAATCAAGTTAAGTTTGAGTTTTTGTAGTATTTATAACTCCAAAAAGACGATTTATTTTTTAAAGACAACTGAAAACCAGTTTCTATAACAAAAGATATTCAGAAATATGTTTTCCTTACTTAACTTTTATTAAGTTAAAAATAATAATAATTTGAAATATAACTTTAAAAAGCATTTCCAGCGAACTCTTTATAAATTTTTGAGCAGCTAAAGTTGTTTAAGATTATAAACTCTTTAAAAAGTCTTAAAGAAAAGAATAATATAGTTATTATAATGGGCCAAAAAAAATAGGCCAAAACTCAAGTTAAAAACATGTTCCTGTGTAAAAGTTGCTTTATTTAATTATTTTTTATTATAATTAATGTTTATTAATGGAGTTAATATAATTACTTAATTAAGTAAACAACAGTTTAAGATTATTATTTCATATTTTGTGCCATTCAGGTCACAGATTATTTCAAATATCGTACCTCTAGCGCCATCTATGAATGAAAACTTTGCTATGAAGACAGGTTTAACCAAGCAAAAGCCTTTACATACATCCTTGTTTACATGCAAGCTTTCGAAAGTTACTTAAAGGACTTTTAGGGGCTTTAAGCGAAAGAAAAAGCTTTTCCAGAAGGTCCTTAAAGCTCCGCAACAATTTCCGTTTTAAAAGCAGCAAAAGCTCTCAAGGAAACCAGAAATCCCCAGCCCAAAAATAAAAACAAACAGAGTTATCTTTTTAAATTCACTTCATTGTTTCTCATTCGATTTTTGTTTTTCGTTTGTTTTTCTTTTTTTTTTTTTTTGTTTTTTTTTTTGTACAATTATCTAATACATTCCATTGTTAATATCTCACAAGTTACTGTAGAGTCGTGTATAAAACTTTTTACAAGGATAGTCTAATATGGGATCTCAACGTGACCAAAGGATAAGTGGCGGATGAGTCGAGTTTAGTTGAGTTTGAGTTTGTATTCGTGTTTTGTGTTCGTGTTGGGTGAGCGATGAAGCACAACATGGCCTATAATGAATTTCATAAATTCGTTCAGGAATCATAATACCTTGTTGTATATAGCCTATACCAAATTTTTCGTACGTACATATATATACCATATATCAACCTAAAGTTATGCGTCTATAATATTGAATTAATATACATATATATCTCATACCTAAGTTTAAACACAAACAAAATTTGAACTAATGCGCCAAGCGAGCAGCAAACGATTGGTTTTTTTTTTGAATTGGGAAAAACAGTAAGGGGGGGTGAAGGATTGGGTGTATCATTTAAACTACAAACTATTTGCAGACTCCCAGTGAGATCTATGGTCCTACATATCGTGATGAGCTGTGGGTTCCTCGATTTCTTTCTCGATTTCTCGATTGCAATTCCGGTTTGCCTTGTGCATCGTTGCAATTGTGAGTTGTTTTTTCTTGGTGGTACGAATTCGATTTTCCCCTCTCGTTGCCTCAAAGTTCTTATAGATACTCATATATATATATATATCTTTTAGGGTTCTTGGCGTCCTAGTAAACCGTAGACAATGCGCCGTCGACTCTGTACTTCAGCCCTCATAGTTTCCGTATACGGATCGAAGGATAACAGACGCTTCTTACGCCGGAAGATGCCCTCCTTTCGCATGATGGCACAACGCATCAGCTGCTCGTTGACGGGGAACTGCAAGAACTCCAGGATGGAACGGAGTTCCCTTTCTGTATGGTGAACCAAGTCGTCGTAGAAAACCACCTTGATGCTGCCCGTGAAGTTGCGAGCCCAACTGAGGTTCATCATCTCCCAGCCCTTGAGCTTGTTGCTCACGAATTGCTGCCAATCTGTAAGTATGGAAAAGCGATTAAAATCAGTTGGTTGAAGGGTTAAGATTAAGATATATGTATATGTTAAACCATATAAGATCTAAACATCATATGATTCCGGTTTCTGACTACCTCAAAAACCAATCAAAATGGATTACAGCTTAGGCTTGGCAGCCTAGCCCCATGCCTAATTCTCATAATTAGTCTTAATTAGTTAGTTAGCAAGTTAGTTAGTTGCCCGCCCCCCTAATCTAGATCTAGATTACTTATTACGTACATTTCCCCTTGGTGCGCTTATAACGATCTGGTGATGCAAATCCAATGTGACCGCCACTCTGGCGATTGAACTCGGCGATAATCGCCTTTTCCGGATCTCGGACGAGGAGTATTGCTTTTGAGAACGGTGCCCACGCCTTGCTGCCCCACTCGTGGGTCTTCACCAATAATACTGAACTGTTGCAGACATTTTCCGCCGGAAAGCCGGTCTTTAACAGGCCATAATCCTTGTAGATGCTGCCCGTTAGAATGCCGGTGGACTGCTGGAGGAGATAGCGTAGCCACGTGTTGCCGCTGCCAGGAAAGCTGGCTAGAGCAGTCAATGCTGGCAGGGACTGTAGGGCGGCACTGACATCGCTGGGCAGGGCCGCTGGGGGTTTAAGTTGGTTTTAAAATGTAATGTTGTTGAGTTTGTCTTTATAGAATACTCACTGTAGAAGTCGGCCTTGTAGTCCGCGTAGATTGGAAGATCTCGATTTATGTACTTAAGGTCACGACACCAGCGTATCGTCATCTTGCGGCTGGGCATCGGAAACCGAGGACTATGAAAGCTGGGAAACTGCGGAGGGAAAATCGGGGTTTTAAGGCAAAGGCAAGGAAGTTGGTTAATAACTATTCTTAGTTTATCTAATCTATCTATTAATTTAGTACCATTTCTGTCACTCTTTCTGATGGCTAAAAAGTTGTTTTGAAGAAGATTTACTGTTTCCCCTTCAACTTTTGCATTTTGTATATAATCTTTGCCTATTTTAGCAAACTTTTCCTTGGAAAATGTCTAAAATTGATGACTCACCTCGGCGAAACGTTCGATGCGCGGTCTCTTTGGATGCGATCCCGGTATGTTGTTCATGGAGAGGAAGAGCACGCCGCCGATGTAGATGATGATGGTTGCCGAGACACCGAAAAAGCGCCAGCCTTGTAGTGCCATATCGCCGTCTTTGCATTACTGAAAGCAAGATTATTGGGTTTATTGATAGCGGTGGCATTATCCTTGAGCTGGAGCTCGAAGCTCGTAGCTCGTAGCTCGTTTATGTAAAAATAATTCAAATGAACATGTTCGCATTAATGAAGCCAATTATCTTTTTCCTATTTTTCCAGAACGAAAGACAATAGCGGGAATCAATTTTCGGTTCATGTTTTTGTTGATTTTGTTATGACAACCAAACAAATGCGCAAGGAACAAGGACCAAAGGAACTCCAAAACAAAAAGGAAGCGAGAGCAGAAGCCATTCCCGGCGAGCTCTCTCACTCTTGGCTAACTTTGACTAACTTGGCCTAACTTGGCCAATATTCCTGGGTGGCGGCGGCCCCCCTACGACTTTGGTAACCCCGACAACACACACCCAACGCCACACTCAGTGAGTGACTGACAAGAACAGCGGAACGGAAATGGGTGGCGCAGCGCACTTGAGTTTGGCTTGCAAATGAAAATTGAAAGGAAAGCCCGTCAGAAGAAGGCAGTTTTTCCAGGGAGACTGATGAAAACGAAAGAGGGATACTCTTACTTAATGTTTGGCTGGCCCAAATGATTGATAACTTGTCCTTAATATTGATAGAAGAGGTCTCCGGTGACTGATTGCCAATTATTGGGGCAGACCAAAATCATTAGAAGGAGAGGCATTAGGCCATGGTGAGTATGGGGAATAAATTAAAGATAATTAAAGATATATATATATATATATAACATTTTAGAAAAGGAGCTTAGGAACTTGAAAGGCTGGGAAATATGAATGTTAAATTCTAATTTAACAAAGAGTCAAGGGGAAAGTTTGAAATTATTATCAAAAAAGGTAAGCCTTGACTTAGCTTTCTGATTTACTTGCTAATACGGATTTTCTTTTCCTATTTTAGGCACTCTCACCATCTCAGCAAACTACTACTTTAGGCACTCTAACTATCTTGCAATCTCCCTCAAATGTCAGCTTAAGAAAACCACTCAGCCTTCTGATTAAAGGATAATCTGCGACCTGTTCAGATAAGAAAGGCATTATCCTGGAGAACACTTTGCCATAAAGCCACGAATACCCTTTGGTAAAAAGGGCATACAAGGGAAGGAAGAAAGAGAACAAGAGAATAAAAGCCTTGTCATGCCTTCAACGGAATTCCTTGAGCTGCATAAAACGCTAACGAAATCCGCAAAAGGACACCCCGTCACACACATGTGCAAGGCGTACACACACACACATAGACACATGTGAAAGACAAGCAGCTAAATGCGAAAATTTATGCAACAGCTGGGCAGAAACGGCGAGGGTTGTTCGATGAGTATCACGTCCTTGGCCTGAGGGATATACTTCGAAGCACTGATAAACTTTGGACAGGAAAAAAATAGCCGGAAAAGTCGCTGGCTGATGATATAAGATATGGCACTCCATCCCCGGAAGTGAAGCAGGAAGGGGGGTACCACACCGCACCAAACGGGAACTTCTTGAACCACCCACAACGTCGCTGAGTGTGGCTGGGGTGGTGATGGTGGTGTTGCTGTTGGTGTTGGTGGTGGTGGTGGCCCAAAAACTAGTTCAACGCTGAAACAAGACGCAAAACAAAAACAAAACCCAAGGCGGAAGAAAGGAGAGCGATATAAAAAATTGGTAAGCTGAATGTACACTGAAGAAAATTTTATATATATAAGAGGTTTGGTGATAAATCACTAAATTGCAGGGGAAAATAAGAAATATTTCAAGGAATAGCAGTTTTAAAGGCTTTAATATTCCAAGAAAGTCTAGAAATTTCAGTTTTTACTTAAAAATAACTAAAAATATATTAAAATATTTAACAAAAAGTTGTTAAATTAGCTTAAATAGATATAATTTTTAAGAAAATACATCATTTAAGACCATATTTTATTCAGTTAGATATGCAAATTATAAGAAACAATGATTTATCCCTTTTATTTTTAATTTTTTGACTCATAGAGGGCTCTATCTAAGCTAAGAAGTAGTTTTATACTTTCAAAAAAATTTCAAAAGTGATTGGAAAAGTTTTTTCAAAGTGGATGTCAGCGACTATATAATGAAATGGCTAGGCAGCCGCAAAAGGGAAATAGAGAAATATCATAAAAAAAAAAAAAGAAAGCGGGGCACCACCAGCCGCTGGGCGTTGCGGTGGTCAGAAGGGGTTGCCACGGCTGCCCCGGCTGCCACGGCTGCTTCTTGCTGGTTGGCAATAATTTGATTGTTTTGCGGCATAAATCAGACAAAAGCCACGCACATTAGCGCAACCAGCTGAATGGCAGCTAAATTAGAACCATAACCGATGGCATCGCAGGTGGAACGAATGGTTGGATGACCCAGCCCACCACAGGTTTACATAATGCTAACAAGCAATGACTAGAAAGGGGAGTTAACCCCATCACCATTTAACGTTCACCTCGGCCCACCCCCCAATAAATATGCATTTTGATTGCCAGAGACCAAAGCCATGTGCAGAATATAATCAAAGAAAGAAAAAAAAAGCCAGCACAGCAGAGCAGAGCAGAGCAATGTGGGTAAATGTGGCATGAACATGAATGCCTGAGAGATCAAATAAACAATTGCTCTGATAGTACATTCCGCATTCCGTATTTTTCATCCATTTTCCATTTTCCCATTTCCCAATTATTTTGAATTTTCGAATCATTCGATGGGAGATGTAAACAAATAATTTCATGCTGTTTTCTCTTATATATGAATTGTTTGACTTACCGATACCGATTCCGGATCCTTGCCCCTTTGCCCCGGCACACATACACACACCCAAGCACAGCCCGAACTGCACACACACGCACACACACACACACACACGCCCAGAATCCCAGCTACATGTCAACCGAAAACAGAAAATTCGCAATATCTAGGAGTTGCTGATAGGCGGAAGGAAAGGAAATCACTCCCGCAGTCGCTTTAAAAAACACCAAGCTCGCATTTAAAATGAACAAACAATCGAACGAGCGAGTAGCGAACGCACTGACTGACACTAGGCACTGTTTAAAAAAAAAATCACACAGAAAAAACAAACAAAATCCGGCGGCAGCAACAACAACAATCGCCAAACAAACAAACAAACACAAAAAAAGAATCGGCAGCAAAACAAATGTGAACTATTTATTTGTGCCACACGGCTACGGGCCACACGTCGTATGCGCAATGTGTGTTTTGGGGAAGGGAGGAGCGCAGTTTTGTTTGTTGCCGCTCACTAAATCCGGTGTACGTTCTGGTGTGCCTGCGTGCTGCGTGCGCCCGTGTCCCGAGTCTGAGAGTTTCTGGCCTCGTAGCAGCAGAAGAAGCGCCAGCAGCATCGCATTTACGGGGGATGAACCGAAAGCTTTGCCGTTCTTTTTTTTTTTTTTTTTTTGCATTGGCGTTGCCACAGCAGCAGGGCAAAGCTTCGCTAAGCAACCCTCTTTTTTTGTGTGCAGCTTTTAAGGCTTTTTCAACCACTGTGCGCAGTCTCTGTAGATTTGTGTTAGAGTTTCCCAGAATGCTCAATAGGTGGCGTTATAGTTTTGGTAGCAAATTTATTGATTAAAAATTTTTGAAAAAGTTGTTTAGTTTGAAGGAAATTTCTGGTTTTCGAGGTTATCTTGGCACTTTAACTATCTGACTAGCTAACTAAATTTATTTGATTTATTTTATAGAATTTTAAATATTTTAACTTTTACAATTTTTGAAAAGAAAGATCCTAAAATCTTTAAAAATGTTCAGTTTGTTGGATAAACTTATTTCTTTATTGTTTAATTTCTTCTGTTTTGTTTCTTAGGCAACTCAAGAAGTGGCATACAAATGCTATTAAATTTTAGAAAATATTTTTAGAATTTTGTTTAAAAATGTTGAAAAAATTGTGAATATTTTCTAAATTTATTTTTGCTTTTCTTTACTCAAAAACTTTTTAAAGACAGTCAAAAAGAAATGTATTTCCATCTATCGCTAAGGTCTTAAAAATACTGGCATATTCCTAAATATTATCTGAGAGGATATTTTTGATTCTTTTTTAGAGTTTGGAGTTTAAAAAAAAATTAACTCTTTCTGAAAATGTACAAATTTTTTTAGATTTATTGGCAAAAGTCCAAGGAAAAGTGTCATACCCTCACGCAAACCCCTCAAAGATTTTAGTTTCCTAGAACTATTTTTTTGGGCAAAAGTGCTTAGTAAAGTGTAAGGCACCTCCTTATACCCCTTAAAGACTTTAATTTCATCTAAATATCTTCCTCTTTTTCTACTTAAAACCCAACCAAAATGAAATTCTTTCCTTTTTTTTTTATAATTTTTTTCATTTTTATTCAAATAATTTTTGTTTGCTTCGATTTTTGTTTCATATTTCACCTTGCTAGCACTGGGTTTCTTGCATCAGTTTCAGTTGCATCGATCGATCGGTTTTAGTTTTTGTTTTAGTTTTAGTTAGTGTTTGGTATTTAGTATTTGGTATTTGGGTTCGTATTATTTTGCAGCAACATCATACCTTGTGGTGAGTAAAAGTTGATATGATGTAGATTTGGCACACTACAAAGTAACTCGCAACCGAAGGCAAGTTTTCGTTATATTTTTTTTTTGTTTATTTTTTTATAATTTTTAATTTTATTTTTGCGCTTCTTTAACATGTGCTAATTCCTTAGTTTTTGTTTTTTTTTTTTTTTTTTGCTTGGGGTTTGCCTTTCTTTAGTTTTTCACTTTTCTTTTAGTTTAGTTTAAATTATCTTTTGCGTATAATTTCACTATAAGTACATACTGTTTAGTATTCGGTCAACATTGCGAAATTAGCAATTAGGAGGAAAAAAAAAAAAATATATATATTATGTATTTATACATTTATATAGGAATTTACTCTAGACTCGTGGGACTCATTAGGCGCTACCTTAAACTAATGTACAAAAATATCCAGTAACTTAAAGACGAGCAATTTAAAATTTAAAATCAACAACGACAACAATCCGCGAATGCAATCTTTCTACATTATAGATGGCGCTTTTCAATCTTTCTTTCTTTATTTTTTTTAGTTTAAAAACAATCGATTTAAAAATGATTCATATACATAATTGACTCACAGAGCTTTTCGTTGGCTAACAACAATTGAACCGAGAGTGAGTGGTATACGTACGTAAGAAATTAGTTAGTAATTAGTGTTATTATTACATATAGAGGAGGTGGCAGAAGGGGGGGTGACTATATAATGGGTGCCTGGCTAAATGATTATATGACTGCCTACCATCAGGTCAATAACACTTTCTCATTATTATCATAAAACTTGCTAGGTTTTCCTTTTTTGTGTGTTTAAACCTTTTATTTGTTTTTTCATTTACTTTTTACTTGTTTACTTGTTTTTTTTTTCGTTTGTTTTGTTTATAAAAAAGAGACAAAAAAACATTTTGTGGTCCCTGGCGTATGTAATTCAATTTAAATGGTTTTCCTCTTTTTTGAGGCTTTCCCAACACTCTGGCCTTGTCAAACAAAGGAATCCGTTAAAGGACTAAATCAAAATCTTATATAGAGTTACTTTACTGCTCTTTGCTTTCTTTTCTTCTCTCGTTTTTTGTTTTTGTTTTTTTGGTTTGAATTACATAAGTGTTGTGCTTGTCGTTTGTCTTATTACATTTAGTTGGACTGCTTAGCTGGCTGTGACCCATTTAAGTTTGTTGTTGTTTGTGTTTTTAACTTTATGTAGTTGAAGTTTGTTTTTATCTGTATTTTGAACCCATTTGAGAATTCCTTGTTCCTTGAATTTCAGGTTTTGTAACTTGCTGTGGACTAGTGGTGGAGGACTGTAGGTCTTAACCCTATAAAAAGGCAATCTAAATCTTAGAAATATACCCAAGTATAGTGAAAAAGTTTAGAAAATGTGAAGTTTTTAAAAGAAGAAAGTAAAACTTCTTTTTCCCTTTTGAAAAAGTAGTCATTTTGAATAGCAATCGGTTCTTATCGATGTTTTCTAACCAAAACCATCGATAAAAACTGATTACTAGCTAAACTTAAAGGAATTTTGTAAGTTTTTTTTGTTAGAAACTTTACTAGTTATCATTTAAGATCCTTTTTTGTATGTCTGTATGTGGCATCTGTATGTTTGTGTGTGTGTGTATGTTTGTGTTCCTTAGTGCACTTAGTACAGTACGATAGTTATCGGATAGCCAAGATAGCCAGAGCGATAGTAAGTGGCTTGAGTACAGCTTAACATCCATTTTTTTCCTGTTGGCTAGTTGAAACTACGAAACACTAGAGTTGGGTGTCTAAAGTTTTCTCTACTCTGACTCTACCGTCTGATTAGTGAGTGCGTCTAGGGCCTGGCTAGTTAGCTGTCTTTAAGTTTTAAGCGATTAGTTCACAGAGCAACGATAAAAACGATAAATCAAACGATAAAAATCAACAATTAACAATCATGTTGTGTTCCTTTTGCTGCCTACACATAGTCTTGAGATACATTTTCTTCTTATTTTTGTTTTAAGTTTTTCTTTTTTTTTCGGTGTCGAAATAGATCTTGATCAGCGCTAAACTACTTACAGGGCTAGAGTTGTGGTTTCTTAGAGCGAGATTAGTTAGTGGATGAGGAGAGGGATGAGAGAAGGATATCTGAAGGGGGAAGCAAGCCAGCCTTAGATCAGGGCAAAGGAAACCGAAAAGGATGTAGGGTTAGCGAGGCAGGGAGGATAACAACGAGGGCAAGTCTAAGTTTTTCGATAGGTTCGACTAACGCTTAGATAGGCTTAACAGCTCGAACCGAGGTTGTTCAACAAGTAAATCGCTAATCTATGCATATTATAGGCTCTATATTTTAGATATTTTTGTTTTTGTATGCACGTGTGTGTGTTATGTGTGTGTGTGTGTGTGTGTATGCCTTATGTGTGTGTGTTGGCTTGTTGGAAATGGTTTTTGGCCTGTTGTTCTATTTGAAAACATTTGTCCGAATCGATTAGTATTTAAAATGTTTCTTAAATAGTTTTCTATATAAGTTATTAAAGCTTTCGGTTTTCATTACACTAGTTCATATATAGATATATATATAACTATGTATATTTCTGTGTATATATATATATGTACGTACTTAAAATATATGTATATATATATGTATGTATATATATGTTCCATAGTCTCTAACAATAAGAGGTATATACATCTGTAGAGAGACCCCAGAGACCCCCGCCCTACCATGAACTAAACAAAGCAACAGATCAATATACCGATTTGGGTTCAGAATGAGATGTGATTGGGTACGATTTGGTGTTCTATAGATACAAATACAGATACATACAAAATGAACAAACATGCAACATTGTGGCATGGACGTTTTTCAGGACGGTTTAATGTGGGAATTATCATCTCTCGTGCTAGCTTCTTCGCACACACATACACTCTCTCTCTTTTTTTAAGTTCTAGACAAAAAAAAAGTGCTAAATGATGTTAGGAATTGGTTTTTGTAGATCTTAAGTAACCTTGCAAAGTGTTTTTAGAAAGCATATAACAGTATAACAGATAATTATAACAACTTTTGTGAGAAAGATAACTAAAGGTTAAGTTAAAGTTAAGATTAATCAATATTTTTTAATAAATAATGAGAAATTTAAGTAATATTACAGAAGAGTTAAACAAAAACTTAAAGAAAAGTTTAAAATTTCACAAAAAGCGATCCTCCGAACCGATAAAGCTTAACCTCTGGTTAAAGGCTAACAACCCTTGCAAGGTCCCTTAATAGAGATAACTTTTACGATATAAAAAAGCTAAAAAGAAAAGTCCTAATTCGAACAGGGGCTTGGGAACACTCTCTGGCTATTTGTGTGTTTGTTTCTCGGTTTTTAGTAGTAGTTGTTGTTTCCGTTAAATCTACATTTTATATATAGTATATATATATATATATATCTCGATCGGGTCTTTATTTTCTTTTGTATGTTGTATATCTGTATATATCGATTCGTTTTGCTGGGGGATTTCGTTAGGGCTAAACATATATAGAATATAGGTCTATATGACGTCACATCCTCCTTAGTGTTTGTATATCCTTTACATATATACTTAGTTCTTGTACCATGGTAATACTGTCCAAATTCCATTGCTTATTGGTTGTCTGCAGTTGAACTTGCTTCTGGTTGAGATTGGGTTGAGGTGGTTAGTGTTGAGGATCGGGAACGGGATCGGGATCGGGTTAGATTTGGTCGTGATTATAGTTCTCAAAGCTTGTCTTTATCACGGTCGATGCTCATTGCTTTAAAGATTCCACGTCCGATGCCATAGCGCAGATTGAATTGATCCAAACTGGAGGCTCTTGGTCGCTGACTGCCGCTCTGGTGGCCCGTGGATGTAGAGCCAGAGGGTCCTGAACCAGTTGGATCTATGGAGCCGCCACTACCCGATCTGGCCAGATGCTCTTCCATGTCCGTCTCACTAAATTCCGTTTCCGTGTCGCTGAACTTCCGACGCCGTCGCAGAAACGTGCTGCAGTGCTTCAGCTCGCCCAGATTGTCGGAGAGGGAGTGTCCGCGTTTGCGTTCCTGCCGTTCCATCTCGGCCGCCAGCATCTGTACCTCCCAGTCGTTGTGGCCTGCCGTGCCACCTCCACCACCGCCGCCGCCGCTATCTAGATCTTCGTCCTCTCGTGGATCCCGCCTCCTGGGATCTTCTTCATCCTCCTCGTCGTCATCTACATCGGCCATATTTATCTTGCTGGACGATGAACTCGAACTGGAGCTTTCGCCAATGTCCAGGATGACGCTGTCCGACAAGCGAGCCAGATTACCCGTGACATCGGCCACCATGAGAGCGCTGCTAGATCCACTCCCGCTGCCTAGGCTATCTGCTCCGCCGCTCCATTCGCGATAGCCACTGCTACGCCCACTGCTACGTCCGTTGCCCTGGCCAGAGTAGAAACTGGGATGGCTTTGGGCGTGACGGGAGCTGAGGGAGCCGGGTCCACCGTAGTAGCTACTCGGGCAGTTCAGGGCGTTGGCCGAGGCGGCATGATGACGACTTGGTCCCGGCGATATGCTGCGCCTGCCGCCTTGGATGGGCGGCGATGAGGTGAAGACTGTGTCCAGGGAATCACCACGCTGGAAAATGTCAAGGCGAAGTATTAATTTAATATAAAATAATCTTCCATTTAATAATATTTGATTTTCTTAATAGGAGGTATCCCCCCAGCTTACCATAAACAGAAGCTCCGCTGAAGATCCCGAACTGCTGTTGTCCTCCTCCTCGGGCGGCTCATCATCGTCCACCGACAGCTGAGACATCTTCTCTCGCTTCTGCCGCCGACTAAGTGGCAGAACCAAGGCCGACGTAGAAGTAGATGCCACTGGACCCGCAGACTTGCCCTCAATGGAGCGCAGCTTCAACTGCAGCTGGGCAATGATGGCATCACGTCGTCGCACTTCGCCGGCCATGCTGGAAAACTGAGTCTCGAACTTGGAGTGCATTTCGTTCATGTGGGTCTTGATCACGTGATTGATGCCGCTGAGGATCTGATTGAAGTAGTCCTGTGCCTCCGGGAAGCCTTTAAGTGCAAGATCACACATCGTTGTGAGTACGTGGAAGGGATTAAGATGACAGGAGGGTATGTGGGTACGTAGTAGTGTCTGGCAAAAGGTGATGTTATTTGCATTTTGGGTGACAGAGAGAGGACATTCAAATGTATTTTCCAGAGTTATATACTACATCGAAATTAGGCTGTGGGGGTGTTAAAGCGTTTTTTTTTTTTTTTTTTGTTAGCTATAGATACTTAGGTTATATAGTACTCTGATTTTGGTTATATAGTACTCTGATTTTGTGTCAGCTTTAACAATCAAGTACAGAATGAGTTCGAGGAACGAAGCTCTGAATGCCAAAGCAGATGTATGGGTTTCTTGGTTTTAGAAGTTTAAAGAAGTTACAGACGGATCAGAAATATATATATATATATGGATATATATTAACATCTGCTTTGGCATCAATACATACGTACATCGTCGACAATTATTTACAAACGCCACGCATTCTCATTCCCATTACCATTACCATTACCATTATCATTACCATTACAAGTGTGGCACCGGCTCCGTCAAAAGCTCAGCTTGGATCTCTATATAGTATATGTTATATATATATACATGATCGTGTTAGGTACAAGTATATATATGTACAAAAGCATTGACAATGTGTGTGTGTTGTGTGTTCTGTGCTGTTTTAATTACATGCGCTTAAGGATGCTCTTAAGGATGCTCTTAATCATCCATCATGGCCTCTGTTTTCATTCCATTTCGTTCCCAAAGCGTGCTTGACTGTACTTCCGCACATCACAGCTGAAAAATTACCTTATTCTACGCACATTCCGTGTTTTTAAAACAATTATTATCAGTAATTACTTAGTGGGCTTGAGCTTTTTTTTTGGGTAAAACCTTGATAGGGTGTGGGTTAAAAAATAGCAGGTGAAATGAAGTAACTCTGAAGGAGAGTTATAGAAGGTAGTTTGGTTATATATTTTATAGCCACTTTCTCAAAAACTTAAATTATACGAAAATTGAATTTGAATTTAAGGGAAATTTCTGAAAAAGAGGTTATATTTACTCGTATATAAAAGTTCAAACTTTATTGTAAAAAAGAAACGCTGAAACTTTAGTTTTTAGGGCAAGGGCAAGATTTTAACTTTAGGATGGTTAGCAAAGGTATCTACAAGTTTGTAATGGCATTACTTCTAATAGTAGTTTTTATGAACGGGTCAAGTAAATACACGAACCGGAAAAATGACCAGGTTAAACAGTATGCTTAACCCTATGATATCAATTCCAATATAATGATATACAAAATCTAACTGGCAAGCAATTTTCCAATCATTTTTAACTAAGAAGAAAAATATTCTATGTTTTTTTTTTAATAACTTAAATTCAAGTGAATTCTAAATTGAAAAATGCTTTCTGGTTTTTTCGTTAAAATTTCTCTCTACATGGTGTGTGCTTTGTGTGTGTGTGTTTTTTTTCTCAAATATTTTTTGGCCGTTTGATGTTAAATTATTTTGCATATTAATTGGGCTAATTGAAAAGTGCGCGTGCGTGTGTGTGTTCCCTTTGTTATCGTATTGGTGGTGGTTGCTTTTCAATCATTTTCAATAAACCGCAAAGGCGACCCTCGCATCCCGCCACCCGCATCTCCTAAGCGGGTCGTTTGATGGATTTTAATTATTCCTAGTCATAATGCGACTATTATTAATAATAACAATTTGACCGAATAAATGACGCTTGATCCTCCTCCTGTTACTTGTTGTGGGCACGCGTCTCATTTAAAAGTCATTACGTCTAATAGAATACGACAAATAAAAAACCACATAACAGGGTGGAAGGGAAAAAAAAACCAATAAAAAGCTAACAAAAATGAGGATATTTTTTCAAAAAAAAGAATTAACAAGGCAGTAACGGTGTTTGTATTATTATCAAAATCATCACCGTTGCAAAGACTTAGCCTTCAATTTCATTTAAAATGCGCGCCGCATAAATCAATTGAATTTTTTTATTCGATATTTTAATTGCAGTCTGCACTCAAATTTATTTAAATTTTTCATTTCCCCTTTTATGGGAAGTGTCGTGCGACATATTAAACAGACATTAACAAGAGGAAACGCTATAGTCGGGTGCCGCGACTATAAGATACCCGTTACTGTTTTACAAAATTTTAAAATATTATTTTGCTAGTGGAAATTCACAATGCGCCACCTATTGTCAGAGGAAGTATGTTGAGTATGCTTATAGTGACGTCACTGCCCATGTGAGGCCTTATAACTTAATTTCTTTATAAACAGCGAAATAATGTTCCGCTTTGAAAAATCTTTGGTAAATCGATAGATATTAACAGAAATAAGTTACACAAGGTCAAACGAAGGCATTCATAATAATATTATAGACGCCACAGTTTTCCGCGGTTTGTGAGCGTTAGAGTGGGCGTGGCTGGGTGCAACTTCGTGGCAAGTTGCAGAGGCATCTCCTTAATACGTGTTCCTAAGCAAAATTGTGTAGATCTTATACTTTTCGAGATTTTTTCATTTTTGGTTTTTTGGGTTTTGTGGGCGTTTGAGTGGACGTGGCGTGATCGGAAAAAAACAATTCGCATTGAGATCATCATAGAAACATACATGCTTAATCCGAACTTTTTATCTCTTATAGTTACCGAGATATCAGCTTTTCTAGAAAATCCGAACACCGTCTTTTGAGCCTTGTGGGCGTATGGGTGGGTGTGGGCGGATAGTAGTACCACTATAAGATGCGTTGCCATCTAATGATTATACTTTCTGAATTTCAACTTTCTAACTGCAATAGTTCCTGAGATTTCAGCAATTTTAGTTTTTTGCGATTTGTGGGCGTTAGAGTGGGCGTGGCAGGATGCTGTAATAAACTTGCGCTGTCCCGGGATCTCAAGAATCTTCATGCTTAATCTCAACGTTGTATCTGCTATAGTTCCTGAGATCTCAGCGTTCATACGGACGGACGGACGGACGGACGGACGGACGGACGGACGGACGGACTGACGGACGGACGGACGGACGGACGGACAGACGGACATGGCTCAATCGACTTCGCTATTGATCCTGATCAAGAATATATATACTTTATAGGGTCGCAAAAGCTTCCTTCTATCTGTTACATACTTTTCAACGAATCTAGTATACCCTTTTACTCTACGAGTAACGGGTATAAAAAGTTTAGTTTATATTATATTATGAGAAAGTAAAGTTTGATAGTAAACGTAATTCATGATCTTACACTTTATAGTCTGTAATTAAAGTTATAAATATTTCGGGTTTTATAATACAAAGTTTAAGTTTAATTTTCAGGGACATTTTTACAGTTCATGTTACGAGTATCATGCGAAAGGTTAGGGTTAAGATTAGACGAAAAAGCTTGAAGGGGGGTTAAAGCGTTAGAAAGTTTTTGAGTTTTTGTGACTCGCATACATGCGCAAGTGTTAATGTATATGTGTGGAAATTGATGCTCAAATAGAGAGAGAAAGATATAGACAGCGTGATTTTCTGGGAAAGTGACAAGCGTTGCATGGCATTGCTTTTGTTTTGGATCTTGATCAGGTTGCAATATATATATATATATATATACGAATATAGAATATAAACACGATCTGAAGCTGATATATTTACCTTCCAGACGTGGTCCTGAACCTGTTCCGCCCATCGCACTGGTCGTGTTCTGCCTGAGCTGCAAATTCAAATTCAAATCAGTTGTGGACTGGGCATGAAGGATCTGATTCGACGACGATGAGCACTCGACGACATACGAGGCGGAAGCGGAAGCGGATGCACTTGCTGCTGCTGCTGCAGCTGCTGCTATTGTTCCCGCTGGCGACAACGACGCTGAGGCGCTGCCAACGCTACCAACGAGTCCGCGTCCGTTTCCATGTCCGCCCAACTCCCCCTGCAGTTGGGCAGGAAACGCGAAACTCTCCTGGGGCGAATTCGTGGGCGTTACCAACGTCAACGTCGGCGACCAGACATTCGCCGCCTCCGAACTGGACAAGGGATGTGGAATAGCGCTGGATCCGGAAGGAATTGGAATTGCTGGTACCGGTACCGGTACCGGAAACGGAAATGCCACCGCCGATGATGATGGCGGCGGACACGTATACGCAGTGTTATTCGAACGCGAACTCAAGCTAACGGTATTATCGTTAATCGTACCGTTACCGCAACCACCGTTATTCACCGAACCGATCGCCGCAGCACCGCCGAAGGGAGATACCTCCTCATCCTTGGCACTGGCGGGCGGGCTGGAAAGAGTGGAATGGAAGGTTACACTCTTCAAGAGCTTACTGTGCCTAGCCACGTACCCTTCCAAGGTCGGCTCCGCCGGCAGGCCCTGGCCCTTTTGGTTGGCACTCGAGTTGATCTTCGACCCGTTCGTTCCCGTTACCGTTCCCTGTCCGTGTCCCTGTCCCATGCCCGTACCCGGTCCCGCCTCCTCCTGTTGACCCCCGCCCATCTGCAGCTTCTTGAGTATGCTCTTCAGCTTGCGACGTTCCATGGTCTCATTCGATTCGGGACTAAGTGGCAGGGGCACATACTGTAACTGGCGAGAGTTGCTATCCGAAGCAGATGCGGAAGCGGAGGCGGATGCCGATGCAGAGGCGGAAGTATTGGTGGATATCGATGTGGAGCTGGTGGTCGACTCGTATGTACTGAGGAACTGCGAATAGATGCCGGAGGTGTCGCTATAGCAACGATACAATGACTCCGTAATGGGCACCTTGCTATCTGGTCCGGATTTCGAGCAGTCCAGGCTAAAGCTACGGGTTTGCAGGGCCCGTTCCAGTTCCGCCAACTTCTGGCGTTCGTTCAGGATCTTCAAACGCTTGACGAACGGCAATCCACAGTATTCCGGCGATAGATCAAAGACGCTCTGGTAGAGCTTCCTTCGTCCATTACCGCCCAGCTCGGTCAGTTCGCCGTCGGGCAAATGCTGCTCCGGTTTCTGGAGACGCAGGTAATCCCTCTTGGTGCTGGCCGCCACCTGATTCGCCTGGCTGGCCGACGAACCGGTTGTACTCGACGAGCTTGGATGATGGTGATGGCCATGACCACCGTGATGATGGTGTCCGTGCCGCGGTGATCTTGAACTGCTCCTGGCGCTGTGATGACGTGGCCGTGGATGCGTCTCCATCTGCTGGGGTATGTTGCTCAGCGAGTAGTTCTTCAGCGGCGAGGCCAAGTCATCCGGCGAACAGTTTGTTAAGCTCGTGTAACTGGAGGACATCAATGTGGCCAGTTTCAGCTTGGACCACGGCTTGATGGGCGTACCATCGGTGTCCGTGTCGGATTGCAGGGGTGTGGCCATCCGATGGCCTGGTTTGGCCATCCTTTTCGATATGGTGGCTATGCCTGAGCTACCACCCATGGCCAGGCCCAAACCCAGTCCAGCTGCTGCAACGGGATCCTCGGATGTGGCATGCTTCGCCACCAAGGCCAGTGACTTGGGTGGCTCCTTTTTGGCTATGGCTCCTGTACTTGGCCCTGGCGAACTGCTGGCTCCTCCGCCGCCCTGCAATTGCTGGATTTTCTGCTTAAAGGAGACCTTCATGATGGGCTTGATCTGGGCCACTGTCAGCGATTGTCCCGGTGCCGAGATCCCATTCGATCCTGGAAGCGATCCTCCTGCCTGACTGGCTCCGAAATGCGAATCTATCTTGCTGCTGATGTTGGGCGGTGTGTTGACCTGGATGAGTTCATCGGATTAGGTGCAAGTTCAGAGAAAGAAAGATGGTGAGTTGGATTAATAGAGGGGAAGGCGTAATGAGTCTTTTTTCTCAAACTCCTGTTAGGTTATAGTATTATTATTCAGATAATATTACTATATTAAGATCTGTTAAAGATTTCTGTTAACTGGAGGATGAGAAATTGGCCCTGAATCAGGCTTATAGACCTAGGGGTTACTTATTCTTTGACAGATTTAAAAAACAAATCCAACGCTCATTTCGGCACTCTTAAGTTTAGGTTTCTAAAATCAAAAGTGAGGGCTAAGGATTCCTGCTAAGCTATAATAAACTTTGCCTTAAGTTAAGGTTAAGGGGTTAAGTCGGAATCTAAACTAAAAGTGAGGTGAATTCTTAGTAAGTTGCTTCCCAAAAGGAAGTCAAAGATCAGGAGTTTCTCTAGATCTCTCTGGGGTTTTTAATGATTTTTGTTTTTTATTTTGTTTTTATTTTTTTATTTTTTTTTTTTGCTTTACCATGACGACGCCGGGTTCGGCGGCGTTTGCCTGCGGTTCGTTCTTAATTTTCAACTGCTGGAGTCGCTGGATCAGGGGAAAGCCTTCGCTGAACTCGCGTTCGGGCTCCTCCTGGATCGATTCCTGCGGCGATAACGTACACGTTACATGTGAGTGAGGTGGAGATTTCTGTGGTGGTGTGGACTTAACAGCTCGCTCTTCGCGATCCTAGTGCAAGACACATAAAGACACATACAAAACTACTGTTTAGGAGCTGGGGATAATTACATACAACACGAATTTATCTGGATCGGGCTGGTTAATCATTTCGAAAGCTAAAATCAAAATCAAAAACAAAAACAAAAATCAAACGATAAATGCAAAACGAAATTATGATTTAAGTGGGCAATGTCAGCGATTTGTGTTCTCTGTTTATCAGGTCACTGAAGTTATATCTCAGATATATAGTATATAGTATATATATGTTCCATTTTGTTAACTAAAAGTTTGCTAAGCGGAAGCAGGGGGGACTATTGAAAGCATCTAGAAAAGCTCAAATGTTGGTTACAAAAATTGACAGAAAACAACAGGCAATCATTGGAACCTTAAGATCTTGTATTTCCCTTAAAAATATTCAAGAAATTAATGGTAAATATTAAATATTATTGCTTGAAATATATATAATATAAGATTTATCTTAAAATTTTGGAATATTTAGTTTGCCAATAGGAACTTTATAAGGAAAAGACAGAAAACATCATCTGGTTGCTCAGAGAAGAGAATTGGAAAACAGTTTTCCATGTTTTTCTTTAATAATTACATTATCGACTTCCATCTAAAGCTCAAATTGCATTACGTGCTCGATTGCAATGATGAAGATCTTTTGGAAACTAGCACATTTATCTTGGGTGGATCTGAAGGTGCACTAACAACTTGTACAAAACTGCATTACAATATGGAATCGAAAACAATGTACATATATGTAGGCAAGTGTAGATGGATGAATGGGTGGTTTGGGGCGACTATAAGTAATCAGTTTCTCAGATACAACAGGCTTCTGACTGTTTTCCATTAGGCTGTTTGTGTTTCTCTGTGGGCGTGTGGGTTTGTTTTTCCATTTGTCAAGCTTTTTCATTCAATGCTCTGTGTTTGTCTGCTTGTGGCGAAAAACCATTTAAAGCCTTGCGTTTCGAAAGTGGAATGTTGTAGGTGTGTGGATGATGTGGATTGTGGGTGTGGCTGCGACTCTTGATGGTGTTGAAAGAACAAAAGTCGAGCAAAAGGTAAAGTGGGTGAAAAAAAAAGAAAAGAAAACAAAAACCAAAAATAAGGAAAACCAAAAGAACTGTGTGGTTTCTGGTGACTCAGTGGTTGTGGCAGTGGCTGTGGCAGTGGCAGTAACTGGTGTGGCTTCTGCCGCAGGTGGTGGGTGGTAGGTGGTTGGGTGTTTGGTTAATGCCGAAATGTGATGGCTTCGCCAACTGGCCAACTTACTTGCTTTTCCTTGAGCAGCCGAAGGCGCTGCAGCAATGGCAGACCCGCTCCAATCGGACTGGGCGTCTTGTCGTGCAACTCATCCTTGGCCTCGGCACTATCCGCATCCTTTTCATCCGATCTCACCCGGGACATGCGCTTCAGCAGGATCTTACTGCCACGCGGTGAAGTATTATGAAGTGGCTGCATCTCCAGGGACTCATCGCTTTTACGAGAGGTCCTAAAGGGGGGGGTAGGAAAGTTTGGATTAGTAAAGAAAAACCTCAATTAATAAACAAAATTATTTTCCAGAAAATCTCACCTGGACTTCTTGAGCACATTCCGAAAGCCCTTGACGTCGTGCTTCAGCTTGTCCACAATCTTCTTCGATGAACTATTCTCGCTGCTATCACTCTGATGGACCTGTCCCTGGTGGTGGCTCTGATGGTGATGGGGATGAGCCGCTGCATAGGCGGCCGCCTCCTTGTCACTCTGCGCCTTGGCGTACTTCTTGTTCACGCAGCGCACCTCCATAAGTCGCTTGCGGCCCAAGGTCTGCAGGATCTCTTGGGCGTCCGGATAGTCCTTCATGGCAGCAAGGACATCCTCGCGGGAGAGTGAGAAGAGCTCCGAGTAGCCCACGGAACGCACATCCGCCGTGCGTCTGTGAATGGGAAAACCAGGTAAGTGTTTTTAAAGTAAGTTAAGATAATCTAATTTTATGTTTTTTATAATCAGAATTTACAAAAAATGTGATTGCAGATCGACTAGGGATTAGAAATCAAGCTCAACGAGGTATTATATTCTATCTTGGGACCATTATTGGCTTAGTTATGAGAAAAATACTTTCACTTTGAGGTATAAATTGGGATAAGCCCAATTTTACATTTTCGATAAGGGTTAACATCATCTTCTTTTGCCAAAAATTAGATAGAATTAAGCTTTCCAAGCTTAAAACGTAAGAATCACAACCATAAAATAGATAAGCTTTACATTTTGAACATATTTTGTAGATATATAGGTCCTTGTTAAGAAAGGAGTCCTATTTTCAGGATAATGAGAGACCAGAATAGGACTCAGTTAGTGACCAAAATATTCAAGGCCAACAAGATTTTACATTGCCCAAAACTTCACAAATTGACAGCAAGGAAAAATTAGAACATTAACAGAAATTTTTAAATTTCAATAGCTAGTTAATTGCCGGCTAAGTTTTGAGTGTAAATCGCCAGTCATGGCGATGACTGTTAACTTCAACTTAGCCGTGTGCACTCCGCGGGACTTATAATTCCCAACTGGTTCTACCTCAAATGTTGTGACTAGGGCGCTGTTGGCCGGTGAAAAATCAGTCACGTCATTTTTGTGTGTGTGTGTTTGTGTGGTTTCAGTGCTTCCAAGTGCCTCCAAGTGGTCCGGTGGTACCTTCTATCATATTGGTGGTACCTGGACGTGGCCTCCATGGAGGATGCAGTGCATCATGGACTTTTTTAGATGGCCTTTTGGTGACGTGTGATGCTGTATATATAAGACGATGCCTTCTCTATCATCGGTGGACTTTGACAAGCCGGAAATTAAGGTAGGTGGGAAACTTTTTTTATTTTTACTGCATAAGCCGAGGGGCGTTTTTGGCCCATGATCCGCAGTTTTTGCAAACGGCTTGCATGCCGTCAATGCAATGTGGATAGTCTAACAATAAGTTAAGTTAAGTCAAGCTTGACCGGCTGGGATCAATGCTAGATCCAGTCCAACGGCCCTGAAGACTGCCCTACTTTGGTTTTCCTCCTTTATAGACTGCTGACACTGGGAACTAACTTATGGATTACACACACGGAGATGGTTCCTGGCTGTGATCACTATCAACTTCCACGTACTCCTTATCTACTTTTGTTATTTGGACTCCTGCCACTTCGGACTTATGGTGCACCGACATTGATATGCTGCCCGCCCAGCTGTGATCATCATCATTCCCACTCCCAGTCGATCAGCCTTAGAGACCAGGTACTTCTCCTCTTCATTGATATTTCTCTTTTTTGGATTGTAAGCCTAAATCTGTCTATTCTGGATTTCAGCGCTGGGATCTAGAAACCTCATCGGACTTATGAAGCATCCACAAGGAGATACTGCCCAGCTGTGATGAATCCCAGCTCCATTTCATCGGCATTTAAGACGAGGAACTCCTCTCCTTTTCTTTTTTCGTTTATGGACTGCTGCCACTGTGGACTTATGGACCACCACATGGAGATAGTCCCCGGTTGTGGTCAGTCCCAGTCCCAGTTCATTAGCAATACAGACGAGGTACTGCTCTGGTTTGGTTTTCTAGGAGATACTTCGCTTACTAAGCATAAATCTGTCTACTTTGCATTTCAGCACTGGAATCTGGAAACTTTATCAGACTTATGGAGCACCCACAAGGAGATTCTGCCCAGCTGTGATCACTCCCAGCTCCAGCCCATCATCAAAAGAGGCCATAAACTCCTCCTCTGCTTTCGTTTTTTGGACAGCTGCCACTTCAGACATGGAGATACTGCCTTGCTGTGGGGAGTCCCAGTCCCAGTCCATAAGCGCCATCGAGATCTGGTTCTGCTCTACTTTTGTTTTTCTGGTTTATGGATTGCTGCCACTTCGGAGTTATAAAACACACAAACGGAGGTACTGCCTGGCTGTGATCACTCCCAGTCCATCGGCCTTAAAGACCAAGTACTACTCTGCTTTTGTCTGGGGACTTACGGACACATGGAGATACTTGAATCTGTCTACTCTCTCTTTGGACTATCGTTGGCTTAGGTATGGGAAAAAAAACTGTCTTTCCTATTTCACATGTTAATAGGTAAACACCATCCATTTTTTGCGAGAAAACGTTAAAAACAAATATATCTAATTATGAATGATAGTTCTTGAACCTACTTGTTAAGCCCATCCAGATTGAGGATGCCGATTTCGCCAAAAAAATCACCAGCTTTCATGGTGGTTAGAACCTTTCCCGTCTCACTGAGAACCTCCAGGATGCCATCGGCGATGATGAACATTTCGCGGGCCACCTCGCCCTTCCGGCAAATTGAGTCGCCCGGGGTGAAGATGTATGCCTTCATCTTGAGCACGAGATCGTGAAGGAACTCGGGCTGGCACTCTTGGAATATGGTCACCTTCTTCAGCACACTGAGGTTGACATGTAAGGCCAATTCGGTTTTCAGCTTGTCGGGCAGCAGGCCCAAAGCGGTATTGATGTCACCGCCACCCTGTATCCTGCCGCGGGACCAACTGTAGTCATACCACCGCAGCACGCGACGTTTCATTCCTCCGGGCACCTTAAAAATTGAAGGATATGTGTTACTTAACTTAAGCTACGGCTTAAGAGGAGAGAAAGCCACGTGTACTTTACCTTGTGGTGCCGCATGTAGGTCTTGGCCCCATCCAGCAGGCGCTCGAACTCCAGGCGATTCGCATTTCGGTTCGTTATCACATTGCCCACTTGGCCCACAATGGTGGCGAAGATAAAAACACCAATCAAATAGCTAACGATCGTAAAAATATATCTGCAAAGGAGCAATTCAGGGAGTGGCAATCAATTAGCTGGGCACAAAGTGGTCGCGGCCAATGGCGAAGAGAAAGAGGGTGAGTGGTTTAATTTAATTAGAGAACATTTTTTGTTAGGTTCCTTAAGACAATTAGTCTTAATTGAAAGTTAACTTTCTTAGGTTTAAAATGAGATAGAAATGTCATGAAAATGTATCAAAATTATAACTAACTTTCCACCACCCTTTTTCTCCTCCCCCCAAAAAACACTTTTTGTTTTGCAAGCTCAATCAAAGTTTTCGAAAGCTCAGAGTTTAAGTACAACACTTTCTTGATACATTTTTGGATTTATCTTTTCTGGTAACTAAACAAATATCAATGGAACTGTTCAAGGCTGTCGCACGCTTTCGAAAACTTTGATCTTAAACGTTTTTTTTTTGTTTTGTCTTTCAGAACAGAATGCAACATATCGATTGAGAACTATAAGAGTGTTAGAACGCCAAGGCAGACGAATCGGTGGACAGCCCCCAAACAAGTTGCACATGATATTCGCTGGATTGATTGATTGATTGATTGACCTTGCTAAGATATCGTTGGTTGGATATATGGTATATATATATAATGATCGTACCCATAGCTAGAGCCGAATTGCAGAAGGCGAGATTTAATGCCACGCCTGGGAATTGATCGTGGGCCGTCCACCGAAAAGTTCGGTCTGATTGGTAAGTTAAGTTTGTTAGTTAAAAGAGCAGAAACCCCAAGATTTACCAGATATGTATATCTATTTTTTTTTAGAGATCAACTTACTCTGCATTCGTTTCGGGCGTGGGCAGGTCCCCAATGGTGGTCAGTGTCAGGGTCGACCAGTACAGGCTGCCCAGATACTTGCGCGTCAGGGTGGCATAGTCCCCAGGTCGATACGGATAGACCCAATCACCCTGTGGATTAACAAGATTAACAAGGATTTCCAAGGATATTTAAGGTAAGAAATTTGCACATTTTTTCATAGTTTTAACTTAAGTGTTGAGCCCACCTGAAAGCCCTCCGCCTCGGAGAGTAAAAAATAGAAACAACCGAACCAGTGTGCCAGTATTAACAGGATATGAATTAGGTTAACAACGCGCCATAAATTTGGCCAAACTGTTCTACTTTCTACGATGTAATAAAATCTCACAGATCGATAAACCTATGCAAGTTCGAAAACAAATTAATTAAATTAATTCAATTTTGAAATTCGAAATTTCAAAAACTTACTTTAAAAAAGCGCGTAAAACGCAAGAGCGGATGTGTGCCCATCTTGAGCTGCAGCAAGTCCAATGGTATCAGCGCTATCATATCGAAGATAAAGTCGCGCGAGTGAACATAGTGACAGGCCAGCTTCCTGTCATCGTATACCTTAAGAATCGAGAAAAATATATATATCTTATAGCTAGTCTACAGTATACATATACTCACCATTAGGCCCTGCTCCAGATAGCCTGTGCGTAATTGAACTATTATATCTAAGATAAATACAACATCTGTCATCGAATCGCAGATGAGCCAAAACGTGGGCACAGATTGCTAAACAGAAATAGAACAGAAAGTTGTTTATTCAATTTCAAAAACTTAGAAAGCAGAAACATGGCTAAAATAACACACAAAAATTAAGTCACATTAAGTGAAAGCAGCAGCAGTACCAGCAGCAGTAGCAGGCCTTTCCAGGCTACCTTTCGGTGCGCCTATTTTTATGGCCAGGTCAAGGGCAATTAAAATGGGGGAAATGCAGTTGACAATTGCAAATGTGCGGGCTGCTAAAAACAGGATGGCTATTGCTGGGCTGCGGCCTCAACTACACAGGCTTTTGTGGCCGGGTTAAAGGTCAACACAGTCGACTTTTGTTTGACCAACCGTAGCCAGTTCTAATCTGATGACAAACACCAGCTAACTGGGCCATAAACAAACATTTGCCCAGGCCCAGGCTGCGTGTCTTATAATTGAGTCATTACAAGGCAAAGAACGGCAGCAAACAGATAAAAAAAAAAACAAGAGAGGAGAGAGGAAGGATAATATCATTTTTTGGACAGTCGACAGGTGACCTAGGAATGCTCTTGCCTTAACCATTGCCATATTAAGTAAGATTAAGCGGGGAAAGTGTATTAAAGAAGTCGTGAGGTAGAAGTCATTATTATAACAGAGACCAGGGAACCAAACTTCCATTACAAGCAAACTCTTTGAGGATAATGACAAAAGGGTGTTGCCTTACACAAAGGACGAACAAAAGGCACCTGACCGCCGCTTTTGAAGGGCAAACCGGAAGTTCTAAATGGCAAGTGGTGGGTGGGTGGGTGAATGGTGGTTGTAAGAAACCGTACCGCTGATAAGGTTAACAAGAGAAGAAGAAAATAATCGACTTACCTGCAGTTCAGGAAAGCTCTGCCTCACAATTAGGGTCCATAGATTATATAGAACACATACAGTTAACATCATTAACCAATAGAAGTAAAAATTTTCATCTGGATTAACAACGGATCGTCGTTTCTGCAGATAGCGTCGCCGTCGTTTAACACTCTTGTCGACGTCACCAGAGGCACTTTCTGAACCCGTATCTTCAACAGTTTCCTAGAAAAAATGTTACAAATTCAAATCATTTTATATTTCTAAAAACAAAAACTTAAAAAAAAAGTTTCTAAAAGTATAAAAAACTTAACTTTTCTGTATGAAACTTTCCAACTTACAAAATACTATTGCATAGTTTTAGGCACTATTACCAATGCTTGCAAAACCTTATCACTTACCTGTGTTTCGGGTATCTGTCTAGTCGAGAAACGCTTCAGGAAGGAGTCTTCGCGCTTGAGCGGTGGTTTCTTCTGTATCGCCGATGAGATTTGCACGGTGGTGCGCAGCTTCATCCAGCGCTGATTCGATCGTGTCCTGTTTTTTTTAGCGCGTAGATACAAAAGTTAGTTTGCAAATATTCAAGCTAAGGATTTTGTTTTAGCAAGGGATTGTCTCACACAACGAACTACGATAGCTAATGACTATTTAAAAAGGGTTTTAACATTGAAGGGGACGGGGGGGGTTTTTTCTTAAGAGCGCAACTAAAAAAGATCATTCCAACTAAGCGTGCGCTCACGTTACTTTGGTGCTTGATTTTATTTATAGAACGTAATCACTTACGTAACACGAAACATCAAACACTTACGCTAGAGTTGGTGATGACGAAGAAAGTATGGCTACGGGTTACGGGTTACGGGCTAACAGGTTACGGGTTACGGGTTACATATTACGGATTACGGCTATGGTTACGCATACTTAGTGGCAAGACAAACATTCATAGGAGAACCCAAAAGACCGTAACGCAAACGCACGCAACGGTAACGGTAACGCTAACATTAAGATGAAACGGAAACGCTAACGCACAACGAAACACGAAACACGAAACACGAGGGGAAACAGAGATAGAGAAAGATAAATAGATGAGATACTTTATGTGCATGCAAAATATTATATATATTTCGATATATAGTTATGGATATATATCTAACTAGCAAACGCAAAATGTGTTCGAGTCGCAAACGAAATCAACTCAAATCAAATCGAATCAAATTTAATCAAATGAAATAACAATCATAGGCGTTATGCAATCGACAAGAAATGAGGAAAATTGCAATTGGAAAACAATTTGAGCAGCAGCAGCAGCAGCAGCAGCATCAGCGCAGCGAGACAGAGACAGACACAGAGCGAAACAGAGACAGACAGAGATAGAGAGATATACAGAGGGTAGAGGGGAGTGTATGTGAGATATAAGGAAAGAAGGAGCGGCGGATGGAGGAGGGGGGAAAAGTGAGAAAGTGGAATTCAAGTGGCCAAGAATTTTCCGCCATCGATATAAATAGCTCTCTTGGCCTCGGGCGAAAAGTGTTAAATTGTCTGCCAGGTGAGCTTTTCTCGGTGAAAACTGAAAAGTTTCTCACAATTAAAAAGAAATTAAAAGAAACTAAAAGTACGGTTTTCTTCGGCAATCCGAAGCTTTTGCTTGGTACTCTAGCAAAGTTTTTAGAATGTATAAATTATTTAAAAGAGCTAAAAAAACATTCAAAGTTCATCTAAAGGAGATGCGTTTTCTGACTGGAAAGTCTTTAAACATTATATAAAAACTTTTGAGAATATGCAATATGCTTGAATATATTATTCGTTTTTATTAAAAATCACTTTAAAAGTGTATTAAAGTATAGAGAGTGAAAAATGTTTCAAGTTCTGACCATCAAAGTATAAAATATTGTTGCATACTCCTAGGCAGCTTAAGGAATAACTCGAAATCGACAAGGGCCTTTTTTGTTTTAGCATTTCCCTTCAAAAATCCTCCACATTAATCACATCTAATGTCTTGAAATCATTTATAAAGCTTAAAGAACTGAAGCCTCATCAATCAATAACGATTTTTATTGTCCGTACTTAAGTAAAAATACAAAAAAAAATATAAACCGGACGACGGACCATCAAGGAAGGTGAAACTTAAAACTGCATTTTTACTAGCACTTTGCCAGAGTATTTTGCTACGCACTACGAGCATATACGAACTCGATCTAGGACTATCGTACGACTACATGGATGTGGGATGTTGTGGGAGGGTGGTTTTTTTGGGTTGGAGAAGGGAGGATAGGGATTAGGTTTTACCACTTTAAACTTTTGCTCAAGCCGCTCAGGGTCGCCATTCAATCGTCTGTTCTGCTATAGCATCTAGTACTAGGTTTTTATTTGCATGATGTACACGATGGATGTGTCTAGTTTTATATATATATTTATGTATATATATACATTGCTTATGTACAGTTCGATATTTTGGGGGAGGTGTTGCTGATGCGTTAATTGATTTTTGTTTTTGGGCTTAATTTATGCACAATTATTATTCGCATTCAGCATATCAAATGCCAGGCTACGGAATAAATGTTTTTGTTTTTATCGTTTTTAGGCTTTGCTTTGTTTTAATTTCGGTTTTTGGTTTTTGTTGTTTGGTTTTTAGCTAGTTTTTCATTGGTCTATTTACAGCGGTGGCTAAATTATTACGCATTACGCATACGTCGTGTGGTACACGATGAGGTACGAAAAACGAAAGCGATTTTGGTAGCAATGCAGTTAGCTAAACGAAAGACAAATCAAAGGAAAACAATGATAGCTATAGGTGTGGTTGCCGTTAGTGTGGGTGTGTATGTGTAGTGGTAGTGGTAGTGGTAGTGGTAGTAGTGGGTGGTTGGGTTGGGTGGGCGTATATATCCCCCTAAAATGTTGTGGCTTTATACAGGGTGTTACTGATGCCGGATCTTCGGACCAGTGTCTCTCTGTGGTGTAGTGTAGTTGAGCTGTGGTTTTGGACCTCGGCTCATCGCAACATCGCCCAAAACCCTACACTCGATATGTATACATATATACTATACTATATGCTATACTATATATATATATATATATGTATATATATTTCGGTTTATATATCTGTTTTGTTTTGCTGTTTCTGCGGCCTATTCAAATGCAAAGCGCGCACATGCCGATCATCGTCATTATCATCATCATTTAACAACAGCATGACCATCATCATCATCATCAGCATCATCATCATAATCACAATCATAATCAAATCAAAAGCAGAACAAAGCTATGCGTATCTGTGTGTGTGTGTCTTAACTGTTTGTATCTGTATTTGTTTTGTATTAATGTGTGTGTGTGTGTGTGTGTGTTGGTGTGCAGAGACAAAACCGAGAAATCATAAAAAACGAAAGAGAATAAACTTACCAATCGGAATCTGGATCTGAAGCTCCATCTCCGATACGCGATTTCCTAAACGAGTTTCGAAAGTATTTCATTTTTTTTTGGTTTTGTTTATTCTTGACTGTTTCTTTTGTACTTTTATTTTGTTTGTTTTTGTTTTTGTTTTCGTTTAACATATATATTATATATATCTTTGGTTTTTTTGTTTGCATTTTTGTTTGATTTAATTTGTATTTGTAATGTTTTCGAGGAGGCAAATAGTAAGGAGAATATTCGATAGAAATAGTTTGGCAAAAAGACCAAGTGACAGAGACAGAGGCAGTGGCAGTGGCAGAGTCAGAGTGAGCGAGAGATAGAGATATAGGGTGAGAGTGAGATAGACGCACAAACACACACAAAGTAATAGTTAGAGGGACACACACACACACACACACACTTTCTCATATATTGAAACTAAATGATGTGGGCCCCCCTTTTATATTTTTTTTTTTAACCCATCAGTGCCCAACCCAAACTGAGCGGAAAAAGGCTTGCTGCACGATAAGATTACACCCGCTATACAGAGTCTATATGTTTCTCGTATACTAGATAAACACAGAGGCGTAGGCAGGAGGTTTTTGGAAAAGATAGTTAAAATATCTAAGGTCAACTTTGAGACCCCTTTATACTAGTTATATTGAGACTTCTACTTCTAACATAGAACCCCCATTTAATCAATAGAAAAGTGCAGTTTTAACCCTCTGAAACGTCCCCTTTTGATACGCCTCTGACCCAAAACAAATATAAATGCGTGTACGTGTGCGTATATCTATGGATGACCCCATTGTTGTTTTTGGGGTCAGCTGAGCCATTTGTGGACTTTCGATTTAATATAAATTGAGAATGAGCTTGTTAGTTTTGGCGCTAGCCAATTCCCCGTTTTCGATTCAATTCGATTCGATTCGGTTTCGGGTTCGAGTTTAGGTTCGAAAAAGGTTAAAGAGCTGGGCCTCTGGTATTAAATGGCATTCTTTATTGCACCACAAATCGTCCAGCGAAATGTTAAAGGACTCTCCTTTCTGCTTATGTGTATGTGTGTGTGTGTGAGTGATTATGTGTGTGTGTTATTGGCACATGTGTGGTCGGCTAAAAGTGTTATTGTTTAATGGCTGCATGATGTCCGATTTGGGGGGGGTGGTGGGTTGTTGGACGCCTCGGGTTAACCGGCGATTCGGTTCCTAAGCCGGATTTCAATTAACGCCTCTGCCTTGTGAATTCTCTGCGTTTCGTGTTCCCTGTTTTTCGGTTATCGGTTTTTGTGGCCATCAGGCCGCAGGCCATGACCGTCCGGAATGCTAAACCATTGCGTTTGGTTCCCCACTTGACTGACTGACTGGCCTGGCCTGGCCTGGCCGCACATGGCAGATGAAATAACAATTGAAAAATTCCGTCAAGTCATTTGGTTTTCCATTCCCCTACCCCCTCCCCTACATAGCACTCTGCATTGCTATGGAACAACTTCTGCCTGAGAATAAATTTATAACCGGCTTGGGGACATTTTTCACACCCCGCCAAAGTATGCTACACCGCCAAAGTATGCTACACTTTCTGCCAGCTAGCCAACTGGATTTTTGCGACGTGTCAGGATGTCACGGAAATCTACGGATACGCGCTGGTAAGTAATTGTTGCTTATGAAAAAAAATGCCATAAAACATTGTCATTTAAATGCTTTTCCTTGCAGAATAAGTGAGTGCTATTTTGAAATAACAAATGCTTGACCGGCGATGAACTAAAAAACTGCCAGAAGTTGCCACGTTTCAGGCATCAACTTTGATTGGATTTGATTTAATAAAACAAAAAAAACTGGTAAATATGAAACTTTTAGTACGTGCTCTAGTAGCTAACACCTAACAATTAATATAAAATGTGAAATTTAATTTAATTTTTAACAATCATTGATGTCACTTTATTTTTGTTCAATTAACAAGCACAGGACGCTTGCTAGCAAAAAAAAAGAAACGTGATAAAAACCTTGATAATTTCCAGCCAAGCCTTTTATGAGAACATTAAAAAAGCGTTTTAGCACATAAAGGCACTTGACAAGAGTTGAAAACCCACTTAAAAAACATTCCCGTGACACTTAAACCAGACACTCGCTCGTAAATTCCCCAGCCACTGTGTGTGGAAGAGTTTTTTTTTCTTTTTTGCCAACACCCATTGAGCTTGTATGTGGCGGCTTATTAGCCATGGCTAATACCCCAATTATTTGGGTCATCCTAGTTAATGAGCAACTTGAGCTGCTGACAATGCAATAAAACCGAAAATATCGGACGGCCAACGAACGGATGTGAGCCGCATCTCAAGTGCTTGCTTGCAAATCAAAACCCAATTGCCGGATCGAACAAATGAATTTGATTGCGAATCAGAGTTGCTTGTAAGGGAATTACCTAACCGCACTACGAACTAGGGAGGCTCTTACCTCTACCTTTTACCCTCTTACCCTCTTTATATATATATATATAGAAGGCCTCACTGTGCCAAAAAAATATATAGTTGGTGACATCCAATCGGTCCAAAAGAGGGTGCATAAATTCTAGGTTACCATTGAGTGTATTGTGTTCACTTGGCTTCTACATAAATTTGCAATTTTCTAAATTCAAATTCTTTGTAAGTTGTCAGTCAGAAGGCAATTTCCCATTTTGCATCCACAATGCCAAAAGAGAGATGGTAGTGGCGATGGGCGGTGGGCGGTAAGAGGGTTTCTGTGGCATTGGGCATATGCATAGGCGCAATGTGGGTGAGTCTAAGCCAGTGGCGTAGGTTTGCAGTTCTTAATGTCAAGAAGGAGAGGTTTCATTAATTTCAGATTTTTAATTTACATAAATCCATAAATAGCGCTAACCAGTTAATAGTTCTGCTGAGAAAGGGTTATGGCAAACCCCCTACATACGCCGCTGTGTCTGTTCTTTTTCCCATTTTAATGTGTGTGCAAGTGTGTGTGTGTGTGTGTCTGCTGGGTGTATTTGTGTCAAAAGTTCGCCTACATTGCAGTCAGCAGCAGCTTAAACATATCGATTCAAACGCGCACACTGACAGAAGCCACTTTAACTTTGCCTGTTTGCTGAGATTTTTCAAGCAAAAGTTCCACTTACACCCTTATAAGTATATACTATATGTGTATGTGTATGTGTGTGTTGGTAAGAGTAAGTCTAAGTGTGTGTGTGTGTGTGTTGGCTGGCATCAACTTGTTTAGCTGAGGCAAACTTTTTAAGTTGCCCTTTGCCAAAAATGAACCGAAACTAGAACAGAAAGTGGTAAAATGTCTACCCATCCAAGACACCTCATTCCCCCCGGTTTTGGCTACAGTCTTACCTACCCACAGTCAGACCATATACAGTATAACATATGCATATGGCTAAATGGAATGCAAATGCCCCGCGCCCCAGAAAAGGCATTCCAAAATGAGTGGAAATTATGAACGTGGAAGGTTAAAGAAGGGCCTTCAGAAAGTTTTCTAAGCAAACTTATCGAGGCTTAACTGTGGAGTAAGAGAGGACGGGGGGATACAGATAGACACAGATCTGAAGTAGAGCTAGAGATTGGGGTGGGGGGGGTATAGAGTTAGCGAACGGGCGAGCAGGCGATTTTTGAGTTGAGTTCAGTTTTAGTTCAGAGTTGAGAGTTTTGAGAGTTGAGAGAGGTCTTGGCATTCGCTTACACATCAATGATATATGGTTTGGTTATATAATTAGGTTACACATAGGTTCATACACTACGTTTTCGGATTAGTACGTTGTTAGATCAAGAGAGAGAGAGAGAGAGAGATAGACAGAGCATGAGATAGATCGATCGATGAGCGTTAGTAGGTGGGGTTAGTACACGGATCGAGGACTTCGCTTTCAGTGGTTATGATGGTTGAGGTGGTGCTGGTGTGGTTAGCAAGAGCCAGGATTAACTCTCGCCGTCACGCACACGCACGCAAAAAGAGTTTATACACACACACACACACATATAAATATATATGTAAAGATGCACAGAGAAAAAAAACGGACTACGATTTGAGATACATTTTGGCCATCTCATCTCAGTTTGTTAATGTTGTGATTTTTGAGTTTGATTAAGGAAGTTAAGGAAGTGATATTGATTATGTTTTTAGAAAGTTTTTAGAGCTTTAATTTATACTTTTAAAGATGTAAAAACTAAGTTTAAAACAGTGACTAAAGTTAGTTAGTATTGACTAAAGCCAAAAAGGCCTTCAAAACAGCAAGAAAGGAAATCCTAAAACCTTCTAAAAACGAAGAATAAATCTAATTAATATCATTTTTGTTAGCTATATTTTGGTTTTTACATTTAAAATTGTTTAAAAATATTAACAAACTAATGATTATAAAACTATTTCTTAATTTTAAATATTTTTTTTAGCCAAAAAAATTAAAGTTTTCATCACACCCTAAGGGTTCTTTTTTCAAATCTCTTTCGAATGTCAAGCAGCAAATAGTTGGCCAATGGTAATATTTTTTTTCTCTGTGCAGTTTAGTTTTAGTTTTAGTTTTTTTAGTTAACGCTAGCAAGAACGCGATAACGCAATATGGGAACACAGATAACGGGGGGATTTGTGGGTGGCAACGTTCCTCTTGATCCGCCTCAGCGAACAGTAGTAGGCCATCACAGCTCGCAGGCTCTTCCATTTCGTTGTCTGCTGCTGGCCATTCGAGGCGGATGCAGATGTGCCGCAATGAAGGCGATCCTGATCTTCTGCTGATGGCATTCCTAATGCCGCCGATCCAAGCTCTTCGGGATGTTCGCTGATGAACGAGGAGAGAGTCTTCATGGCTGGCAATGACCGATGACCCAATGGGGTGCTGGCACTCTGATCGGAGGACGGACTGTTCACATGTAGACGCACATGGCGCCGCTGACGGGCCTGATGCGGATGCGGATGCGTATGCGGATGTTGATGCGAATGCAAATGCGGATGCGATTGCTGCTGTGCCGGCGTCAGTATAAGTCTATCCCTCTCTGTGTACCTTAAACTACTGTTAGTGGTGGTGGTGTTGGTGGTGCAGCCACAGTGGTGGTGGTGCAGCTGGCCACTGGCCAGTGACGAACTGCCGGATCTATATATATTTTTGGTATATATAGTATGTTCATGAACCGATCGAGCGATTGCGAAAAGTGAATACTCTGGATTATAGCATGCTTGGGGTAAGGGGCACACGGCTGCCACTTTTTCTAAAGTTTAACTTTAAGCCTTCTTCTAGGAAAGATTTTATATTTGATTTATTTTCTACTTAAATTTGAATTTAATTCGAGAAAAAACAAATTGGGAAAAAATCTACAAATATTAAGTAAGAAATTCTAGAAAATGAGAAGCGAAAAAGCAGGCAAAAATCTAAGCAAGTTTTTATTACTTTTTTGGTTTTTCGGTTTTCTTGATTAAATTGTTTGCTTTGTCACATTAGCATTCTGGAAGTGGCAGCCGTGGCTCAGAGTGTGGTTGTCGTGGCGGTGGTAGTGGTGGTTGGTGGTTTTTCATGGCTTCATGGTTTCATGGTTTCATACTGGAGTGGAGCTGAAGAGCTGAGTGTGCCCGAAGATTAGCCCAAAGAGCGCGCCAGGGCAGCGCATTAGGCCAAAGAGTTGTCAACTCTTGTCCCCTGGGAGAAGGTTGGTTGGTCGGCGGCTCATCCTCAACCTTTCTTCCGCTGCCTTTGTTTGCCTTTGGTTGAGTTAATTAATGAAATCATGTACACACACACACACACACACACTCTGACAGCCTGATACTGTGACACCCTGACACACTCTCACACACACACACACACACACTGAGACAGCACGGACATGGGCAATCCCGGCTAATTGTCATTGCTAATTTCCTTTTTGCCACCACAAAGGCACAATAAACACAAACAAAAGTTTGTGAGTGTGTATGACTCTGTGTGATGGTGTGTGTGTATATGTGTGTGTGAGAGTGTGTCTGTCTGAGTGACAGCTCCATTCAACTGCAAAAGCAAAAAAGTTGAAACCACAATCTCAACATTTACTTGGGAATCGACTACTCGGACAGTGCGTTTGATAGCTGTAAGGCGGGGTAAAGTAAAGTAAAAATATTAAAAATTATAAATTTTTAAGTTATTTTTTTTTTTTTTAAGAAATTAACAATATCTTGTTGATAAACTCATCAAATTTATATAATTATTAAGAAAATATGAGAGGAAAACTCATTATCTTTACAGCCATGAAACGCACTGTCCCCCGTATCGAGCTTCCTTTAGTCGGATCTAAGACTCCTGATTAGATTAACCAAAAACCCAAACTGGAAACTTTTGAAGTCCCATTCGGCATTCGCATTCACATTCCCCCATTCAGATTTCAATTCCCATTTCGCAATGCGAAATGCTTTGGCTCCGAACCGCAAGGATTCCCATGGAGGACGTTGTTATTCAGGGGCGCTCCATGAGACAGAGAGTGAGAGAGAGAGGGGGTAGGGAACTTGCTAATTGCTAATTTAATTTAATTGAATTCTTTTTTTTTTTGTCTTGTTCTTGTTCTTGTTCTTGCTCCTTACGGCTTACGTATACGGATGCGAGTACGGATGTGATGTCGCTTACGGTTGATCAAATACAGAGTACAAAAAGCTGTCAAGGCGAGCGAAGCCCAACAAAGTATGCTACACATTTATCAATTACGCTTACGGCACGTGTCTATGTATATGTATGTATGTATGGTAGTTACTGCACAAGTATGAGTGTGTTGTATAAGTGTTACTGCTAGTGTTGGGTGTGTGTGTGTGTGTGCTTGTATTGGTATGCGGACTGCATGAAAAGCAGAGCCGGATTATGTTTATGTGTTTGGTAACAACTTGGCACGATTTGAATAAATCATCTTTGTTATGCTCCTTTTCGTGTTTTCTCTTTTTTTCTCATTTTTTACTTTTTACTCCGCTTTCAACTTTTATTTTACACGTGTTAGGGTGGTGTGCACTGAGCAAAAAGAGGGTTCGAATTGCAAAGACTGAGAGATGGCCCTTAAAAGTATGCTAGGAAATTAATGAAAAACAAGGAAAATCAAGCTCCTTGTGTACAAATTCTGGGTAATTCTTATAAAAATCTTTATTTTAAATTTAAATTTAATAAAATTTACTAATAATTACTTTACTTTAGGACTGAACTATGGAAGAATTCTGCCAGATTTAAGTTTAAGAGGTAAGTAAAGTCATTTTATACCTAAAATACAGCAAACTTTTCCCATTAATAACCTCTTTCTCTTTCAGTTTACTATCCCAGGACTTCGTTTTGCCCCCTTCTTTTTGCTCTGTGCCCTGGTGTGGGTGTATTTTTGCTTGACCTGTGAGTGTGTGGGTTTTGCAAATCGAACTTACCGCTGGCTGGGACTTTTACTGTCCGAGGAGTGCGCCGCACTGTTGTTATCATCATCGCGTACCATCTTGTGGTGCCGCTTATGATAGCCACCGTCGCTGGGACCAGCACCACCGGATCCACCGCCGCCGCCGCCGGGTCCACCCGTTCCACCGCCGCCGCCGCCGCCTCCACCGGAACTACTAGTGCCCGTGGGACTGATGACGTCCGTATCGCTATTGCAGTCATGCACCTGACGGGCCACATCCTTGACAAACTTGCCCGCTTCGTGCTCGTGGGCTTCCATCTGCAAGGAAGGAACCAAAGAGTAAGTTGATGGTATTAATTAGGCTTATTGGGATTGCTATCGGTATGGCTATGCCTATGGCTATGCCTCTATATATACTCACAGATATATAGATATAGTTATATATATAAGTTAAGCCGACACCCGGGTGTCTCATCAATCGCAATTGAGCGCATCTTAATTGCTAATTATGCAAATTCATCCTGAAACAGGGCCAAATGTCAATGCTGTTGTACAGCAAAGGTCCTTGAAGTAGGTCAAACTTAGGGTAATTTGGGTAATTTTGTAGAGTTCTAATAGTTAGCTCGGAGAGGGAGAACTAGAACTAGAACCAGATTAAGGCAGTAAGTCTAGCTAAGTTGCGGAATTTAAGATGAAAGAATTTGGAAAGCTACTGCGCCTTGGTTGTTTTAACTTGTCTATCAGTAAGTGTTGTTGCTATTCCTATGACCACTACTGTAGATATATATATATATAAACCAGCAGCGCAGCATCGACATTCGACATCTGGAAATGCATCTGGCACTGGCACTGGCACTGAGCCTTTGCCATTTTGCCCCACGGTGCATTTTAAATCGGATGATGTTGACGATAATAATTAAACTTTGATTTGATTGCTTGTGACACGAAAACTTGGCCAACTCTGAGCCTTCAGGTGAGTTGCCTGATGGGGAAGAGGACGTTGTTGGTTGTTGAGAAAAACTGAGACTGAGACTGGGACTGAGTGGGTGGAAAACTGCGAAACGAATGGCAATGGCAGAAACCAACCATGAGTTCTGCAAACTTTTGCCGAAGCACGCTGTTAAAATTTAAATATTGCATTATTGATTCCTCTCGGAATTCGACGAGTACAGAAATTGACTTAAAGCGAAACCTTTTTTGCTTCATGAAAATGTTAAATTAAATGAAAAACAGAAAAGTGGGAAAAAACAAATACGAAACAGTAAAGGGAAAAACTCTCTGTTAATATGAAACAGTTTCAGTTTTACACCAACTAAAGGCTATCCAATGGCTTTGTCTTAAAGGGAAAACATTTTTAAAGCATTTAAAAACTGAAAAGCCATACATTTTAATCCTATTAAAAAGGCTGATAACCTTGGTGTTAACTTTAAAAAATCAAATTAGAAATATTAATCATCTTTTTTTTCACTACTCAAAAATCAATAAGACTTAAGGGAAGGCAAATCCCAAGCAAAAGCAAAAGCCAAAGGCAATTATTAATATCTAATGCGCATGATATATATTTTACAAAAATCAATAGGAATTAAGCAAAGAAAAACTCATCATACCATATAGCTGTGGAAAAGTGTTTTCCCTGTTAGAGGAAAAATCAATAAGAATTATCGAAGACTAATCAGGGCATCGCAATTGCAGTGGCAATAAAAATCAGAGGAAAGCCACTCAACTTGGCTCAGTGTCAGAGACCACTTGTTAGCCCCAAAAAGCATTATTAATTTAACACCAAATATGGCCAAAAAACAAACTTTAAGCCAGCCTTGGCTGGCCGCAAAGTACTTATATAAGTACTCGAGTGCCAGAAACTTGAAAGCTTCGATTTGACCATTGGGACAGATTGACGGTGTTCGTGTTCATATTCCACATGCCACATGCCACTTGCCACTTGCCACCCATCCTTGAAACCATGTATAGATGTGTGTGTGTGTGTGTCAGGGGGGTGGTGTGTATATGTGTCCGTGACAAAACTGGCTAAATCCAGTCGAGGGTTTCAATTTGGCCGAGGGGTCTAAATAGGGGAAACCGCATAACATATATCCAGCGGGATTTGTACGCCGTTCCCACCAATTAGTTGACAAATCGGTTCACTGCCAGTTTAAGCTTCACTTGTGAGACATACACACACATACACAGGTACAGTATAGGTCATAAAAATAAAGCTAAACAAACAGGTAAAGTCTTCTATATAGCATACTTAACAGGTGTATAAGCCATGACTGACTAATAAACTTATTTTTGCTTAGAAATTATTATAAATAAATAGATTTGGTTTGGGAATAGCTATAGAAGCAAACTATTTACCTCTAACAAGACTATTATTTATGTCCCACACTGTATATATCATATGTATATATATATATAGAGCTTCGATCCGTGCCGCCAGCAGCTGTCTCCCGTGGACATGGCAATTAAATGCGCCACAAAACTTGATTGGAATTTATTGTGGTTCTCAGTTTTGGGAATCTGTATTTGCCTCTCTGCTTCTCTGCCTCTCTGAATCTGAAACTGAATCTGCCTCTCTGAATCTGAAACTGAATCTGCCTCTGAATCTGGCTATCTGCTGGTTTGATAGTCAAACTGTTAAGCTGCCCAATGCGGTCTGAGAAGACTACTCCATAAATAGTTATGGCCATAAACTATTATAACAGGCTAAGACAGTAGCCATTGATAAGTCATAGATATAGAAAGATATATCTTTCCAGTCCAGTAACTAAACTTTTCCCGATATTAAACCTTGATTTTCTTTAATGGCTTTTTGCGTAATTTAGCCCTTGCTAAACTTACTCTTGCAGCAGGCGGCGAAACTATTTTGGCCAACGCTTTCGAAACTAATTTAATAACTTTTCAGTCAGTTTGGTAAATTTTTTAATGAATATTCATACTGATCTAGGGCTTGAGGTTTTACTTTTATTTTGGGAAATTCAGGTAACTAGTTTAACGAAGTTTCCATTAGGTAGTTGCTTGAAATTATGTGGACAATGCTGGTTGGTAATTTTGGCTAAAGAGTTTGAAGAGGTTTCAGTTTCAAAATAGATTAAAAGTTATGCTTGGACAATGGGTTAATGTTTTTTGTAACTAAGATAAGTTAAGTTAGTAAGTTAGGGACTAGAATGTTATATTAACTATATTAACTACATATTGACTTATTAAGAGAGAGTTTTCTTCTTGGTCTTCCCTCTAAGATTGGCATTATAAATCATACTTAAAAACTGCCCAGCAAACAAGCCATCAAAAAAGGTTACAAAATAAGTTTAATGTTTAATTTTCTTTGGCTGCCATTTCAGTATTTTTCCCCAAGTCCAGCCTGCATTTAATGGCAATTTTCTTGAATGGATTTCCAATATTTATTTACAAAGAAAGAAAATGCCGCCTTTTTGTTACTATTTTTAAGCAGCAGGCGAGCGGACGGCTATGGCCTCAATTTGCTATGGAATATCCATATTTGCGCTGCCCTTCGCAGGCAATATCATTAAAATGTTGCTACCATGGCCAGACATAACAGTAAAAACCATAATCAAAAATGTTTAAATTTTATGCCTTTGTTTGTCACACAACATTAATGAGTGGCAAGGGCAGGGAGGAGATTGCTGGAAAAGTGATGGGGAAATGAGGAAAGCAAAAAGGGAAACACACAGAGGTGAAGATGGATTAAGTTTCGTTTTTTTCTAATTAATTCTTAATTAAAGTGAATAAATCTAGAAAGAAAGTTAATCTAAGTTATTTGAAGAGTTAAAAAGCCTAAAAAAAAAGATCTAATTTTCATATAACTAATCCCTTTTTCTTTGCAGTGTACTTTGGAATACATAACCGAGGCCCGAGTGCCAGAGATTGTCCTTCTGGGAAACGGATTCCAAATCGTACTGTGTTTGGTTGGGAGATGGAGGTGAGAGGGTGGTGGTGCGAGTGAGGAATGGAAACACAGAACTCATGGTACATCAAGGCAAAGGGAGATGGACTCACCGTATATAGGCCCGTTGCAGTGGCCCCCGACGACGAGGAGGATGCCGCTGCCGCTCCAGTGCTGCCGTAGTTGAGCTGTGAGTGATAGCCGCTGGAGAGGATCTTCTTGTGTGCGGATGCATGCGCCCGATACGCGCTCACGCTCAGTTTCATCCTGACATCCACTCAACCGGCCTTGCCCGCCCGCCGCCCACGCTGGCGATACGTGGGCGTGTCCCTAGTCCGTGTGAGTGCTGTTGCTACTTTTTTCCTTTCCCGTCTATGTCTATGTCTATATCTATGTATCAGTGTTGATGTCGGTGTCGGTGTCGGTCTAAGTGGGCGTTGTTTCCGTGGGCGTGGTAGCTTCACTGATGCTACTGCTGCTGTATTTGCCACTTGGATTGCTGTTGCAGCTTTAATAGCAAATTTTTGCTGATGTTGCTGCGGTTTCTGGTCCTGTTGCTGCCGCAGCTGCTGCTGCTTTTTGTCGATTTTATTGCAATTTCTGATGTGGCAATAATTGCTGTTGCTGCTACTTGATCTTTGTGCTGCTGTTGCTGTTGCTGTCGCTAGTTGCTAGTTGCTACTTCTACTAATGTTGCTGATCTTTCCTTTTGCTAGTCAAGAACTTTAAGATGAAGTTGCAGCTGCAGCTGGTGTTGTCTTTAGTTTTGCTATTGATGTTGCAACTGTTTCGTGTTGTCGACTATTGTTGCAACTATTTATGTTGCTGCCACTGTCTCTGACTCTGACTATGACTCTGCCTCAGCCTCTGCCACTGTCTCGGCAGCTATTGTTGTTATGCTCCTTCCGCTGTTTTTGTTACTTTTAGCAGCTGCTTTTGTTGCCGTTGCCGTTGTCGCTTTCAAGTTGCGTTGAATTGGGCTTAATTGAGTGCCCACAGGCGTCTGACGATGACGACAAGGACAACGAGGGCGACACCGTTTTGAAGCGGAGGGCGTGGCTGGAGGTGGGGCCCGGGTATTCGTTTTGCGTTTTTGGAAAGACCGAAAGGGCGGAGGCGAAGGGGCGGTGGCAAAGAATGTCGACACCGAGAACTCACACACACAAAAAGCAAACTTTTTATTGCCGCCTTCGGTGGCGTTGCTATTGCTGTTGCTGTTGCTGTTGTTTCTGGTTGTGATGCGAAACAAAGACAAAGGTCCCGGCGATGATGGACTGGTGGCCAGGAACCCCGGGAATTCGTACGAATTCGTTGGTCCTTGCTGTGGGGACCGTTGCTCAGTTTTAGTTGGCCATAAACGATGAAGCTGCCATTGAGGCATGTAGTAGCTGGCTTTTTGTCGTTGTCGCTTTGGAGCTGTGGCGCTGTGCGTGAGCCACCTCCTTTCTGGGGGGGGTCCTTTTTCAAAGCTTCTGTGTTTCTGTGTGTGTGTCTTTTTTCCAGGGGGCGTGGCTGCAGTACCGTTGTCAAGCTCTCGCTCTTTCTCTTTCTCTCTAGCTCTCTGGAGGATCCTTCCCTGTGTTCGCTTTTAATTGTTTGTAATTTGGTTTTTAGTGCTCTACGGTTGCTTGTTTGTTTTTGTTTTTGTTCTTGTTGTTGTTGTATCTTTTGTTCTTAAAGTTGTTGTTGTTGTATGATTTGTTGTTGTTTTTGTTGCTTTTGGTGTTATTGTTGTTAAGGCCTCATGTCACTTTAGTTACAAGTATCTGTAGCTGCCGCTGTCGTTTCCGCTCGTAGTCGCTGCTGTTGCTGCTTCTGCCGTTGCTGTTGCTGTTGCTGTTGCTGTTACTGTTGTTGCCTGCAGGCAGGGAGGAAAACATTTAGCTAAGTAAACATTAAAGTGAAAATTAATTAAAATGTCTAACAATTTAGTTGCAAAACACAACACCCTCACACCCACCCTCACACACCCCCATTAAATGTTTCTGAACGAAAACGTTTTAGTTTTCAGTAAAATTCCAAGAGCCAAAAGTCGTTTAAAGGGCAACCACAGCTTCCCTCAAAGGTATTTGCCATGGCAAGCAGTTACACAGAGAGAAATTTAGGTATTAAAAAGATTTATTAACTTAAAGAATGACTAAAAATTAAGTTAATATTATTAAATCTCCGGAAAAACAAGCACTTCCCCTTAAACACAAAAACTTTCCAGCCAAAAGTCAACTGCAATGAATAATATTAAGGCAGAAGGAAGAAACTTGACCAATAGGTGGCGTGGTAGGGGCTTCGGCACTAATAAATAAAGGTAAAAGAGAGAGAGAGATGGGAGATGTCAGATGACTGTTGGCTGTTGGGTGGCCAAAGGTGAGTCCGTGTGGGTCAGCAGAAAGCAGAAAGTTCATTAACTTTGCGGCAAGTTTGATTTGTTGCGTAATTGAACCTTTTCGCACGGACAAGTTGCTTAACTATCAGCCGCCAAGGTCGTGATTGATGGCCAATGATTGACTGGGAAACTGTGCTGGGGAATTATCTAATTAGTGATAGCCATTTGACCCCAATCAATCATTACGATTAGCCTCATATTAGCTTGTCAATCGGTGAGGCTTTGGTTTTTTTTTCATCATATAATTATTAAATATGATTGCCAGGTGGGAAATACTAAGTAAAGGTGGTTGAAAAACTTATATTAGTTAGGGTATTTAAAGAGTATTAACCATCAATCAATATTTTTCATTTAAGATCTGAAACGGAAACCATAACGTATACGCCTGGTGATTCCCTAATGAATTACAATCTTTGAGGAAATCGAGCGTAAGTTAATCGACTTTCATTATTCAGCTGTTGATTCATTCACACAAATTATTCCAGATCCTAAACCGAATCCAAATCAGGCAATCAATCGGGCATCATCGCCCACTCAGTGACGCACTTACTCCGTGGCTCTTTTCGGGGAAACTCAAACACTCGACACTCACTTGGCATTCACTTGGCATTCTCTTGGCATTCATTACATCATAGACAATGCCCCTCGGAAACGGATTTTCTTATGACCAGCAAGGACGTTTTTTTTTTTTTCATATTTAAATCAAAGGACTGAGTTTTCATGTCCCCCCCAAAGAGAGAGAGAGACTCCTTGACATGTCGCAAAATTTAACAGAAAAGTGTATGAGTATAATCGCTGCGGGTAACAGATATTGTCGGTTGATTTCCGCGGATTTCCATGTTGCCATATTTGGCAAGGGGAAAGGAAGAGGGGGTAGACACTGCTTAGAAGCTGGTAAACTGGAAACTGTAAACTGTAAACTGGGCTTTTTCGCAGACAGGATACGGCGATTGGCCATTAAACTCGAGCAATTACAACGCTGAATCCCATGGAGCCAAAGGCAAACATTCAATAAACGAAGATGTAAACTAAATAAACGAAGATGGAGGCCAGCCAGGCGCTACTGACTTTCCAGGGGCTTTTACACTGAGAGAAAATATTAATATTTTCATGATTTTAAACGAAAAAAGAAGGTAAGTGGGAATATTATTAGGAAAATCAAAATAAATGCTGGAAAAACCTAAAATTTGAAGGGTTTTGAGGTAATTAAAAATCTGAAAATCGAAAAAAAATGAAGAAAACTTAGTACAAATTTAAATTATTATACAGTTTAATATTAATTAAAATATTTTATTAATATTCCAGCTTAAAGCTAACAAAAACTAAGAAGTTCAATGGCCAAAGACCAACTTTCTTCAGGTAAAACTTCATTTTTAAGCTCTTAAACCTTCTCAAGACCTAAACTAAAGTTTATCATATTTTCTTCACAGTGTCCTGGCAGGCTTTTAATTCATTTGGAAGAGTCGATGGATTGCACCTGTTGGCATCTTATATACACACACAGCGATGGCACATAAAATGTAATTATAAAGCATTCAAACATCCGCAAAGGGACGTAAAAACAGCCAGAGGAGCCTTGGCAGGGCAGAAGTGGGGCAGCCAAGGATAATGGAGGAGGCCAGAGGTCCAGGAGATATCGGGGAGGTGAAAACAAAGTAAGAGACTTAACACTTTGTGCGAACGCTTAACCAGCTTAAGGAGCCCAAGGAGCCGCTGCAAGTTTTATGAGTTTTTGCCTGGTCAGGCAGAGGCAGTGCCCATCGGCACTCTCTATAGCCGATATATATATACGCTTTTGTATATATATATATATATATATACATCAGCTATATACGTATTTGCGCATTTTTCTACATAAAACTCAATGAAGCATCCACTGACTGTCGGGGAGATAAAGAAGAAACTGGCAGCGGCTGCTGCTGATGTGGCTCCCTCCCTACCCCTCCCCCCACTGCTTTTCGCCGACCCTGCCGATTTCAATTTCAAAATGTACGCTCCATTGGGCAGTGAAGGAAGACACACCCAAACCCAATGTACCCCTCCTTTTGTGGCCACAAGAACACTCACACACCCACTCACACTCACTCACACATACAGACAAAAAGTGACATTAAAAAATGGTAGCCACTTGTCAGGACGAAGGAGCAAAGTAGTAGTGGGTAAGTGAGAGGGAGATGGGAGAACGGAGAAGGGGAATGCGAATATTTATCAAAAACTTATCGAGGAAGCTTTGTTGCTTTCACAGCACCAGCGGCGGGGTCACGCGGCGTATGCGTTATGTAAAATTCATATTTAAAGCCCCGTCGCAAAAATCAACAAAAAAAAACAGCCGACGCATTTTGATTGGCTTTTTTTTTTTTTTTTTTTTGTTTTTTTTTTTTTTTTTGGTGATTCGTTGCTTAATTAAAGGACACGTGTCCCGATCCGACATTAAAATGCATGACATTTTCTATTTCTGCTTGATTTTGCTCTCTCTTTTTGTATGGCCATTTGTTTGCTTTTATTTTTGTTTGATAGACGCTGGCTGGGGAATTTAAATTATGAGCGGTGGTTGTGGGTTGGAAGGAGGAGAATAAGAACAGTAGAGGTGAAGATAATAGGGATTTAAAAAGAAATAACAAATAATTAAGATGGATTTTTAATATATTTATCAGGGAAATGTAGCTGAAAGTTGTTTAAATTTTGCAGGAAAACTAAAAAAATACCTTTTTTTAGCAGCCCACCTTTGGGTTTTCAACTTCTTATTTGTTAGAAAACAAAAATTAATATTTAAAACCCTACAAATTTTTCTAAAAATCTGATTTTTTAAGCATTTTAGCCAGCATTCTACCAACAATTGTGATGAACTTCCCTCTTAAACCCCCTAAAAAACCTAAAAAAGTTTAACAAAAATATTAATAAA